CACCGGGGGGGGGGGTACATGACGGTAAAACACACCCGCCATACTTCTTGACCTTTCTCGTAGTCCAAAGCTCCCATGAGGGTCCCGGGCTATGGCCTCTGTTTTGATGCTTTACAACAGGCAAAGGGTGGCAGCCTGAAGGACGGATGAGGACCTCCTGAAGGTGGGAGGTTTCCCTCCGCTGTGGTGGTTAGATGAAGATCTTCAAAGCCCAGGAGACTGCAGCTGGATCATCACTCTCTTTAATTCACACCCACGGCCGGCTGTCTGAATGAGTGTCGCCCACTCGCTCCACTGTGGATTTATTTCAGTTTTTTATCAAGCGGCCTTTTCTGGTTCCCTCCAGCTGTTTTCTCCTCAGTCCACACCGGACGTCGGAGCCATTTCTCTTGGCCTCCTCCTCCTCTTTACCTGGTCCCCTGTTCCCTCGCGTTCCCCTCCCTCCTCCACTTTTCTATTTTCCAAATCGGCAACCCTCTCGTATTTGCGTCTTCATTTCTCCCACCCTGCCTGCCTCTCCTTCATCACCCTCCTCCTCCTCCTCTATCGTCTTGTGCAGGCCTCCTCGTTTCTCTGGGGAGCTTCGCTGCTCTTTTCAGAACGAGATAGCATTCCTGTCTCCCCGTCCTCCTCTCTCGATCTCTCTGTTGCACTCAACAATTGCTGTCCGTCTTTCCATCGGTCTCCCCGTCACCGTCCTCTTTGGTCTCGTCTCATTCACGCCTTACTTTTTTTCTTTTTCTGTCCACCGGACGTCCATCACAAAACTTTGGAGGGTTTTAGCAAGATTGGGGGCCAATGAGGGGATCAGTACACCCTGTCTCTCTTTCTCTCTCTTACACTGACACACACACACACACACACACACACACATCTTCTAGGTTTCCTCCCTCCAAATTTAGCATACGCTTAAATCTAAGAAATGATGACACAATTAAATTCATTTGAATATGGAAACACATCCATAAAGGGAAGATGACATCCATTTAAATGCAATATATGTCATATAACATTAAAAACAATCTGACTTTTGGGAGCATATCTGATCAATTACAGGGGCATCTTTTCCCGTTCATGTTCTCTACAAGTGAAACCGCATTCCATATGTCAGTCAGGATTGTTTCCACATATAAAACAAAGCCATCAAACCCCAGCTTGCAAAGGAGCCATAATTAGCTCGCACATCGTCGTTGAAGCAGATGCCTGTGACATGCTGAGGTCATGCGTCTGGAGATAAAACGCGGCCCACGGGTTCACAAATAGGACTTTGTGATATCAAAGTGTTTCTGCAGCATTGGAGGCTCCGTCACGGCACCGTCATTAAGGCAGCGGCGTCCACAGAAGCAGAAGCACCACAGAAATGGCGTAAATATGGAGATTAATGGTTCACACCTCTGCTTTTTTCAGTATCCATGTAATATTGAGAACCTACCTGAAGCATCGCTTTACGTGCCGGGAAGACATTTGCTCACCTAACCAATATATTGCAGAAGATCCATATGAAATGAAAATTGTCTGTAGAAATCAATACAATTCCATAACAGACCGACAGTAAGACAAACTGAAACAATAAACGAGACGTGAAACGTGTTTATGGAATAATCAGGGAACATGAGGGAGAAAACACCCACAGCAAAAGGTTCAAATAAATAAATAAAAAGAAGCAGCAGCAGCATTTGATCAGAAGGGAGGGTGGGGAAGAAAAGCCAAATGAGAGCATAGGAGATACCTTAGGAAATCCGACTGATCCGAGGGCAGGTGAAGGGTGAGAAGCACCGTCTCCAGCCCGCTGCGCGGACTCCTCCTCCGGGTCCCTGTCCGCCTCGGGCAACTTCCTAGCGGAGCTCAGCAGTTTTCCCCCAAAAATATCAGCTCTCCTGGAGTGAGAAGCCCCACGGAACAGCAAAGCGGATTTAAAAGACAAGTATAGCATCCAAAAGGCGAAGACGCGGAGGAGAAGAAGGAAATATACATATATATATATATATATATATACAGCCGATGTTTAAAAGTCTTCCACTGTGGCCAGCAGAGCGGATTTCAGTCGTGAAAATGAAATAACACCGCACTTGTTTAAGGTGTCAACGGAGGGAGGCTGCCTGTAATGAAGGCAATAACCAAGAATGAGCCTGAGATACAGAGAGTGAGAGAGGGAGAGAGAGAGAGAGAGAGGGGGGGGGGATGAGAGAGAGGGGTAAAGGAATTCATCATACACGGAATATGTCCGCCGTGATCAATAATGTTGGCAAAAAGACGCACCTGATTTGTATCCGCGGCGGTCTCTCCGCTCTGCGCACTTTGCGCACCTCTCCGCTGCTATAAGGGGGCATAAAATATATGTATCCCAGGCATCGGGTCTTCATGTCCCCCGCCCCCCTCCTCCCCCTTCTCCTCCCCCGCGCGCGCGCACCAAATCACCGTCTAATTGCCCCAAGTGTCGTCCAGCATTCAATTCAAGTGTATAAATCGATCCCGATCAATCGGATCAGTCGCTTCCATGGCGGAGGGATCTGGTTATTTGAACACATTAATAAGTCATCAAAATGTGCTCACACAAGGCGTTGCGCCACACTCTTAATTGCCCCAAATTAAACCCCTTTTTTACGCCCCCCTTGCCCCCCCCCCCCCCCCCCCCCCCCCCTTTGTTAAACCATCGCGCCATCGCTCTTTGTGGTGGGTAGAATTAAATAAATGAACCGCATCCCATCTGCTGTGTAATAACAATTTGATAAGCCGCGTGGAGTGAGAAACCAGGCAGTCCAAACAGACCCGCGTGTTCTCTCGCGTGGCGAGAAGATGTGCGCAACATGTCCAATTCGGGGCTGCGCCGATGCGGCGCAGGCGGGAGGCGCGCGGGGCAATGGCGCCCTCTCGTGCCCGAAAGCGTGCTGTTGCAACGGCAAAAAAACAAACACATAAAATGTTTTTCTTTTTACAGGTAAATCGGGTGTGGAAGAATGTCACTTACACAAGTCCTTTAATACATACTTTCCTACATTCTAGGGGGAATTTATGATAAAATATTAATTCGTATTTTACGAAAACATGAACTAGAAAAATGATCGGTTTATATAACAATGCGATTAATATGATATTTCTACACCATATACAGCCCTTTTTGCATTGCTGAGAACATGATGGGTCTACGCAAAAGATATCCTTGATTGATCCGTATCGCCCTGCGTGGGTCCGCACGCAGTCTCTCGCTGACGTCACCAACGCGGATCCCTGTCCCCCCTCGAGGCGTCAAAAAGGTATGACGTAGCGCGGGGGAAACATTGTGGGATGGCAAATGGGAAATCTCAGAAGTTAACTGTACATGTCTGCCAATTCGATTTCTGAGAAGAGCAAAGGAAATCTCCTCTCGGCGAAGAGGAGTCAACAAATGATTGATTGAATTATATGACTCATCTGAGAAAGAAAGAAAAGAAAGGCAAAGCCACACAAAACTATTGCGGTTTGAAGCAGTACATCTTTATTCATTAACTGGTTGGTTTTAACATTCTCGTCACATCCGAAAGGCGTCTCCTCAACTCTTCTCCGGTTCTCTAGAAGGTGAACTTAACAGATCGCAGCTGACGAGGAGCGAAAAGATTTAAAACTAAAACAAAAGTCTTTTGAGGTTTTTAAATTCCTGTTCCTGTTTTTAGCACATTCCAAATAATACAAAAAAAAAACTCCATGAAAAGGAATGAGATACAAACAAAGACAACTAGGAACAACGCAAAGACGCCTCAGCAGTAAACAGTGGTGCAGCATCAACTAGGAGGACGCGTTAGAAGCACATGGGCAACAGTTAATAAGTCAGTAACAATTGAGACTATTAGAGCTATTATTTATACCATCCATGGAGGATGAATCCATTCATATGTATATATAGATATATTTATATATCTATATATACACACATGTGATCTAGACCTTTGTTGCGGTAACGCTTTCACTTGTATAAAAAGAAAAAGTTTGGTTTCTCCTTTTCTTTTCCCAGGTTTGGTTCCACCTCATGGCCTTCTGATTGAACATTAAGACATATTCACATTTGGTCCCCTCTATTCACGTGCCAGTGTATCACAGACTACCTCCTCGGGGTACCCGTCACTGTCATCAACCAAATTCAGCCCCCCCCATCACACACCTCAGGTTTGAGTGCAATGTTGTTAATGGAACAAAAAAAGTTAAATCTAAACCTTTCCTACATTTTGATGACACAACGGATTTGGCTTGATGTTGTATTGTGTGTATTCCGCCCCTGACAGCTCCCTGCATCTTTTGGCCCTTTTTATAAATAAGGATTAGCACCACAAACATCTGGCCTCGACCCGTCACACCTGCTGCTCGGGCAGATGTGAGGCACTGCAGCGACGGCGGCCGGAATTCTACTGAACACAAACACTGTCGCAGGGTGGGCTGTTAGCGGGACCCCAACGGCAACTTGTTCTCAGGAGTATGCATACTTACATGCATACTACCTCCACTACCTAAACTTTGAGTTCAAACAGAGCTGAAATACTATAAACCACTCCATTTCATTTAAGAATTTGTTAAAAAAAATAAAACTAATAATAATTATTATATTACTGTTTTGCCTTGTTTCACACCTTCATACGTGATGCCATTTGTGAATTGGGCCATGTGTGCCACGGTACGGTCATATATCGTATGGTTGTCTTGCGCTGTGGCTCCGAACTAATAAGTCGGCTGATGTCTGGAGACAAAACAGGCTAAAGACAAAGTAAAAAGAAAACACCAGGAATAAATGTTTTCCACATGCGGTCAAACATAAAAGGTGAACCTTGCAGAGGATTCACCTCGTGTGAAGAGGAGCTTTTGCTTTTTTTAAAGCGCACACACACAATTTTAAAGCTAAACAGAGATGTACTTTGGGGTTCTCTTTTACCTCAGCCGCACCCTGAAAACAATAAACAACTCACTCCAGTCGCCGTTGGTCACTAGAGTAGATCTATAAGGAATATCACAACTGGACTTTTTGATCCGTTTGCTTGTCAGTAGGAACATTTACACAAAGGTCCTTTTTAGACTGTGAGGCGAGCAGTCTTCTGACAGACAGAAAGTCTTTTAGCTGTCAGGGGGAATGAAAGGGAAGGGGTGAAATCAGTCATCTGTTTATCAGCCATAATGTTGAGCCACTGGTCTTGAATATATCACTAACACTCTAAAACACTAAATAGGGTGTGAATGTACGGAAAGGTGATAAACAGCCTGTCGGTGTATCTGTTTGGGGCCCGCGAGGGTCCAACCAAATTCTGATTTTGCCAAATAGAAAATGAAAAAGATTCCAGAAGTTTCCAGTTGATTTCCTCCGGGGGTCTCGATCCAGTTCTGATTCCCACACTCACACAGACACACACACACACACACACACTCCTTAGCTTCCTCCCTCGCTGCCATGAGCAAAGCAGTACAAATCAGCCATCTGCCTTCGGATCTATTTACATGCCGTTGTAGGTAGATATACTTTATACAGTCGCAGTGAATCTTCTAGCTAAAGTCTCTCTGTGGATAGCAGCGCCGCCATCCAGCTAGCTGGCTGGCTTCATAATGAACTATACAGAAAAAAAGAAAAAAACTTCATGAAACCAACTATACATTTGGCTCGTGAGCAGAAGGTGGAACTCCTTTGAACTTCATTCCTGCGTCGTAATCCTTTTATTTGCTCCTTTCATCTCTGTTCTGTGCTCGTTCCATTCGTCCGTTATTTTCCACAATTTGAAGTTTTGATTGGCTTCTTCATCGTTGGAGGCTGGCTGGCTCGTCGTCCCCCAGCGGCCTGCGAGCAAAGAGGAGGAGAAGAAGAGTGATGAGATACCAAGGAGAACAAAAGGGGAAAAAACAGTGGAACAAAAGTTCCGGAAGAGAGACAAACAATTGTCACACTGCTGTTTCATTTGTCAAACAGCAGTGTGCCCCCCGGGAGTCACAGAGAAGGGGGGGGGGGGGGGCGCGCGTATGAAACAGCTGGCAAAAACGTGCTTAGCGGTCAATTAGCGCCTGCAGAGTGTTCGTGGTGTCTCATCTTTGCTCTGGGGAACGGTACTCACACTCACACTCTCACACACACACACACACACACACGCAGAGAAAAACGAGAAAGGCGGGAAGAAATCCAGAGCGACTCAGAGGAAACAAGAGAGCAAAAGCGGGAGGATGACGAGTCGACAGGGGGAGGGGCGGGAGAGGGGGAGCATCAGCACTCTTACAGTCGGCGTTTCACCAGACCAGGGACTTGGAGCGGGTGCTGACTCCTTTCCTCCTGCTGGCCGCCGCCGTCGCCGCGTTGCGATGACTGCGCTTGTGAGACTCCAGGTACAGCTGGGAAATAACAGGTGGAAGAAAAGAATACAGAACATCGTAAAGTGGCCGACGTCTCGGTATGTCAGGTGCAAGCTCGCTTTATTCATAAGCGATTGATCCTCATATTGATTCATTTAATATTTTCATTTTATGGGACTGAATTGAATCACTTAAACATAGGTCATAATAATCTCATACCTTCTTGGCAAAGGCCCGTCCACACTGGTCGCAGGCATGGAGGGAGAAGTTCTTGGTCACTCTGACTTCGGTGGAGGACGCCGCGCCGCTGCTCTCCGACGGGGCGTCGTGCCGCCGGGTGTTTGGGGTTTGAGGCGAGGCCGACGAGTTGCGCTGTTGTGTGTGTTTCTCACTGCGGCGGGTCAGCGGGGGGCTGGCGGGACGAGTCTGCAGGGTCTGCTGCCGCTCCTGCTTTCGGGTGACGGGAGGAGACGCCGCCTGCAGGGACAGCTCCTGCTGTTTCCGGGTGACGGGGGCCGGCGGCTGGACGGAGGAGGCGGACGAAGAGGACGAGGAGGAAGAAGAGGAGGACGACGACGTCGACGACGACAATGCCGACGAGGTGGTCGGCGCGGCCGTGGAGCAGTCCTGCTTGCGGGTGACGGGCGGCGAGGGGGAGGAGGACGAGGAGGACGAGGACACGTGGCGCCCGTTCACCTCCTCCTTGACGCCGCCGCTCGGCCTCTTGTTCGGGGACGTGCTGTTGAGGACGGCCTCGGCGAGCCTCTTCACCGCCCGGCTTTCCAGCTTGGGCATGATCTTCCCGAGGTACGCCGAGGTCTTCTTGTGGACCACCGTGACGTGGCGCAGGACGTCACGCTTGCGCCGCGACTCGTAGCGGCAGAGGGGGCAGCGGTAGAACTTGATGAAGATGTCGTTGCCGTCCGTGTGCAGCTCGATGTGTTTCGTGAGGTTCTGCCGCGAGCTGAACTGCCGCTTGCACAGCTTGCAGAAGAGCTGCTTGAAGTCAAAGCCCACCGACAGTTTGGTGGTTTTGGGGAGGATGGCGGCGGCGCGCGAGGAGGAGGAGGAGGAGGAGGAGGACGACGACAACGACGGCGCGGCCTTTGGGCTCGACGGGGCCTCCGCCTCCTTCACCTTCACGGCGTTGGGTGCCACGGAAACGCCTTTGGTCGGCCCGGCGCTCTGGACGGGGGACGGGGCGGGACTGCTGTCGAAGTCCTCGTCTTCGTCCGAAGGTTTCCCCGCCTCCTCCTTCACCGCCTCCTCTTTCACCCGGACGTTGTTGCCCGGGCCCTCGTTGGCGCCGCTGCTGTTGGGGGCGGCCGGCGGAGCGGAGGGGGGCGGCGTGGCCGCGGACTTGTTACTTTTGCCACTGTATATTTTGTGGACGATGCGCATGTGCCTCTTCAACATGAGCTGAAACACATTTAAAAAAGAATCACAATTATTGCAACCACTCTAAGAAGATCCGCTGAAGGCACTTAAGTGTGATTTTTAAGACTACAAACTGACCTGAGAGCTGTAGGTCCTCTTGCAGAGCGCGCAGCGGCTGGAGGGCGGGGCCGCCTGCGGCGAGGCGGGCGCCTGACCCTGAGGTTTGGACTGGCTTTGGTCGGTAGGCGTCGCTTTGGAGTTTACCGGCGTGGACTTGGAGCTGCCGCTGCGCGTTGGAGAGGAGGCGTTGCTCTTCCGGGGGGGCGTGACCTCCAGAGAGAAAGGCTGGCCGGGGCGCGAAGCGATGCTGGGTGTGATGGCGTCCCTCCGTAGGCCGCGGTGCACCTCGTCAAAATGGCGACGCACGTTGGCTTTAGTGGCGAAGCTTTTGAAACACACCGGGCAGGATTTTCCTGCGGGCGTGCTGAGTGTCCTCGGGCGACCTCCTTAATCAACAACAACAACAACAACAACCACTGATATCTTAAAGGTTTCCTTTGAAAAGCTCAAATAGAAATTAAACAGATCCCAGGCTTTAGATACAGAGGAGTTGATGACTAACTGTCTAACAATGACTAACAATATCCCCCTCCCCTCCCCGTTAATGAATATTGAGCGTTTAAGAGACAACACAATGATAGGGCTGTCAAAATTGCTCAAAAATGACGTTTGAATATTAGCTTTAAAAAAACATATATCTTTGAATATCTCGGGTTCTTAAATCGATATCGCATCGCTCTTTGTCGTGTTCATGTACCTTTCACCATAGACAGCAGGCTGGTCGGAACCGTACGCGTCTCCGTGAACTTCCGCAGCTCTTCCAGCTTGTTCTGGTGCACTTTACGACAGTGGCGTCTGATGCTGCGGCGCGAGTTGAATTCCTGACCGCACAGACAGCAGGATATGGTCACGTCCTCAACCTTGGGGTGGAGGGTGGGGGAGGGCAGGGAAGAGACGATGACTGACCCGAACGAGAAAATGTGGATCATCGGACGAACATTCGGCCTTTCACCTCACTTTGTCTCCGGCGCTTCCTGACCGCCCGTCACCTACCTACCCCGCTAGTGGAGCCCTCGTCCTCGGGCTTCGGCGGCTCCTCCTTCGCCGCTGCCGCCTCCTCCTCGGCCTCCCACCTCTTCTGCCCCGGGCTGCAGTGGCTCTCCGGCCCCCCGAGTTGACTCGGCAGGTTGCTGTCGGCGCCCTCCACCGATTCCCCATCCCAGGCTACCGGGCTCTCTCTGGCGCTGCCAAGGAATGTCGAGAAAACGGTCAAGAGACGAGGGGCGGCTGGGAGGAGTCTAGGAAAAATGTCACGCTCAACACTGCTAGAGCTTCGTGTTTTCGCGTCCCTCTGAACGACAAAACCAAATTGGCACGCCACCGACCTTGGCGTCTGCGACGGGATCCTGGCCAGCTCCTCCTCCGTGGCGAGGTACTGGAACACGGCCTTGTTGGTGGTCCGAATGGGCTCCAGTCGGACCACGTAGTCCGGGACTCTGGGATATACCTCCGATAACTCCTTCATGACCACACTATGTCTGTCGTCTCCTGAAGAACCTAGAGAGGACAAACAAGAATAAACCAAATAAAAGATCAGTTTAGTCCTTAGTCCTTAGTCTGAGTGACAATATTGTGTCCACACATTGCACAAGACTTTTTTTGGCTTCCTCTGTGTAGACATTCCTCACTCGGTATATTTCATTCAATTATTTACAACAGAGGAACTGGATTTTCAGCCACTTTAAAAAATGGACCACAAATCATCACTGGCGTCAGTGCAGCAGCACCATCGGCTCCCAATGGTGAAGAATCGAGTCTTTGCAAAAGAAAAGACATCGTGTTTATCCAGTAACCACACAAAAATAATAAATGCTCAACGTCGCAATGGTGAAAAACAGACCAATTCAGTCATTAATCAAAATAAGATTAATATACAATTTTATCCACGGTAATGGACTCTTCATTGAGAATAATTGAGCCAAAGGACAACTTCATTAAAACCACAATCAGGTAGAAAGAAGATGGGATGGTGCAGAATTTATTTTTCACAACAACAATCCCTAAAGTGATTTCAACTGTTCAAAATATAATGCACCGCTTGTGTGATTTCTCTTTTACGAGGAGAGGAGAGCTGAGTAGGAGAAATGAAACGATGATTCTCCTAAGCTTCATCCTTTCCCTAACCAAAAGCTTCTAATCAGCAAAGAATGGACATGTGGGGACTTTAGCTAATCAGAAGCAGATTAAACACAAAGATCCAAGTCGATTTCCTCAGTGATATGTGGAGAGTAAAGAGAAAAACTGCACTTTGAGTTAGCAGAGTGATTCGACGTGTCACAATGTGCACGCAAGTTTGTATGCAAAGGAATGAAAGAGGGCCGTGTGCAGACAGAACCGATGAGAGGAGAGCAACTACTAGGAGACAGATGGCTACGAGAGACCCCGGAGTGGAATATGGTGGAAGAATATGACGCTATAATGTAGAGAAGCCTGCGGAGACGTTAAAGTAGTCAATGATTCTGCACCCGTGCAGGCAAAACTGTGTGTGTGTGTGTGTGTGTGTGTGTGTGTGTGTGTGTGTGTGAGTCTGAAGTTTCATTTTTGCCTTGTGATCTCTACAAATCTGTTGGCTTCAGCTCAGCTCTGTGTTTTTTTTTTTTAAATCTGGTTATCAATTTATCAATCGGTAAATGTGCTTTGATCTTTGGTACTACAGCTCCGTTTCTATATACATAAGTGTGGATGCATTTTTAATGTTTGCGCCACTGACCGTCGGGTTCGGGCAGCCGGGGTAGGCAGTAGTACTCTCTGTGCGTGATGAGGTTGGGCAGGCCTCTGAACAGACTGCGACACAGTTTGCACTCAAAGATGGTGTCCACCTCCCTCAGCAGCATGTGTTTCAGCTGGCTGGTGCCTGAGAGCCAGAGAAGAGCACAGACCATTAGCTTTAGGGAATCCTGGGAGAATTACAAGACACATTATCATGTAGAAACAGTTCAAAATCATTCATAAGCTAAAGAGGGGAAAAAATACATAATCTTTTTTCATTAAGTAAAGACTGACATTAAAGTCAGCTAATAATACATTTAAAAAAAACAAATGGATAATACGGAAAACCCACAGGCACGAACCTGAGCGGAAGCATTCGATTATCTGCTGGATCCCGGATTTGGAGGTCTGCAGAGGCTGCTGGAGCAGGGGAGGATCTCCAGGCTCCACACAGAAACCTGTTGAGCGAGAGAATCCCGCAGATTGCATTTCAATCAAAGCCGCGGTGTAATGCCGCCGCAGGACGACAGGCTGGGAGAAACACTCCCTCGCCTGTGGGAATCACTCTGTACGAGACATTCACTCTGACCTCACTGCCACCGAGCTACAGCACGCACACACGTGCGCGCGCATGTACAGACATGAGATATATTTAGGTTTTTTTTGCTACACTGCAGAGAACAAATACATTCCAATTTTTCAAAAGCACGACAAAAAATAATTCTTCAAATAAATGGTTATAGGTACTGCAGAAATGTTTTAGAAAGAAAGGACTTAATTATGATTTACTTTCACTGCTGCATTTGCGATATGATTTGCAATATTCATTTTTCTACATAATGATTCCCGTTTCACTGAAAAGCATTCAAATGACTATGGTGGGAGTATTGTGGGGATCTGTATCAAACAACGCTGTCATCTTAATATTAAATGTGCTGTGCTGGCCACGCCAATACCAACTGTAAATGGCATTTTGGCCTCTTGTGATTTCAACCTTGTAGTAGGCCATATTCAGATGCAGTTTTGAGCGCGCAGATCTATTTGAAGTAGCAACATTTGCATTTACCCTTTGTATAAAACATTTAGAATGAAAGCTGGCTTGTCTCCTTGGGGCACACAATGGGCTGCTAAGATGGATTACAGGGAGGCAAAGTGCTCTCATTTCCATTCACTAAACGTAGCTATTTGAGGTTGTGATCACCTCAACAGCTATGTCTAATTTCTAACACTTTATGAGAGTCATGTCAGGGGGTGTGGAAGGGGGGCCCTGATATAATGGTAGGGGAAACACAGCTTTTGAAAAACACACTCATCACAGCCCTCAAACTAAGGTTTGCACTACGGTCAGACGGCGGTGTGCTTTAATGAAGAGTCGGATCTGAACTGATCATTTCGCCCCGCTGTGTGTGTGTGTGTGTGTGTGTGTGCGCGCGCTTTTATCAAGGTCCTCCTTCGTGCACGTGAGCGTGTCCTGTTGGTTAACTCGGGGCTCTCACGCGTCACTTACAGACGATAATTGGGCCCCGGCTGACGCCGTCGTCACGGAAGCTTATCACAACCCCCTCCCCCCTCCGTGGTAAACATCGTTAGCTCCGTCGGCCCTCCCGCCGCGGTCTGCACTGTTAGCGCCGAGCTGCCTGCTCTCCGTCGACATGTTGTGGACCTTGCAGCCTGAATAAAGCCATCATATACATTTGATTCAATGAATTCATTCATTGTGTTTCATTGTAAATGTTTAAATGAACACGCCCAAGAACACAAACCCGTACTGAAGGTAGGCAGTGCAACATCACAGTGTGTGCGTGTGTGTAGATAGGTCTGTTTGTAGACGGAACAGAAAAAAGGAGCAGCAGGCGGACTGACACACCCACTGAGAGGCAGACAGAAAAAGAGTTGCCATGTGAATGACAAATGTGTGATTGAGTCTGACGGAGAGAGAGCGCGATGGAGATTATGTATGAATGTGTGACAGAATATGTTCTCCCCGCCCCCACCTCACATCTCTTCCTAAGCAGGCTGCTATAATCCAAGCGGAGCGGGTCAGCGACCCGCTGACCTCGCCACCTTCCCCCCCTTCTGCGACAGTGTCAGAGATCAGCCAATGGGAAGCATCAGTCCATACAAACGGCCTACTTTTACTATAAGAGCCGCCTTCCTTAGAAGCGCTGCTGGAAATGAACTCAAGGCAATGAACTCAGATTTACATCTGAATTAAGTCATCGACGTTTGTTTCTAACGCGATGAAAGAGCAGCAGAGGGGAATGTGGGTAGCCTAACATTACATCTGTAGTTTCAGCTTTAATATCCATGTCGTAGATTTTGTAATCCAATATCAATTGGATGGCTTGGCTTCAGGGTCATGAAGCCCACTCGCCGTCAGCTGAGGGAATAAATCAAAATGTGCAGACAGCCGGTAGATTGAAGACGAGAAACGGGTGTGGCCAGGGGTCACACCGCTGATAGCATGTATCTATTCATTCAAGCAGTAACACGCCTCTCAGGCTGTGCTGATTTTTGGGGATAAGAAGGGGAACCTTCCCAAATGAAGGCTGAAACAGGATTCATTTCCCGCAACTTATGTGTCAGTGTTTGGCGTGTTTGCTTCCTTGGGTTTCCGATTCTTGGTACACCCACCGTTCGAGCAGGCAAAGAGCTTTACCCACCTGTGTTATGACCGGAGCCGGTGTGCTGAAGCCACTCCTCGGTCTGGCAGATCTGGTCCCGGGTCTTGGCGGTACCGCTCCCGTTTGCCTCGGGCATCAGAGGTGGGATGGGCTTCCACAGGGGCTTGGCCTGGAGCTGGGCCGCGGCGTCGCCCTTCTCCTGGACCTCCATCGGAGTCTCGCTCTGATCCGTGCTCTCCGGTGGTGCCTCGACCGGGCCGGAGGTCTGGGGCTCGGCTCGGTCAGCGGACTGGTCTTCCCCCCGGGGCTCCTCCTTTGCCGGATGCTGGCTGTCCGACCGGGGCGGGCTTTCCTCCATCTCCGTCTGGCCGGCACTCTGTGGAACAGAAGCAAAATGATGACGAGAAGCACCACGTGTGCGTTCAACCTCGTCATAGTGTCTTTGCAGAATAGCGGCCCGTTTACTTGTTGCATCTGAAAATGTGTAGAAAACGCCAGCTGTGCCACTTTCTTTTTTTCATTTTTTTTTTTTCAATTTTCATCCACGGTGCTCGAGACATGATCGCACCTTCAGTTACCAAGCAACACACAACCTGAGTGCTGCGATGGGGATAGTGATGAAGCCGTGGGAATGGAGCACTAAGCCTCTGACTAAAACCAAACTTCTAATGCTCTTTTGTGCTGCGCTATAATGACCGCCTTGACATTTAGCAAAGAAACACGCTTGGGGAAGTATAAACTACCCCCACCCTCCCACCAGCCGGACGCCAACGCATTTGGAGGGGTGTGTGATGTAGTCTATGTGGTACTTTCAGCCAACTCCTCCCGGAGCCCCTGGGCCCGATCGTGTCGAGGGAAGCAGCAGGCTCCGTGTCTGCCACAGAAAGTGCGCTCTGCAAGCTGCCACTAGAGGGCGCCGACGTCAGAAGCATTCAGACGTAACTAGTGGATTTAAGTTAAAGTGACAAACGCAAGATACACACAATATTATTAATGAAAATTGGTCATGGATGAATAAACATATCAATCTAAGGGAGGTAAGTGTGCCCATCATTGATACAATTAATCTCCACAAAAAGTTAAAAGGAATCCATATCAGTGGGCAAAATGAGCCATCACAGCAGGTGATAGTGTGTGTGTGTGCATTGTCTTCTGTGCACCCAGAGATGGTGTAGGAGGACATTAACCTTGTCGTACTGAGCCACCCATAAGCAGATAAGTGACTCCCCACCAACTCTTCCGTGGGCGCACATACATCTGTCTTCAGAGTGCGTTGTATGTGTGTGTGCGTGTCGCTGTGACTCTTCCCCGCCCCCCCCCCCCCTCTCCTCCTGATCCTTTCTCCTTTCCCACCCACCAATTCATCCTCATTTCCCCTCTGCGTCCGTCTCCCTCACTCTGCGTGTTCCCGCTGCCCTTGAAGAGGGACAAATGACTCTGCCGCTCTGAACCATTACGGCACGTCGGCGGGGACAAGTGGGCCGCAGGTCTCACACACACTTTGCGAAGCGCGGCATAATCCAGTCACCATTAGACAGCGCGGCGGTTTGTTACACATGCTCAGCGAACCCATCCGTGCATTCAACACACACGCACGCGTGTTTTACCAGTGGATGAGTCTCTTCAGGAAAGTTTGAGGTGTGAAGCGAAAAAGACGGAACCTACTTCATTCAAACCTTAAAATGTATATTACTATGGTAACAAAACAAAACATCTTGACTGTACAAAACAAGTCGTGAGTGAGTGCCACATGTTCCGTCGGCGTCTGAATTTGTCGGTGAATCAATCAGCTGTTCATAACCCACTTTGTTTTTTATTGGAAAATGGCGAGCATGAATCATGAAAACGGGGGTGATTACCGTCGGTGGATCAGCCGTTCACTGAGCAATGAAACAGTAAATCAGTGCTAATATTCAGAGCCAGTATTGACTAATCTCCGGATTCCTTCCAAATGCAATGTATCTCAAATCAAAGTAAAATCTCTCTCTAGTATTATTATGATCCTAAAAAAAGAAATAAAAAAAGACTGTAGCGAGTGCTTGTTTCCCAATACGGTGCCTTCCACGTATGTCCCGGCATTTGAGCCCAGGTTGATTTCCCCCCATAAAGGTAGAGGGGAGGGGGCACTAGAAGACAACATTCAAGGCATTGCAGTGGCTGTTTTTTCCAGTACCTCCAGTCTGCGGAGACAGAGGGAGCTCTTCCTCCGAGTGGACTTCTGGACCTTCACCATGTTGCCAAGAGCGGCCCGCTGCAGCACGCGCTCCCCCCCGGCACGCTCCCGCAACCTGCAACAACAACAACCCACGTGAGTGTTAATACAGCTGCTGCTGGATGAAGCGCTGAGATATATTGAAGGTTTGTTTGGGACTGTAACTCAAAACATATGAATATGAGAAGAAATGGCAGCGGCGTCTCGTATCTCATATTGCTTTGTACGCAGACGTGTGCACGAACATTAATGGGGCGAGCTGCTGTCAGCGTGTGCCTATTTATGTGTGGCAGTCGAGCTGTTGCATTACTTCAAGGACAGAGAGAGGAAACAATGGGTATGCAGCACATTATTGGAGTCGCACAGGTCGGGTTGTAAAAGCAGAGACGACCTTAACAGACATGCCTTCATTCTCTCAACACTACAAGTGAAAAGCAACTCAGAACATTCATTCATTCATTTTGAGGTACTGTACTTGAGCCCTATGTGCTTATACTCTTATACTCTGACCTTAATATATTTCACAAAAAAATACTGTGCTTGCAACTATTATAAAACAGGTGTAATTAGGTATAAATTAAAAATCCTCCATAACAGATTAAAGAGTAGGTGACGTAGTTGTAAAGACTCCACCTTTACTAAATACACAGCCAACATAATAACAGATCGATTTAATGGTATATCACCGACAGTAGCCACTCTGCATTAGGAGTACTTTTATATTTTTGCCCTAAGGCTTTTCTTTGTAATGTAGTGTAGTAGACATGTTATTGAATTGAAAACTACAAATAACACACCGCTAAAATTTGACTGTTAGCCATCACTAAATGAGTGAGTGTCCTGGCATGATATGTGAGCAGCAGGTATATATATATATATATAGCTATTTATCACACTGCAGAAACAAACCCCTCGTTTACCGAGGGGAGGTTTTAGCTGGCTTTTTGCTCACCGACGGCGTCATGAGTTGACGAGCAGCTCAGGAGCACAAACCACATCTACGTGTAAAAACAACACTATTTTCAAAAAGGTCACAATAATGGTTTCCCGGAATGCTAATTTGGCTGCTTGTCATATTGCTGGTAGTTCAATTAAACCCACGTTACAACCCCCCCACACACACACTATTTCTGAGGCCCACTAGTGAGTACTCTGGCATTTCCCGAGGGGACCCCGCAACATTCTGCAGAGTGAATCGGCTTTCAAAATACATACATAAAAACAAGAATTATTGTAGCCAACATGCATGAATATACATGTATATGGGTTCATGAGTCACTTGTACTGGGGATAGTTGAGAGAGCTTCTGAATGATGTGCTGGGATTTGTTGGTCAACGTTGATCTACCTTATTTCTATTTTATTGCCAATGAACATTATTTACTTTTGGCATAGGAGAGAACCAACGTGAGTGTGGATGTCAGAACCAGTGTTCATGATGTTGCATCCTCATTTAACACTCCAAACAGTACTTGTGTGGGTAGTCTATGAGCTGCCCTCATTGAAATGAGCCCCACTAATGCAAACCCTGGACATTTATTTCATCTGTTTGGATTCATGTGACACCGTCAGTGGTGAAGCGATGTTTGATGCTGCCCTCTGGTGGCGGTCCGGGTAAGAAATGGCTCGGTCTAAGAGGCGCGTGCACCTGAGACTCCACTAGTTAAAGACAACATGATTTAGTAGCACTATGTTATGCTGAGCAGCCTCACTCTTTTCTTATTTGCAGGACGGGTACATGGCTGCACACGGTTATCCGTCACCGCGGTCACCTGACCAACTGATAACTGCAAGAGACGCAGCATCTCAAGTGAGAGGCGCTCATTGCCGTCTGGGTTTGACATAAGGCAGGTGTGATGGACTTCTGGAATAATCAGACAAGTGAGACACAAGCAAACAGCCGTGGCCAAATATGAGAGAAGCAGAGCAGCGACATTTGATTCAAATAACATGACACCTCTTCGACGTCTCTTCAGTTATAGTGCGGCCGTTCATAAAGAGACTAACAGCTAGAACACAATTATTGTGACTTACAACAGTGAGGAAAATCAGATAGGAGTCAAAAATCTGACGGAAATAGAAAGATGGGTCAATAAACGGAAGTGGAAGTAAAGCAACAATGATAGGGAAAACACAGTGTTGCGGGTCCGTCACACACTCCCATGGGTGATGTGTAGATCCACTTGATCTCCAGCAGAGGGAGACACAGGAGACACTTACAGGTTCAGGTTTTTTTTCTAAAAGTTTGGTAGTCGGCCGATGACTCCAAAAGACAAGAAAGATAACAAGCATATGGGAACATGGGTGGCAAAGGATGTCACACAGAGGTCATACGCGGTTTCAATGAGGCATCCACGTATACGGGGGTTCTGCTCGCCATTTCATTCAAACAGGGAAAAAAGGGGCAGGTCAAAACGTCAACGGTTCGCCGAATAATGTGCCGGAACAACGGCAACACAAAGTCACTGTGTGCGTGAAAAGGCAAAGCTCGGAGAGCTCCATCATGTAATAGGAAATGAATACTTTGCAAGGTAACAGCTGTGTAAATCATGTGAGAACACCGGTATTGTCCTAAAAGAAAAACATCTCAAAATGTGTGTTCCCAAATTCCGAAGAAAGAAAAAGAAATAAAGTGTGTACCACTCCTTTTACTTTCAAATTGAGGTTGCCCACATGAAACTATCTGCTTTGAGCAGAGTAAAGATTCATTAAAGACTGTGCCATAAAATTGCATAAAACGGCTAAGTGAAGACACAGGAGAGACGCTGCAGGTGGACAGATTTGTGGACCGTATTCCTGGAGGTGGAGGTTTAACGTAACCCATTCATTTGGGAGGAACCATTAAATCAAAATCATTTAAAATCTAGGAAAATTAATGCATTATGCACATTTCCAGGTTCTATTTATATCAGGGAGGGAGATTAACACTCACCATTAACGACGAGGGGGAAATTAAGACTTTGACCTGAGGGTCCGGCTACGAAAGTCAGGAAACAACCTCATTCAGAGGTTGTAGTTTCTCATTGAACAATAACATTAAGTTGGAACAACAAAAGGCGATGATCTATTTCTCCCATTGTCCGCCTCTCGTTGGGGGGATTCCCTCCTCCGCAGTGTGAAGACTCTGGTGAGGACGTTTCCCTGGTCTTGGCTGAGAGGGAAATAGACGCCCTCATGTGTTACTCTATTAGCCCTGCGGCCCCCTGGTGACCCGTTGAGGGTGTTAGTCAGCGCTCCACCTCCTGCATGCAGAGATACAATCTAGCACCCTGTCGTACTAATGAGTGGCAGGTATCAGAAATACACGAGGGTCAGAAATAGGGTTTTTTTCTGGGTGTTTTGCACAAACTGCTCGTCTGGCACCAACGACAGTGTCCTGTTCACGGGTGACTCCCGAGTTTGTGTGATTTGATTCTTGGCATCATCACATTTCTTGGTGAAATTATCGGAGTCATGGAAGAGGAACTCCACAGCTCATCCTACTACACGGCTGCTACATGAGAGGGTGCTACAGCCTGCAGGCCAGGCAGCTTTCGGAGAGGATTTTCATATTGCAACATACATGAATACATACATTCATACATACATGTATGGCACTATGAACATCTCCAAGCTGTGAAAAGTATCGCTCCAGCCGGATTGGATGGCAGTTCCTGCTCCATGCAGAGTTGTCTCTCGGGTTCTTGTTCACGACTGAGGGGTATAAATATCCTTCATTTATTCCATTTCACATTAAGACTCTAAATTGACTCATTTTAAAAGGCAGACAGGTAAAGGAAGGCACATAACCTGTGCTCTACTGCACGGGTTCTCACCTTAAGGAAAATTCAGAGTATTCTCTTAAATCACTTGTGCCGTTTAAGAACAAACGAAACCCGGGACCAACAGTCGAAACACTTTGTTGAAAAGAGTTTCGCGAAAACCTGAACGCAGACTGAAAAAACTCGCACACAACGTTATGTTCAATCCACTTCCAGAGAGGCTATATGCACCACAAAAGGTTCAGAACAAACAAATTTAGCCACACAAATGCGCCAATGATCCACTCACACACTGACACAAGGGACTCGCCGGTTTCCGTGGCAACAGACAGACGAGGTGGTGAAGCAGTGACTCCCTTTTCTGACTCGGCTAATGAGATCGGAGGTGTCGACTTGAACCGAGGAAGGTTCTCATCCATGGTCCGGCCCCTCCATCTCCGCTCACTGCTTAAGGGAGGAGGGTGAGGGGTGAGGGGGGCTTTCTACAGACTTAGAAAGACAAGTTCTAAACTGAACACAAGAACATGCCAACAAGTGTTCTGAGGAACGTTGAATATCAATCCTCTTTGGCTTCAAATGATGTCCTGACCTGCGATTTTTAAGAATCGACACCGCTGAAATGACCTCATCCAATGATGTGCTGAGTAGACGTGAGGGAGAAAATAGATCCCTGTTCTACAAGATCAATAAAAATAATTGATTCCTTCCTCCGCTTTATATTCCTTGATAGACAGCTGTTGACGGAGCAGGGTAACATATTGGAAGAAAGAAATAGGAAGAATATGAGCCTGCATGAAATGAATGTGTGAGATGTGACTTGAATGCCCGAGGCAATATGAAAAAGAAGACTTACAATCCTGAAAACTAGTAAATTAAGGCCAGAGGAACCAGGCAATTATCCACCTGAACAAAATGACAACTACCCAATAACTGAGCCAACTTCAAGAGCCACATTACTGAATCTATAATCCTCCAATGTAAACATCGACACACCTGACCCGTCTTAGCATCAATGCTACTTCCTGAGCTTAATATTTGACGAACACACCTGATGAGATCGGCTCCAATGTCACACACTTTATCGGCAAATACATTTTGAGCTCCATCACCGGGCATAATCCATTAGGGAGTTTGTTTACGCCAACCAGACATCAACCTGTCAGAGCGCTTTCCTTTAGGGAGCGCCTCTTATTTTAGGAGGCAAATCTGTGTTTGCCCTCTCAGAGGCCACAAACACCACTTGCTCTTCTCTAGAGCCCTCAGCCTCTTCACCAGTTGCGTTTCCAAGAGTCCACCAATAATACTTTACCGTCCGGCGATCTGGAATTTGCCGCGTAGGTCGAAAGCACTTGGGGAAGTTGGACAAGCTCAACTTAACTGACAGGCGTATCGAACAACTGAATAAACGAAAACAAGAGAGAACAAAATGCCGCTGACTTGGGGTCGTCGTGGGTGACAGATATTGTCCAACCGCACTGCGGGTGACTGTAATGCCCCATGTGACAACATGACAAAATTTTAACGACAACGTGTGTACAAACACACAGCGGTGCTGCGTGATATTTCTGGTGTGGGGAAGAAACTTTTTTTTCTTTTTTAAATCACACCACTGCATTTGGAGAACTCCCAAATAATGAGACAAAGAGACAAATCCTTCTCTCAACAGGTTTCCTATGCAAATAGGGAAAGACCTGCAGGGCGCACGTTCACACAATTCTGCATATGTCCACGTGCGAATCGACGAGTACACAAAAATGAAACCAATGCCGATTCGGCCACCAGAAGAGAAACATTTTTAGCATCTCCAAAAAGTCATTGCAGCAGCAAAGTTGAAACTCGCGCTGCCTTAAGGTCGATTCTCTGTGAGAACTTTGACCACGCAACCAAAGCAGAACACCCTTGGTGGCAGCATAGCGGGAATCCTAACACTCTAATTTGCTTCTGGATCTTCAAAAGCAGAAATGAAAGGAGACTTCCACACAGCACGTGTGTTGATTCAAACACAAAGATGTACAGCCGCAGCTTGCGAGACTCGCGGCCTTGTTGGAGGACAACCACGGTCGCCTTGCTTGTTGGCGGGCTGACGCAGATCTTGTGGTGTCCTCGCCGGCTCGACGTCTTCTGTTTACCTCCCCGACTGCTCATAAGACCAAACGGGTTAGTTGAAGGACCAAACTTTGCACATCGGGTGGATGAGGTGACTCAGGGACTGACACAGCAGTACATCATTAAAGGGACTGAATCACGCGGTGACTTCATTAGACTGTTGCAGTCAACAGTCACCGTGGCCCATCTCAGGTTATTAGAGCCCACGAGGCAAACAAGATGATAGGAGGCCCAGCAGGGGTCAAAAGGGCAAATGGGATGAATGCTAACGATATGGTAAATATGGAGCAACACTCATTGAATTTAAAATACACAAGCAAATTTCAGTCACTTCAGGGAAATGTTTTTGCTCTTTGTTATCCACACTCATGTCCAAGTTACCATTCGTATTCCTCCTCAAGGTTGGAGAGGCCATCTTCATTGTCAGAAACAGCCGTGCTGTAGCGTTGAAGAGATGTTGGGCATGAACCCAACACAATGAACCTAACATAAACTGATTGAATTCATTAACAAAGACACCGTGCATGAACGAGCCACCACATTTGAGTTTAGGCCGAGCCAAGTTTTCTGTCAATATGCAAAACAAGTAAACAATCATATCTTGAAACAACAGCCGCGTGCAGGTTGCACTAATGAACCTTGAATAGAAGCGTAAATGTTCATTGATTGACAAAAAAAGAAGAAGAAACAGTCCATAGGAACAGGGCTGCTTTCTGAGGTGAACCTCTAGAGTGGAGAACATAGTTCTGGAGGTTCAAGTAGCTTTCTCTATTCCATCGTTTGGTTTCAACTGCACCTGTAACATTCATGGAGACACTGCCTGAGTGGGTTGGCAGTCTTTTTATCACACAGGAACTGGATGCTGTCATCTAAATGCAAATATATAGCCACAAAAGTACGTCATACGGCCAGATTAGAACGATGTCCAATCAAATGAAATTGCCCAGATCAAATCACTATACATGTGCACTAGTTTAGCATACTGTACTGCAATACTACCATAATACTGCGCTTGAACATATTCAAACATTTCACTCATATTGTCGTTAAAGAGAGTATGTTACCAATCGACCGGTATAATCGATCCTGTATAAATAGCATCCGCCCCCCTCAACAGAGTACTAGAAAGGTTTTCCTTGCTCGCTAAATCTACTCCTTGTGTACTTTGGGACTTTCGGGACTTTCTGCCTCGTGGGTAAGTTCTCTCTCTCTCTCTCTCTCGTTGTGGCGGATGAAACGCACGCGCAGTGCCCAAAAGCGCAACAAAATAAAACGTCTCTGGATACGAACGTCTCCGTATCAGAAACGCGTGGCGCGCTGTGGACGCGTCAACGACAGTGAGTGTGCATCCGGTGTCCGAAACGTGTTTTCGGCGCCAACCCCCCCGCGATGGTAGGATCGGTTTTACGGTCCCATCGCAATCCAGCGGAGGAACCCGTAATCCACTCACCAGCGACTCCGCAATCGCCACATGCCCCGAGCACCATGAGGGAGAGCCGGGCGGATGTGCTCCACTCCGGCTGGCCTGTCGAGCCTGCCCGTTGCGGGTTTCACGAGCGCGTGTGCGCATCCACTTACGCATCCCGGGCAGGGCGAGGGAACACAACCATCCCGGAATCAAACCGCGCGATCTTCCACGGCGGCGCGGAATCCCGAAAAAGCCGGATCACAACTGGAGAGCGAAAGGCGCACGGCGATTGTTCGCCGCGCGGGTCCGTCTATTGGTTCCCGTCAGCTGGGCCAGCGTCAGCACGCACACACACACACACACACACACACACGGTCTCCATTTGCAACTCCATCGCCCCCCATGGGTGTGCGAGGCCGCGGGCTGTGACGCAAATGGCACTGGATGATTTGCAGATGACATATCTTCCTGATTCCGCGTCGTCGCCGTGGGGCGGGAGGGGGCCATGTCCAAACCCTGACATGTTACACGCAAACATCCACCCGACGAGTAAATAACGGCGGACCAGCAGTTCGCTCCGTGCGGGGATGCGGTTGCATAACTCAGGAAACTTAATAAAGAAAAAACATGCACGGTGCAAGCGATGTGCGTGCCCCCCCCCACCCCCCTTCCCTCCTCTCCGGCCGATTTCGGCCTGGTGCCACGGCGCTCGATCGGTCCTCGACTTTTGGCCACGGGAGAGGAAACGGAGCGGAGCGGGCACACGGGGGAGAGCGAGTGGCCTCGCTGTGGTGGATGCGTGGCCGGTGCTAGGACGCATGCACGTAGCTGACGGGGGAGAGACAGGACAGCCGGTGAGAGACTTGGGACCGCATTCACAGGCCATAAAGGGCCCGCGTGAACACTATTGTGCTCTTTTATGCAAGAGTCCCCCAACTATTTACAAAAGGTTGGCCAACTCACACACACACAGACGCGCGCGCGCGCACGCACACACACACACACACACACAGAAATATCGCGGCGAAATGGTGGCGGCGGTTACAGCAGCTGCTGCCACTGTGCCCTGCGCAAAGCGGCAGCGACACAATCGTTGCGCAGCGCCGGACTTCCCCCAGTTGTGTGCAAACTATGTGATTCCCTGGAAATACTTTTTATTTAATTTATCTCGGGGTCTCGTTCGAGGCTGTCTTCGTCCGGCGAGCGGCGAGCCGTGAGCGCAGGGCGAGTAACCGTTCTCATGGCACGATTTGCATCGCCCCCCCCATGAAAATCTCCTTTCACGCGGCGATATTGTCAGCCCAAACACCGCCGTATTGGGCCACGATGGGACGGCTTGACTCGATCAAAAGGGGGGGAAGCCAAGTACCAAATGCCCCCTTTTCCGAGCCGAAAGAGGAGAGAGGCCTCTCGTGCGGATTGCAGCATGGCCGGGGAGTGCGGCGTAAAAACGAGCTAACCGGACTAAAATACACACAAAGACAAGGTGCAATGCTCCCACAAAGACGCCCACCGCCACCGGGGTAATATCACCCAACCGCCCGCGGTCACTCGAATCCGCCTGGAGCCGGCCGGGGTGCCGTTATTCTGAATATAAAACGCTGCGTTTTGCGACTCCGTGCCATCTTTTCCAAGAAGCAGCTTGGCGCACAGGACCGGTGACCCTTCCATCTTTGCGCGTCCTTCCAGCGGGCCAAACCGCGAACTATCTCGCGTTCTGACCGGCAACTATTGAATATAACACACCGCGGCAGGCGATTTCCACCTCCGAGGGGGCCGAGGCGGCACGCAGAGCCTGCCACAAGTCCCCGAAACTACCCCTCTCCCCGCCGCGGCCAGGCAGAAACAAGAGGGCGATGACGCCATTTTCTGCAAAAAACAACCACGCTCGGGAAGCCCAGAGCGAACGGAGGGGTTGTTTTAAACCCGCTGCGCCGCCGTCTAGTCCCGCGGAAAACGTACCCGAAAGCAAGTCCTTACCTCGAATGAATGGATGTCGGTGCGATCGCGTGTTCGGAGAGGCTCGAAACTAGGCGGCCGCGAGGCTACTTGGAGGTGCGGGAGGTTGTTTATCTCGCCTACCCAGCGTCCCCGGCTCACTCTGAACAAGTTGGTCTGCGAGCCGCTGTCTTTGTGCACCCAGAGGAGCCGCTCGGCATTAAAACCCGGGTCTCTGCGCAAAGGTGCACCCTCCGCGAGCAGAAACGTCGCTACTTTTTGGGGTGGGGGCGGAATTGCGAGAAGAAATACAGTAAAAAAGAAAGGAACGGCGTGACATATTTCGATTGAGAAAAGTTAAGTGTTTTTTTGGTGTGTTTTTTAACCAAAGGGCCACGCTGATTTTTTGTGTGTCGCCCCCCCCCCCCTCCTCCTTCTCCAAAACGCGCAACCTTTGAGGAGACAAGAGCTCTCCACAAGAGTCCACAACCAAATTCAAACTAAGGTGGTGGAGACACCCTCCCCAAAAAAAGTTCAGAAGCAACCAAAAGCCGAAACACCAGGCGGCCGATTCAATAAGTAGACGGACTCGACTAAAAGTGACGTCCGGGACTTCGTGGCCAAAAAACAATAAATGGCATTTACTCATAAATAATACAGGCGTTTATGTTAATATATTCTACAGTGCAGAGCGCGGGGCCATATTAAATAATGAAGTTGGACGGTGCACGAGGGAGCCGGTCGGAGGAGATTACTCTCCGTGTTGTTGCGTGTGGAGACAACTGTTGATCGCTGGTCCCTCGTCGGGGACGTGGGGCCACTCTGCGCGCCCCCCCCCCAGGCCAATAGCAATCACAACGCCGATTCCAGTGGCTTTCATCTCTTATTGGACCAATACAAATAAAATCACCACTATCTTAAAGCCAATCGATAATTGAGAAAAAACGGCTCGTTTTGGGGCCAATTGTGAACACCGTTCGTTGTTATTGACTATTGGCAGACAACTTAAAATGTTCAAAGAAGATGTGTTATTCTTTGTCGACGCACGGCACCGAAACGTAAATAAACGTTTGGTGAATTTTGCTAAACTTTGAAACCAAATTAAACGGCTATACGGCTAACGCAAAGCTAGCGCCGTTAATTGAGCACGTTAGCTGCTGGTTGTGGCTAACGCAAAAGTAATTTATGTCAGATGGCGTCGACTGTTTAGCCTCGCCGATAAAACTTGCGTTGTGGAAGAAATTGACAGGTGCGGGGAGTCTTCGCAATAAAAAACGGAGAGAAAAAAATCCCCCGTCGAGCCATGTCACACCAAAGCTAACGTTAGCTTAGCTTCAGTGCCAGAGCCGAGCAACGACACAGCTAACATCAACTTGGTGTTACTTTTTTTTAACACCGAGTAGTGGCAATGCTTTTTCAACACACTGTAACACACAATAATTTGTAATGCTACATCATTTATCGTGGACACACACAGTGGTTTACAAATAATTGTAATTGCACGCTTAAAACAGCCGCCTTACCTTGTTTCCAGGTTATTGAACATGAAGCGGTAACGTCACGTTTTGTCGTTTCCCCCGCAACGTCAATTTACTATTTACCTCAATTAACTTTGAGTTATTTTATCTACACAAAATAATTCACTTTTTTTAAGTAAAACGGGAACCAAAATATCCAACTAAAGGTACCTTTAGCTAGTGTAATGACTAACAGGTAAGCTGTGATTTGAACGAGACACTCGGGGCAGTAATGTTAAGGTAAAGTGAGTCCATGCAGGTGTGCTGATGTGGGGTGGGGGTGATGGGGGTATGAAGAGGAGGATGACGGGGTGTAAGCAGTTATTGCAGTGACCTGATGAACGTCTTGTGGAGGAAAAAGGGAACATATGAACAGATTAATAAAAGCCTGTTGTCAAATGTGGCTTATAAATAGTATTAGCTGTGTTACCACACTTTTAAAGACGCTATATGTAATTTCCCTCAATATAAAACATGTCATCACGTTTACTGCTGTTCAAATAGTTACTTATGCCTACTGGCTAAGTATCTACCTATGTATCAGGGTGTTGAATCGTGATACAACAGCTCTATATATATAACCTTTTTAGTATATTTGTATATAATATTTGATTTGGCCCCTCAATGCTTTGCTCTTGTGATTAGTGACCACATGGTTTTTGCAGCAGTTTGCAGCCGGTGAGGGAAGATGAAGACAAACCAACGAAACGATTCAAACTACCCGGTAATTTATTTCAAAGAAAAAATCTGCATCATCTAAGTGGAATCAAAACGCTAATGGTGAACACACTAAACATCATTAAACTGTAATTGCAACTTTACAGTTAGAAATTGAGCGAATAGTTAGGAGACAAGTATTCCAGAACAAGGGAGACATCTGGATTTTAACCCATTGCAAATAGGTTGATGTGGATTTGATGGATAGCAGATATTTGTAAAATAATACAAACATGCTGTACAAATCCGGAATACATCCTACAAGTCTAATTAATCTAAAAGAAAAAACACTCAGCTCATTGAAAGCAAAAGTGAGCGGAAAGCGGGGGCGGCGGGGGGGTTGGAGAAGTTCTATGAGAGTTATAATCCCTGCTGCCTCTGTCCTTTAGGCTCATGAGAGCCCGCAACAAAAGGTGCCCACCACTATCGCCTATACACAATTAACCAAAGCACCAGCATTATTCCATTATCATAAGAATGCTGTTTGCAATAGGGGGGGGGGGGGGGGGGGTAACTCCTCGGCATTCATGGACGTCGCCGAATAGAGCCCCAGAGCTTTTATCTTCTCAATTACATGCAGGCTGCATTTATCACAAAACCTAGCGACATGTTTGGACACTTTTTTTCACGTGACAAAATCATTCATTTATGCTGGTTAATCCAGATAGCCTGTTTATAATTACAGCATGGACTGCAAGTGGGCCCGGGAGGGACCGGTGAAGATGCGTGTAAGTGTTCAACGGGATGCCAGTGGCATCCAATTTTTCAAAAGACAAATGTTATATTGACTATCAGGATTGCCAAATAAGTAAATGTAATAGTACAAATGGTATAAGTCAGTATATTCCAATGACCTTTTTTCTATATTTTCTTGGATGTGTATAGGTTTCTGACATCCTCGATGGTCCCGTGGAAGCTGCTGTTAATTCAGAGGAGGACCCAGTGCAGTAATTGTTCATCCCAGCAGGAGACTCTGAATAAATGAAGGCCAAGCAAGGGCCGTCCCTCACTCCGAGGGTTAACGCCATTTGTCCTGCATTGCATTTCCTCCTCAGTGCTTTTCATCCCATATGCGGCTGATGAGATTTTGGGGGTCGTGTTGGAGCCAACTGACCACAAGGTGTCAATGTTGTTGGTAATGTCTTTTTTTACTTCTCTCATCTCAGTCCATTAATGCAGAAATGCATTGAGTAAAAGCAGTGGGTAGAAAACGCCTGCTAGATGTCATGCTCAAACAAATCTAATTGGATGTAGCGATTCGTCTGGAGAGCAGTAAAAGATGTCAGCTGAGTCACGTGTAGTCACAGTGCAAAAGCGCTCGTACACAGGCTGCTGCATTTCGGACTTTACACATAAATTACCTTCGTAAATGATGTTCTAAAACTGCCCGCCCATTCTAGTCACGTGAGGTAATACATAGTGTGTTTTGAGCCCAGTGTTTCCTCAATATCGTAGCTTGTGTGCAGATCAGGGGATCATGAAAAAATAATGCAGCGACCCCCTTTTGTGGGGAAAAAGCCCTCATGAATTTCAACCCCTCAGATGCAAAATGTTGGACAGTATGTTCAGGCCACTGTTTAACTTTCCCTTCGCGTGGAATCGAACTCTCCTTACGGCCAACGTTGATTCTGCTTCATTTTCACCTTTTTTAAAAGCTATCTCCATTTCTCAGAAAAAGATAATTACCATCAAAAAGGGTCAAATGGGTGTCAAGACTCACTGGAACGACAGGAACTTATGGACAACTTGAAGGTCATATCAAACGGCTCACTGTTTGTAGCCTATAATTGCCCCTTTTCACATAATCCCCAACCTGAATCATCCACATACGGGTCGATGTGAGACTGTAACCATTGGATTCATCAATCAGCAAATAATGAGTAGAACTTTTTGGACTATTGTTATTAGACTTATTTGGGTTCTCAGTAAATTTATCCGGATAACTCAAGTGAAGCTGCGTCATGAGAGCGGCTTCAAATGAGAGCTGGATGATCAAAAGATTGTATGACCGTGACCTCGGTGAACTCCGGGTTGTGATCAGAGATTAAACAGCGACATACAGTAAATTCCATTGAGGTTAAATTGACAAATTTGTTTGAATCAGGCTGCAGTGTATGTGTGTATATTCCATTAAATCAAATCTGCTCCAACCCACTGCAGAGGTTTTGAAAATCCCATCTGTAGAAGGAAATGAAACTGAGATGATTTTACTTTGGATAAAGAGACACTGCAATGTTAAAAGTAGGAATTTACAACAAAGGCCGTCTACACAGCACACAGCACTAGTGCTATAGTTAGCTTCTGGCACTAAAGTTCAGGTGATGACGTTTAATCTGCCACTCCTCTTTTGACTGCTTTACATCTGTGGTTGCCCTTAATATCCGTGGTTCTGTAACTCTACACTTTCTTTTTGGAACATGGGAGGCTGCATATCAATGGCAATGTGGCAACAGTAATTTCCAATATTTTAGTTTATTTTATATCTGTCTCTAGTGATAACCTGGGCAACCATTCAAGGTGGATGTTAAATGTAGTTGATTTTACCCTTTGGTAGATCGACATACTAATTACTATATAATCGCTTGTACCTCATAAAGATGCCAAATAACTGCATCAGTCCTTTCAGGAATTTGATGCTTAAGCTAAAAGTAAATAAAAGTCACTGTTGAATATAATAAGAAAATGCTTTGTTCCAATTCTCCCTGCCCTCTTTTCGTGAAGATTCTGGACAAGTACAGCACAGGAGTGTCAATAGTCAGCTTTGTGCGAACGTCTGAATACCGCAGTGTGCTTTCATTTCGCTGAGCGACGAGAGCAGAGATCTCATTGGTTTGCTTTCTGCTGCGAACAATAACAACATAAAATCGTTGCTATAAAGAGACAACGGCAGTAAGATGGCGCCACAGAACAATTTGTGGTTCCCATGTCATCCCTCTCACGGAACACGAGAAAAGCTGTGTCACGGACAACGTTGGCTGGAGTTTCATCATAAAAGAGTCGCCAGATTCTATAATCCAACGGATTCACTCACTCGCTCCAAAATGTTCAATGTGTACCGAGACAGGACCGGAAGTTTAAAACTAATAAGCCGTTTCCAGATAAGCAGTGTTAGAAAGAAGATCACTAGTTATACAATTCATTGTGTTCTGCAAAAAGAAGATCAGGTTTTTGGGGGTTTTAACGTGTGATTTCCTGGTGGGCAACAGTGTCTTTAGAGCTGAACCTCGGCCTTAGAGGAAGTCAATTCAATGTCCTCTCAATTCTGATTGTGGTTCGATTACTCAAACAGTGCGCTGTGTGTGTTGTCCCACACATCCCATCACTGGTCTAAATGGAAAGACGCAGCGAGACAGCGCTCTAGTCAAACAGGCCGATCTTCAGTATGATATCGACCATGTTCGCCATCTTAGCGTAGCGCATCAGCATTTCGCTACTTTGCACCAAGCGCCGACTCCCGCAGGGTCTGACGTGGTGGACAAGTTGAAATGTTGACGGGGTCGTAGTAGCAGAGCAGACGTCGCTCGGCAGCGTCTTCACCAATGAGGAGGTCAATTAGAAAGATCCATCTGGTGGAAGGACACGATGATACGACCACAGAAGACTCCCAAAAAACAAACAAAAAACCCCACAAACATTTCCCGTCTCGCATTAACGATGAGGAGCTCATCACATGGGAAGGAAATGCATCATCCGTGAGACTTTGCCTCCAGTTCAAACAAAACAACATTCACCGTCATTCATTTAATAAAAGCTCACATATAAGACTATATTATATTATTTTTTATATTATATTTTTTGTGTACAGCGAGTGTTCAGTTGGTTTGATGGGAAATCCATTTTCTGACCCAACTGCTGTGAATCCACCTCGTCTTCCCGCGAGGCATCTTTCATATTATCCACACGGTTGGGAAGAGGCACATCAAAGCGATAGCGGAGCGCTGGTTCAGGGCCCAGCTCACCAACTGCACAACAACTTCTTTCACCGCAGTTGCCGGGTACACTTTTACAAATATATAGATTTGGTTTTAATATCGCAAATATTTATATAAATAGATATCGATTAAAGATCTGGCCATTATGACAAAGTGAAAAGAAAAAAAAGTAAGAGGCTTAAAAACAAAGAAAAATAAACTGGGAATATGTCATTCATTGGCAAAAGATAATATACAACTGCTCTGAAATTCATGAACTTAGTTTTAGCTGCAACACACTGAAACCTCCCATTCTTTTACTATCAACAATTATCACCTTTGACCTGTAGGTACACATGAGAAGATACTGAGGGGAAACAAATGTCATAGAACTCCCACGTAAACCAGGGTTTCCAGTCCATTAGCCCAACACAAACCAGTTCTTCCCCGGAACACGGGTTTGGTACGTGGCGTTAAACGGAGAAAAGAGGAATTGAAGGCGTGTTAACTGTACACCGCGGGGTAGCTGGGTAAACCACTGGCGAGTACCTAGTCTGTGTGTGTGTGTGTGTGTGTGTGTGTGGGGGGGGGGGGTATTGAGACATGACATTTGGGCCCCGGTTTCTCCATCAAAATACAGCAGAATTAACAAGGGTCATGATCAACCTTAGAAAAAATTACACCCAAAAATCAAAACACTTTTCGGAGAGCCACAGCCAATGAAACTTCATTGAATAGCAGTTTGGATTCATAGCGTAACAAAATACTTTGCTGCACAGCATTTTTACCAAACGGACTACAGGTTGTTGTTATCTGCCTGCAGCAGCCAAAGTTCATATGTGTTTGCGTGTCAGCTGGTATTGCTCGAACTCGAACGAGCGAATTCTGCGAGATTCAGAGAAACCAGGCCGATCTCGTCGATGTCCGCGAACACAGAACGAGGCAGGAGGGCAGAAATACTCTGTTCGGCTCATATTGGGTAAACGGGGACAATTGTGAATAAATACAAAAAGAATAACAGATATGTACACATTTTCAACAACACGCTTCATCATAATTCAGCACTTCTTCAAAATGAAATGATTTTCTGCTCAAAAAGTCTCAGGGTGAATTAGAAAACAAACGTATTTAACGGTCAATTATTGTTAAAAAAAAAAAAGAATCCAACATCAAACATCAAACATTAAAGTATTCCGTTTTGGATGTCCTGATACACAGACAGGAGTTTGTGTGTTTCTTGCAACTTTTTAAAACCAGAGAGGGAAAAAAAATATCTTCAAAATATCGGATTTCTTCCCGTATCAAAACACAACGTGTCGCCGCAGCATCGTTGGTAACACAAATGTTTATTTTCCTTCCTCCTTTGCATGTGTGGACAGTTCCTCGCGTGGCCGTCCTTGACACCGTTCGACCCCTCGAAGGAGTAAGTGCACTTTGAACACAGGCATGCTGGGATAAAAAGGAGGAGGGGGAGGGGGGTCATGGGGGAGCCTGACTAAAGCTGCTCATCTCCATCATCATTGAGGTAAAAAGCTCAAATCAATAGTATAAAGACAGTAAAAGTGATGGTTTGAGGGGGAGGGGGGTCAAGGTCAGCTGAACAGACACAGCAAGCAGGACACTGGTCAGAACAACCAGCGTAAAACCAACCAATTCAAATAAAAAAAGTTGCCCCCCCCCGCAAGTCTTTAAGAATGCCTTTAAAGGCACATTCCCTTTTCATAGGATAAAATCATAGATTCCGTCGTCTTATTTTGCGAGGCGGCCCCCCCATCACAGCAGAGACCCTCCAGAGCGACGTGTGAACCCAAATGTCATTTGAAATGCCTCGCCGAGATGAGGCAGTCTGATTCATGCCGTCAGTGCGGTGAGGTCAAAGGTCACAAACAGTGGTGGTCTGCACAGCTCCCCGATATTCTGTCTGTGAAAACAGGCTTCTCAGTGATGCGACTTGGCCTGTGGGGAGAAGAGGACAGATTGATCAGTTGGTTTTTATTTATTATTATTAGACTATAAAAACCCTTATCATTAACAGAGAGCCAAAATTCCACATGTCTTTAAACTAACTTTTACCACTCAGTTTTATGTCACTTCTTCTTCACATTAATCTAGGTGTTATATACTAAACTTTTTTTTGGGATGCCAAATCACCTGCATTTGCAGCAAATTGCAACAAATACAGACCATATAGTGTGTGTGTGTGTTTCGTATTGCTGCAAAGCACCCTTGAATACTACATACCCTACAACAAATAAATTCATTATCAACAACGTCTTCACTGAAAATGTGTCCTTGAGGTCTTGAAGTCTTAAGTTTTGGCCATCTGATCTACAGCTGAATTAGGTTTTGTGAGTCAATATAAAAATACATTATTTCAACTGTCATTCATTTTATGTTGGAAAACAAACCTCCTTGAGTTTACTTGATTGTCATTCTAGAATCTCATGAGAAGCGAGACGTTTTCCTAATTTCAGTGGGGACGCACTGAGGCACAGTGGTGATTTGAGCCAAGAGCGAGTGTTACGTTTTGTTTTGTTTGGCAGGCTGAAAATGAGTTTATAATCATAGCAGACACCCACCTGTCTCGGGGACTCCGGCCCCGAAGCCAGTATTCCCACGGTGTCGCTCCCGTTCCCGAAGAGGCCTTCCAGTCCGCCTGGCCGACTCAGCTTGCTCATCTTCCCTTGGTAAGAGCCGGGACTCCTCCTCTTCCTCCCCTCTGCTCCTCCCCCGTAAGCCAAGGGTCCCGAGGGGGAGGCCAGGGGCCTTGAGGGGGCAAAGGCGACCTCCCTGATGGACGAGTAAGGCACGCCGGTCGTGCTGTGTTCGCGACTGCACACCAGAGGAGGAGGGAAATTGCCGTTAATGACACAGTGAGCTCCCGTATCATTTCCCCGGTTTGGTAGCGTCTATTTGGGCTGCTGTAAAATCATCACAGCAGATTTTTATCGCGCTGTATATATTTTAGAGAAAAAGATAAACACCCGTCATCACAGCCTCTGCACCGCTGACGCCGTCCTCTCTGTTTAGACGCGGCTTTTTAATAAATCACCCGCTCATGTGTTTCTCTGCATCGTCTCCTATTATTTTCCTGACCAAATGCATTGACTGTCAAAACGTTACCCACCTGCTCTGCGAGTTGTGACTTTGAGGCCTGTCAGCTCTGGACAACCAGTCCTCTCCGCCGCTCCACAGCCCAGTGGCCCCGCCCCTTTTCCTGTCCGCCGCCCTCCCTGAAGCATGTAAAGTTGGGCGATGGCTGGCGCCGTTCCTCCGAACGTTATCCACAGTCGGCGGCAAGGAAGAGGGGGAGATGGAGGAGGAGGGTTGAGAGGGGGGCTTTCTCCTCTTAGACCCCGATACACAGTCCTCCGAGTCTTTGGATGGCCAGCTGTCTCTGCGGGTGCCGTTACGGGCTTTAACCAGCGCGGAAACCGGGGCGACGAGCCGCGCAGCGTCCGGGACGCCGAGCGTCCCCACCTCGGATGCGCCCGGGGGAAATGCAGCGAGCCGGGAGAGGGAGTTGGAGGGGGGCCGGATGTGAGAAGCAGTGGCGGGGGAGGGAGAGGGAGTCTGTGGCGAAGCGTCGGGGGAAGTACCGGAGGAGGAGAGGGAGACGAGGCTCTCAGGCGCCAGAGGCACCTTCCTAGAAAAACACAGCCTTATCTGATACCCTTTACTTTACTTTCATTAACTTGCATCTTGTTAACATACACGTCACTTTCTTTCTATTAACGACCTGTTCAGTGACTGTAAATCTGGTGAAATCCAATCACAGTTATGCCAGCGTACGTTGCTGCGCACTCACCTCCACATCTGGGCGCTGAGGTGCTTCTCCACCATGCTCTGGAGCGCCAGCCTCATCCTGTCCCATCGCCTGTCGAACACGTAGTGACCCCGTCCCATGAGCCTGCTGCTGAACACGCAAACCTGCAGGGGAGAAGGCACAGGGAGTGAAGGCGCTGACAACAGAGGGGGAGGAGCCCGAACAACGAGAAAGAAACGAGGGAACGGACGAAAAAGACGCAGAGGATAGAGAGAAAAACAAAAAGGAAAGAAAAAGAACGAAAGACACCGAGAGAAAGAGGAAGGAAGTAAGATGTGGGTTGACAGAGCAGGATGTGGAGTCAAAGAGGAATCAAAAGAAACAGAGATACGGAAAAGAACAGACGACCAAGAGCGGAGAAGACACATTGTTCGGTGCAATATGGTTAAATATCCTATGAAGGAAATCCGGCCTGTCATCAACCTTTTTGGTCTTGACCCAGATTCCGGACAAAAGCTTCCCTCCTCGTTAGCTACATTCGAGTCTGAACACAGACAAAAGTAATTCTTCTGAATGGCATCTAAAAACAGATTCCTATGAATGGCGTCTAAAAACAGGCCTCACACCGCTTACCCCTAAAGGCTGTGGGTGGTGATTGGACGAGTAAAAGGCGGGCCTGACAGTGTCCTCGGGAGTCTCCCCGTCTCCCTCGTCACTGGAGAGTCGGCCCCCATCTGCCGCCCCCGAACCGCGGGGAGAAGGCTCTGGGTTGGGGGGCGCGGGAGGTGCTGGTGCCGGGGCCGGGGGAACCGAGGTGGAGGCCGGCACCCTGCAGGTGAGTGGTGGACAGCCATGGAGGGGGAGATGCAGGGAGAGTGAAATGTGCAGGCGAGGAAGGGGGAGAAGTGGAGAATGAATTGGATAAGAGAAGGGATGCAGGGGACAGTGTAGAGAAATACAAAAAAAGAGAGAGAAACATAATTTCGGAATCAGCACCACGGTCCATCTATCCATGTTTGCCCCAGGAACAAAATAAAAAGAGGATCATCTTCTAAATATAAACAGGAAATTAGTTTCTAGTACGACTTTCAATTCATTCACTGCTGTTTTTCCATCCGGGCACGGTTGCTGTTTACAGCCTCCCCTGGTGGGAAAAACATGAACAGATATGAATTGCATCAACTCCACATCGCATTAACTCCAGTGATGTGTAAAAGTATTAAAAGTTATATTTGAGGAACAGTAAAGATAAATGGCTGGAAAACAAAATAATTAACAGGCATATATATATTAATGATTGAGAAATAACAAAAGAGTCAAGACTTTAGTTCAGAGAGTTTCTTTAAAAGTGCAGAAATATGTATATTTTCAGTAAATCTTTTCCTAAAAACAAAAAGACAAAATATAAGGAAGTAAATAATAATGACTAATATAATAATCATTTGTTATGGACTCTTGAGAATTCTTGTTCCAAGTTTACTTTTTCTCCTCATATGAGAGGACAGACAAGTGGATCACATGACTGATTGAATGTAAACACACGCAGAGTGAATATTGTGTGTGTGTGTGTGTGTGTGTGTGTGTGTGTGTGTGTGTGGAAGGGAGGAGGAGGAGGGCGGGGGGAGATTGGGGGAGGGGGGGGTCCTCTTTCCTACCTAGGTATATGTGCATTTGCCAGCCTTAGCTTCAGCGTGGACAGCGGTCGGCCATTTGGACAGTGAGGCTTGCCGGGACTCGCGGTCTCCCCCGTGGCTGTGATGCTCTGGCCGCTGCCCTCCTTCCCCGCCGTCGACGCTCCCTGCTCCTTCGCTCCCTCGTTGACCTTCGCCCGCCCCTTGTGTTCAGCCAGGAGGACGTCGAAGTCTTTCGTCCGGCCGCAGATGGCTCGGCGGGAGGTTAAGGAGTGAGTCTGTGGAAGACACCCGTAAAACAAAACCAAAAAGGTTATTCCCAGAGAGACGTTTGTTCGTTTGCAGCAGAGTGGCGTTCATTCAGCAAGGGATGCTCTGGTTTCAGGAAAGCTTCCATAATCCCTGCACCATTCCACTGCCCACGTCACACCAGACCAACAGAGGGACATATTGCCGGTTCATGGTGAGTTTGTCTACTCTTTGGAAGGGAACCAGCTGTCAGACATTTGGTTTTCCCAACAGCCCACTAAAGGATGAAATACTGGTTCGAAACAGGAAGTGTGGTTTCAACAACAAGATGTGTTTCCTTTAGTTCCTCAAAGGAAATCGAACCGAATAACAATAACAAATATTATTTGATTTAGCTGCTGCCTGGGGACAAAGTTACTCTAAAACACATATCAAATCTGAAATTAAGCCGTTACATATATACGTTTGATGGATCTGGAGGACGGAACCGGGAACAGCAACTGCAGAAAATCATTACACAATTAATTAACCATGCAAGTCTGAAAACATTCATATACTGCAGTTCTCTTCTTCTTAAATGATTCTAATAAATTTTAAAAATAACGACAGTGAAAATGTTGTATGCGTGTGGATGGGTTTTTGAATGAAAAGGAAAGAAGGACAGTTTAAACCCAACGACGAGAGAATGACGAAGAATGAAGACAAATATCCATCAATCCATCCTTTGTCAAACCGCTTATCCTGCACACAGGGTCGCGGGGGGGCTGGAGTCCATCCCAGCCAACTTCGGGCGATAGACAGGGTACACCCTGGATTGGTCGCCAGCCAATCGCAGGGCCACACAGAGACATACAACCATTCACACTCACATTCACACATCTACGGGCAATTTAAAGTCCCCAATTAACCTGATCCCCAGAGCATGTCTTTGGACTGTGGGAGGAAGCCGGAGAACCCGGAGAGAACCCACGCAGACACGGGGAGAACATGCAGACTCCACACAGAAAGGCCACCGGGCGGAATCGAACCCAGGACCTTCTTGCTGTGAGGCAACAGTGCTAACCACCACGCCACCGTGCCGCCCCTAGAAGACAAATATATGAAAAGACAAAGAACATGCTCCTTGAGAGCATCTCTGATTATAGCAAGCGCTCATTGCGACTGCCGGTATTATTGAACACAACCACATTGAAAAAACACCCAAAAAATAAGGAAAACACAATCATCCCGGCCGCTCAAAACAATGAACACGCAAGACTGAAACCGTTCTAATTACCTAATAACCAGTTTGTGTAATTAGTAACACTCGTTAGCAGTAATTAAAAGGGCAGTAAATTGTAGTTTTACAGCTGAAAGATGTTGCAGCCTCATTCAACATCTATAATTACATCATTAAGGAGAAGTGTGGGCCCCATAACGCCTCAGCACCGCCGCCTCGCATTGACCGACGAAATGGGAAGTGCAGACGGAGCGCAGAGACGGACTGTGGGCGGAGTCATTACAGCAGCGATGACAAGGGCGCCCTGCGATATTGTTACTCCGATAAACAAACAAAGCTGCTTTCCTGGTCAGACGGCCTCAGACAGGAAGCCGGAAGAAGGGTCACAGACCTATTACATCCTCCATAGAAATCACACACAGGTGGAGAGTGGGAGTGATCGGTGTGTGTGTGTGTGTGTGTGTGTGTGTGTTTGTGGTACCTTGCAGGTGAGAGACCTTGTGCAGGGTCGCTTGGTTTCAGGGTCCTGGACTCCACAGTGCTTGTTAGGATCAAAGACTCTGCCTGTAAAACATTTGCGCCCCAAACACACATTAGACTGTTAATAAAAAGGTGTCACTAATCAAGAGCATTTGTGTGCGTCTTTGGTGAAAGCATGTTTCTCTCCTGTAGTTGATTACTAGGGTTACGAGGGATTTAAAGCTTTTCAAAAAAAACGGATGGACTGTAAAGATCCCGCACGCTGTGCCAAATCATGCTTGACGGGACCAACTGGCAGCGGGACAAGAGACAAGTGTGACTGACGGCTCAGGAAACTCTCCGCTGCTTTGAATGAAGAGCAAATATACTATATATAAAAACAAGACTGTGCTGCTGTGCAGTCGAAGTCTCTCTTGTCCATCGCAAAGTTTCGCTCTTCTGGAAAAATGTTTACAAAATCCTCAGGTGAAATAGCCGATCTATTAATGGGATTTGATGAGATCATATTATCCTTCTACCTGTTCTGTAACATAGGTGGCCACAATGCTGGCATACATTTCAAATAAATTCTCAGTTTAACAACATTATTCAACACACTCCATCTAATCTGTAGTGAAACACTCTGCTTTGTTTTGGAAGTCAGAGTTGATCCACGTGACTGTTTTGAAACTTTCTTTCAAATAAGGCCTTTAGATAACGTGGCGAAATCCGTCCGTTGTCGTCTTGTTTGATTGCCTTAATAGACTCAAGTTGTAAACACACACTTCAGCGATGGCGCCGGCTCTAATCGGTAACAATCATCCAGATCAATGATCGGAAATACCAAAAAATAGAAACAATGAGTTGATGAAAACCGTCTAAATGACAATGTTACAATTTACATCCTGGATGAAAGAGTTGGTACACGCAGGTAACACGCAGGCAGCAGCCTTCAGTCAGCACAGTCTTCCCTGACGGTGTTCCTGTCAGTGGGCTGTAATCTAGTGCCGGCCTCAGACATAATCCCTGTAATCTGCACGTGCGGCGGGAACGCGGCTCCGGGCCGCACAGGTGGACCGACTCACGTCGGATGTAAAGCAGCAACGTACAAGCGGAAAACAGAAAAGCTACAGCAACACAAGGAGGACTCCGATGAGACAAAAAGGAAACTGAAAGGCACAAAAACATCAGAAAGTGTGAGATGGCGAGAAAAAAGATGACGGTGAGAAAACACCAGCCGAGAAGGGGGAAACGGCATTGTGTGCGAGTCCAAAAAATGAGGCCAGACCGTGAGTGTGTGTGTGTGTTTCAGTGTTTGTGTGTGTGTGTGTGTGTGTGTGAGAGAGAGTTTTCACCCAAGAGAGGCACGAGGAGGTCGAGGCAGGAGGTGGAGAGCGAGAGGACTAAAAAGAAAAGAAGCGTAGAGGCACAGGAGGTGGGGGGGGGGGATCCCTCAAGCAGACGAGTGTCTTGCTGGCAGCGGGAGCTGGTGAAGTAGAGGCTGTAGATCACAGCGAGACGCCGAGCACCAACCGAGAAGGAGGAAGTCGGAGAGCGACGACAAGCAGAAGCAACGCGTCAAAACCTTTCATGAAATATATTATCTTAAAAAAATATTTGGGAAAGAGAATGAGAATAAGTGAGAAAGATAGAGTGAAGGAATGTGGACAAAACCAATTATAACGTCTATGAGGGGGGGTCACACTTTTCTAAAAGCAACCCGTATCGGTGGAGTTTAGCCAAGTTTTCAATCCCGTCACGAGGATTTCGCCTGAAACAGAAAAGGTCGAGCGGCTGACCTGAGAGTCTCTTCTGCGGCGGCGAGGGAGTCTTTGTTCCGTTTTGGTGCTTCTTCTCCGACGGCGACAGCCGGGGGGGTCTCCGGTCCGGCGCGGAAGAAGAAGGCGCCGGCGACAGCCGCCGGTCCAGCGGAGAGCGAGCCGGGCGCGGCCGCCCCTCCGGAGAGGGGGTGGGGCGCTGGGGGCCCGGGGCAGCGAGGGACGGAGGCTTGAGGGAGGAGGTGGCGGCGAGGCGCAGATGCGACGCGGAGTCGGCGTGGACGAGGCAGGCCATCTTCTCCAGGTTCACGACGGGGAGGGAGACGCTGCGGAGGGGAAAGTGGGCGTGGTTAAAAGCAACGCACGATTCGACATTTTGGAATCACAGCAAAGAGCTCTTGTGGAAAGGTAATATAGTGGATATATGTGGATGAGAGCCATCGTGTTGAAAAGAAAAAGAAGCAATGTGCCCACCACGCCTTGTTCCGGGCCCCCTTCGGTGGGTAGACGGCGAGAGGGGCCTTACTGAAGCGGGAGTGAGGGTAATCTTTTGGAACCCTGAAGTTCAGCGTTTCCCCGGCACCGGGAGCCACAGGGGGGGGGCGCTGCCGGCGCCTTGGGCTTCATTGGGACCGAGAGGCTCCTGGGGGGGGCGGGGGAGACGTGGCGCTTCTCTGGAACAAGACGGAGAGAAAAGTGTGTCGGGTCACGTAGATGTGCGAGATCTCAACACACAGACACACACACACACACACACACACACACACACTCTCTCTCCGACTGCCAAGACCGTGCTTTACCAGTGGGGTCTGGATAATTCTTTTAGATCTGATGGCAAACATGGCAGACACCATCTGAAGTGTCCTTGTCTGATTAACTCCACCAGCATGAGGAGTGCTTGTAAGAACACATTTGACCCAGATCTGATCGAGAATAAAGAAGGGAAAGGGTACTGAGACACAGAGAGGGAATGAATAACAAATGGAGGGGGGGGGGCTTACACTTACGTTTTTTGCTATGCATGTCTTTGTGGAAGGAGGGGCGGGTGGTGGGGGTTGCGGGGGGGCGTGTGTGTGTGGGGGGAGGGGGGGGGTGGGGTTGATCCAGGACTGTTTGTCTCTCTCTGACTGCCTCACAGGGAAACTACACCCCGGCTACCTGAATGAAAACAGAGGGGTGAACACGTCATCAAGATAACATGCATTATAAGGCGAGAACACGCTGTACACGCAGTAGACCGCTGTATTTAATTGGTGTGAAAAGCTTTTCATAGTTTTCATAGTACGGAACACTATGCTCTAAAATGAGGTGTCATTATGTTCTCAAAAACAAAAGTTTAATCTACCAGCGGCACCGGGAGGTAAATAATCAACATCTGCCGGACCGATCAAGATGAAGCTGATACCAGCTGAATATCCCGTCCACTCATGAGACATCAATTAAAAAAGGGGGGGGGGGGGGGGGGGGGGGGAGCAGTGACATGACGAAATGCACATGAAGACAAATACAGAATGATGTCGTCGTAGCTGGGCCCGTATTCGGGAAACTTGGAAACCCAACTGCCCACTGAGCTAAATGAAGCCTTTTGGACAAGAATCACGAACTCACGACCCCCTTGCATTTGATCAGTACTCAGCATTTGTTGTCGTTGATTTAAACCGCGATTCCCAGAGCGTGACGGAGAGAGAGAGAGAGAGCGAGCGAGTGAGAGATCTGCGCTCGTGGCCATTAGTTAATTTACTCATTTTTGTGCAGGTAATATGTTGTTAAATAGGTTTAAACTTAAATAAATTACCTATACAAGTAGTTATGTCTCATTTAGACAGGGTGACGTGGGGTAGAGAGGGTGCGCTGGGAACCGCAAGGTTGCTGGTTCAAGTCCCGGCTGCCCCATGTCCCATGTCGAAGTGTCCCTGAGCAAGACACCTAACCCCTAATTGCTCCCCAGGCAAAAACATGTCAAATGGGTTAAAAATGTAATGTAAGTTGCTTTGGATAAAAGCGTCAGCTAAATGACATGTAATGTAATTTGTATAAATTTGTCCTGTTATTGACGCGCCTAATGCGCAATCAGATATTCAAATATATGTTCGAACGTCCTTTTTGAGCAATTTTGATAACCCTAGTGTGCGTGCGTGCACAGAGAGTGTCCCGTGTGTATCAAAAGAGATTAGCCATAGCATGCACAAGTGTGTGACAGGTGTGCGCGTGGGTATACGACACCACATTAAGAACTCGTGCCAGGGCACGTGTGCTTTCGCCTGAGGTAAAGACTGCATGTAGTTTGCATGCATAGAGAGTACATCTCTGCCTGCAGTATGTAGAAGCATCCTTTGAGAGAGCATGATTAACAAATGTGTGTGTGTGTGTGTGTGTGTGCGTGCAGGTGTGTAAATAGGCCAATGGAAGGTCCAGGGAAGCAGCTGTATTCAGAGTAGCAAGATCAAAGTCCAGAGGCACATTTGCAGGTATGCGGCTAACGACGGTAATTTTATTTTTTAATCACACTTTATTTTACACTTCCTTTTAGTCAGCTCAACTGTCCAGTTCAATTAGCTTATTAGATTTAACCACCCCCCAAAAAGAAAAAAGAAAAAACAAGCACAGGCTGTTGGGAGCTAACGGCGCTGATCAACAATACATGGACGGCTGCCCGGGCAAGGTCACAAAGCCACTCGACCACAAGGGCACCCTCGCCACTACACTCTCCTGCTCCGCCTGTCGTTATGGCGATGCTCAGGGCCCTGCAAGTTGTCCGATTGGCTGCCGGCTCCTCCCTCGGGTGGAGCCGGCACATGATGAGGAAGCTCAGCTGGGGTTGTTTACATTGAGCGGGAGGGAAAGAAAGACGGATATGAGAGACCTAGGAAACGCCTCTATGAAGACTCTCAGGGATTTGTGCTGAGTCAAAAGCTAACTCGGTTTAGATTGGGGAAAGCTATTATATATTATATATTGCAAGCAATGTGATTCAAGGTGGACACTTACGACTGGAAATCTACGAGCGGATCTTATTAAAAAAATATTATATATATATATATATATATATCAACAAACATATTAGTATGCAGCCCAACTATTAAGGGCCATCGTACGACATGCTATTGGAATACACTGCTTGTAATTACACCTTGCCTGAAAAGAATACTCAAATGCGAGGTATGTTTCAATAACCCCACCGTTGCCTAAAAAGACTGGCGAAACCAAAATGTCCTGGCCAGGTCTTTGTAACGTCCCTTTCTCTCCAAAATAAGCTTTGAGGTTGAAAAAATATATATTCCTTTGCACATTTCTCTGCGCAAAGGCTGCCAGTGTGAGGGGCCTCGTGCCAAGTATATACATCCCGGGCCTCTCCTCTCACGTACGTTTAAACCAACGTATCCGGCCAAAGGGAGCGCGCCTCGGACGTACCGAGCCGTTCTCAACGGGTTACGTGGCAAATATTTAAAAAGCCCATCCGGCGCAGGTCTCAGCTCAAGTTGTGACCACGCCCCTTTGACGCTTGGGCAGCCAACTAGGCGTGTGTAACTTGGAGCTACTGACCCCTGAGAGGGGGGGGGGGTCGGGGAGGGGGACGCCTCCCCGCTCTCTGCGTATGCGTGTGTGTGTGTACGTGCATGCATGCATTTCTCTATATCCAGGGCTTCAGTGCCGATTCGACGCGCAGGTCAAGCATGAAAGCGGATCCTACGAAGGAGACACGCAACTGCACAGCCAGGATAAGAATACGGAGCTTTTTAACTTGGGTCCCCGCAGCGGGGCGCGATGAAGATGTCACAGGGAGACCATACGCCTTTGTCATGTCATGTCACGGACTAGTTGCGTGATTAATGCTTCAGATTTAAGAAATGAATGAACGCTGGACGTTTTTACTGGATCCAAAAGAATTTAAAGGTTTAAAGGTGTTCACTGAAATGAGACAAAAATAATTCACACGCACTACTTAGTTTGTTTTGAGCTCTCAGGAGATCCCCACACTGGTCTGTGTGTGTGTGAGCGTGCACGTGAGTGTGCATGACCGTGCTTTAAACCTGTTGTTACCCGACTCTGTGTGCGCGTCAGCAAGCAAAAAAAACAACATTGCCTGCCAGGAGACTGTGTGTGCGCAAGCATTTGTCCGCGCATGTGTGTGCGCTTTGCTGTGTGTGTATGTGTGTGTGTGTGTCCTTTTTCTGCTGAGAAACAGAAAGTGAGAATGTGTGAGCATGCAACTCCACTGGCCTCTCTCCTCCCGTGTGTGTGGTGTGTGTGTGTGTGGTACTCATTAGGCATGACCACGTCCCCCCCCACCAAACAGACGGCTTTGGCTGGTTCACGTGCCGCCAACAGGAGGAAGCGGGCAGATGTGAGCGCGCGCAGTCGAGCTACAATCAAAAACAAACAAATGGACGCACAGAGGAGGTGAGGCTATTGGGGGTGCTCAAAAAGGCGAGGCTTAAGAGACGGGTGTGCATTCCCATTTATCATTAGCAGTTTTTTGAAACAACCCGTATGCCAGTCAACATTATTTCTGCAGTGGACTTATTTTACGAAACTAAAACGAAAATAAAAACTTGCTACACCATTTTATTTTCCTATGTAAATGAGTGAGTGTTTTGCAGTTCTATCCACCTGCTGAATATTACACAGCGTGAATGTGAGTGGTTTATTAGTGTGGACAGGAGGATACGTTGTAGAAGAGCCCTGCAAGGATCAATAAAAATCACAGTTGATAAGGGTACCTCCGTTCTGTGTGTGTGTGTGTGTGTGTGTGTGTGTGTGTGTCTGGTTACTTACCATAGTGTGCGAGGATGCCCTGAGGAGTGACCACCTGATTGCAGACATGGCAGACGACGAGACAGAAATCCTCTAGTGCTCTGTAACCAAGCATCTCTGAGAAAGACACGAAGGGTTCACATTTCAGAAAGAAATCAGGGATAAAGAGTTTGTCCAAGTCGGCTGTCCAAGAAACTTGGACGTTTGTCAGCACCTTACGAGAAATGAAAAACATGAGTTAACATACTACCTTTGTTTATAAGGAAACTGCCAGACAGATGATTTACGCGTGGAGCTGTGACCGTCACAGATAACTTGTGTTCCTCATCAAATAAAACGCAATCAAAGAGACGGACAATCCTTTCAAAGCCTCCTGCTCTCCGGCTAGCAGACAACAACAACAACAACAGCATTGTGCCCGGAGCTAAGAGGGGAAAGGCGCACTAAACAAAAAGTGATAAATAGAAATGCAATACAAGACAAAACAAAACAGCTTGATGGAAAATAGTCGATATCTGTGTCGGCTGAGTTCTGAGCACAAAATCTTCCTGCTGCTGAACGAGGCTCTGCTGACAGGAATGGCAGCACTTATTAGCACGCGGCTTAATCTGGACCCGCCGAGGGAGAGCTCTACTGATGTGGATGTGTGTGCGTTTATGACGAGCGCTGAGGGTGCCCCGGGTCAAGGGGAGCGCCGGTCACGTTTCGTGCGTGCGGGGAAACTTCTGGAGGTCTAAGTTGCTTCATACTCCCAGGTAGGCAACAAGAGCGCGTGTGTGTGTGGGGGGGGGGGTCAGGGGGGGGTTGAGGCATACTGTGAAAGGTCAGAGTGGGTTTCATTACGCATGCATGAAGTGTGCAAGGACACACACACACACACACGCACACAAAGAATGTTTCTTTGCCTATGCGTTATGTCAATGCTGATTGACGACTGGTGTTATGAGAATGAAGGAAATGTTGTTATTTCATAAGGTCATTGTGTCGTAAGTCCTACGGTTGGACTCAGAGTAGCTGGTCGGTGTTTTATAAAACAGACACAAAAAACAACAACAAGCTGCTTTCTCTCGCAGGCAAACGAACAGTGTTTGTTTTGGACTTAACCGACAGGGTGGACGATGGGGGTCTGTGCCACATTTTAAGCAGCTCTTAAATGTGGTCGTATAAGTCGGCTTAACAACCTGCCAAAGGCAGAAACGTGGTCAGGTTTTGTGTCTTTGCGTACGCGTTATGCAAAAAAAAGAAATATGCAAAAGGACTTCAGTCGGAGTGCTGAAAACAAAAATAAAGAATGCGATTCCGTCTGCATTCACCGAGTCAGATGCAGACGAGGTGCGTGGAGCACTGCTGCAGCCGGAGTGTGTGTCTTTCTAAACACAGCTGCCACACACCGGCAGATGACTGACAGGCCAATCAGTCACTGGCAAAAACAAAAAAAACATTGTTTGGAGCCACCAATGACAATAAATCACTCGGGCACAGATTACATTTAGGACAGAGTGAATCTAGTTACCCTAAAAAAGAATAAGTAAACAAAGAAGGGCTTCGGTAGCAGTAAGGAACACCGGATAATTATTGGATCTGCCTCAAAAATGTCTGATAAAGTAAACACACTTACTGGCTGGGAGCTTATGTTTCATTCTGCAAACGCGACTATTCTCTCCATTTCTACAGAACGGCCAGGGACAAACATCTGTAATAAACTCGTGGAGGTCAAGAAGTTACTCCCCGCCGGTCCTTCGATGCCTCGATAAGACGGATCACTGGGTCGAGAAGAGCTGGTGAAAAATGAACCCCTGCATGTGAAAATATTACATGAAGCCATTTATGGAAGAAAGAATAGTTTTACTGATATTATCACAAAATGTGGTCCGAACTGGAGGAAGGATGTGCCATTAACATCAAGGACGAGTTAATCATCATTCCACTGCAATATCTACTCAAGAGTTTTGATCTTTTTAGACACTACTCCAGATGAAATTGATATTCTGACAACATATTGAAAGTCAATTAATTAGATGGTCTTTAAAAAAAAAAGGACAATCCTCACAAATCTCAAGGTGGCATCAGACCTTCTTTATGTTATAACATAACAGAGGAAAAAAAGCGAAATCCTCCTTTAACAACGAATCAAGAGTTGCCGAATCCAAGGTTATCTAGACTTCACTTCTTTTGCTCTCACGCATTTCTCCATTCATGAGGCACCTCGCTTGATTCGCCTTTGCGAGAAGAAATGTACGAATCGTTTTGTTTGAGCGTGCGTCTGATGTGACCAACTCCGGCTGGAATCCCTTTATGCAGACAACAGAACCACAACGACTAAAATAACTATCGGGACTCGTCGCTTCGCCTAAAGCGCCGCTAAACTGTACCACGGTGTTGCCGTTGATTCCCGTCCCCCTGATAGAGAAAGTGGCAGACATACAAATAGAAGCATTACAGCGCGGGCTATTTCTAGGCAATGACAGCCGCTGGCAGTCCGGCCCGTCCGGTGGCTGTTGGATGTCATCGTGGTCACTGTGTGTGAGAGAGTGACAGATAGATATAGATACCAATCATATCCTGCAACACACACACACACACACCAATTACTGCCAAGCAGGCCTCCCCATCTACACATACAGTGAGTGGCCGGTGAGTGTGAAACCGCAACAAGTCTTGCTTCTTGTCCCCGTTACTACAATTGGATTCGAGTTTCAAAAGTGAAGCTTTGACGATGTGTTCCTTCGTGCACAGATTAGCAATTCTATAAAACACCCGTTGCAGCTCAGAGACACAGAGAGAGAGAGAGAGGGGGGGTTGAGGCACGTGAGTTTTTGTGTACGTGTGGCCGATGCTATTTGACCAGCAAGAGTGAGAAGCCTATGTGTGCGTGCAGGGCAGGGCGTGCTCCTGTGGGTATTTATAAGTTTATTTTTTGGGGGGGGGGGGGTCACTTCTTAGGGGCAGCTCACACAACCCCCTTCACATGATGAGACCTGGTTAAGACGAGTGAATTAGACAGACACGTTCGGCCGTGCACGAGCACTTCTGATGATTGACATGAAAATAGGTGTTAAATAATCAAGCACCTCGCTCGCCACCTCCCGCACGTGCACGAGGGTCCGGCAAGCACAGCCGCTTAGCGGAAGTTGCATAAGTGTAAAAGCAGAGCACGCACACGTGAAAAAAAAAACAATAACAAAAACACGCGCCGCGGAAGTGTCCCGTCGGATGAAATAAGCCCCCCTCCCCTCCCCTCACCCCGCCTCACCCACTCACCTGCTCTTTCGCCTCGGCAGCGGGGCTCCTTGCGGCGGAGGTCCGACGACGAGTCTGCGTGGGAAGAAACACGACAGCCGCTTTTACGAAACACCCGCCAGCACTCACGACAAAACTTCGCGGGGAGGGGAGCTGGTGGTGGAGTAGGAGGAGGGAGGCACGCACGCACGCACGCGTGGAGCCATGCTGGTTCCGAGGACTGTTGGTAACAGACGTTAGCATTAGCCTGTTAGCCCCCCCCCCCCCCCTCTTCAAAACAAAAAAGGCAAGTGAAGCTGTCAGAGCTAACAGCAACTTAGTGCACGTGATGCCCACTGCGGCGCAAACTGTGCGCTCGTAACGCTCGGCTTTTTTTTTGGCTCACGTCACTGAGCAGCGACCCTCTTTTCAAACATTTAATATCGCGTTTGGCAGTTGGTGTTTTTTAATTTTTTTTTTGACAGTTACTTTGACGGACGCTGCACGGCGCAGCTCGCGCGCAACTCAATCACAGGCAGTTGGCGCACGCACTTCCCGACAGTTTGGCCGCTAAAACAACAACGCTACCGACGTGCGAACTTACTGTCAACAAAACGTAATTTAGCCGCACTGACGAAGGAAGACCAAGGCTCGCAAAAGAAGGTATCCGGACTGGGTATTTGGCGATCCAGTGTCGCCATTGCTCTTCCTTCTTGTTGCTTTGCTGAGAGACGTTTTTTTTTCTGTCTCTCCTTCGCACGCAGCAGGCGAAAAGCGAAAGAACGAGATGTGCTGACGTCACTGTCGCTGCGCTTCGGCTCCTTTCGGCATCGGTCGGGTCGACACCGTGTGATCGATAGACAGGGGAGCTCACCGTGTAACGTTCAGCAGCCTATGTGGAGAAAGCCTTCAATATTATGACGTCTTTTCTCACTGTGGGACTTTTACAAGGGTTATGTAAATGAATTTGCATATAACTAAAATATTTTTTAAAAGCCCTAATTCGGCGTAATTGGTCAGGCCTTCGCAGGCCCACTAACACACTGGGAAACCTCTTGATATTTTGCAACCTGCAATAAGTGTAGATCTTGAATCTCTCTCCGAGAGGTGCCACTCTCGGCTTCAATAAAACTTAAGTTCAACGACCGGTACTAGCAAAAAACAATGTTGAATGCAACCCATGTCGCAATTTGTTATATGTCTGAGGTTTTATAATAACAAACAAAGCACTGTAACACTGGTCAAAAGCATTTTAGTTAATGGGGGACAGCATGAATTACAGGATCGAGCCATTGAAACAAGCTGTGCCCGGATGTTTAGATTCTCAAAGTGGCTCACTAGGTCAATCCCATGGCCCAACATTGGCCTCCTGTGGCTGAAAGCAGAACCTGCATCCCAGTGTGCAGAGTCCGGCCCAGTGAAAAAGGATGGGCCTCCTTCTCAAGAAACGTTGAAGTGGACCTCTCCTCCTCTTCCATTATGATGAGACTGAACACGCTGGTCACCCTAATGTGGCTTATAAGCGACGGATTGAACACCGCCGCTCTTCTCTTTGGTGCAGCCGCGTGTTTGCATCTCACGGTTTGAAACCTGAACAGAAGAAGAAAAACGCCGGTGATCACAAGAAGCAGCAAAACATTGTCCCTTTTCAGCCCAGTCAGAGGGAGAAGGAGTGAGACAGAGGAAATTGCTTTGATTAGTTTATACTGATCCACTGAAATCCATGCACACTTGCTGTCTCTGCTCCCACACACACACACTCTCTTCTCTATTGTCTCCATTGTTTATCTCACTCACACACACACATACACAGAAAGGATGATGACTTGGGTACAACTTTGTTTGTTTCCCCCACACAGTGATCCTTGAGGTCACATGACAAATCCAGAAAAACACACTCTGGAGTATTTTTTTCAAGGGTTATTATAATGGTTTGGCTTACAAATACTCTAGTAATCTCCATTTAAACAAATGCATGTTTATTTTCCAGACGTTTTAAGCTGCACTGTCAGATCTCACACATGAGCAGGGAGGAAAGTTGAAATAAAGCTAAAGTTGAAAGTTGACTTTTTCTTCCATGTGGAAGGCATGTTGTGCATTGAACACACACACCAACACGGAAAGAGATTCATTAAAAAAAACATTCATTTTTATTGAAAAAAAAAAAAAAACAAGGTAGGTTGAAATTGTGCATGTGACAAAGCGAACAAATGTCTCTTTAAAAAGACAGTTGGCAGGTTAAAGTCATTGCAAACATTGACAAAGATACAGCGAGTTGGATGATGATTACAAGAGTGCAGAGGTGTCACCAGTACACACACACACACACACACACGTTATGATTCGTTATATAAATGAATCATCATCATCCCACTTACATTTTAACTACATAAAAAAAAGAAAATCTGAATTCCTTCAAATAATCATTAACGTGTACTGAAAATGAAAAGTAAGATTTAAAAAAATTGTAGAAAAGCTGTTTGGAAATCACATGGAGATATGCAATAAGATAAAACACAAAAAACGTTGGCAGAGCCGTTTCAGTTTAACAGCGATGCAGAAAAAGGGAATGTTTAAACAAGCCGCCTCTACATTATACAAGTGATGAGAGCAGATATCAAGTTACAGATTTAACCTTCTGGTACCGGAGTTGGGACTAAATAAGATAAAAGTCTTCAGATAGAGATACATTTAAGGATCACGCACTTTGGCTTCCTCTCGCTGCAACATTTCCCTCAACTAATTAAGTCGGCAACACTCTCATGGTGCCGTGCATGTTGTGATAAGGACATCACGCGTGAACTCGTCTCCTGGTATTTGGGTTGGAGGCCCACTTCACGCAGAAGGTTTAAAACGTCTCACCCGCCTCCTTGTCCGCGTGGACTTAATTTACTTTACTAAAGGAAATCACCTCATCAGCGGGCTTCACAACGTACTTTAATTTGTAAATTCCTAAATGTAGCTTCGTTCGTACATTTCAATTCCCGCCAGCAACCACCGGAGGGCAGATGGCTGACTGGAAAGAATGAATGAATATAAGAGCCAAACATTTTGCAGATAAGCAAAGCGCTTTAAATAATAATAAGAAAAGATATATACCTAAACAAAATAGGAAAGAAGTGAACTCATTAACCACAGATGCAAATGTAATATGCTGTGTGCCAATAAATTACAATGATATGGTAATAGGAGATAGAATATTATGCTTCATATCGCACCACAGACCCAAATTATTCTGTCTGCGGAAAATGTCCAAGAAATGAAATATTTTCCTTTACTCACGGCACAATAAACCATAATAGATTAAGTCCTTGTCCAGCCGTTACCGAAAAAGAAGTAACAAATATCTTCCTAAATAGTTTGGTCATTGTTTGTGCACGTATGAGCTTACTGAAGCATTAGAAACCATCAAGCAGGTACTGTTAAAAGAAAAAAGACTGCACCATTGCATTGGTGTGATGGTGTATGAAATAACCAGTAAGCCTAATGGCTAATCTACACATGAAACCTTAGCAAGAACACTTTCACTCCCCCAGCCTCCCACTTTCTCCCACAGGAGACAATTTTCTTGCTTTCAGAACTGTTCTCTGTTCAAGTAAGCCAAGAATATGCAAGAAATGACCCTGACATCTGAGAAACGCACATTAAGTTTGATCCATCAGTTTTCCAACCGGCCATCTCTCAAAAACATCCTTTATTTAGTGTCCCGCTTAAAGCTTTTTTCCCCCGTCCGTGTATGTGTAATGCGTGTGCGTGTGCTCTACGCCGCGTGTTACATGGCTGCAGGGACCTGTTGCCTTCCAGCTGCGGCAGGCTGAGAGGAGATCTTCAGGGAGTGCCAACGGGTTTCCTTATAAACAAACCAGCCGTTGCTCGCCCACACTAGCATGTTGAGGTATCCGAACACCTGCAAGATTGCAGACAGAACTTTTTATTGGAAAACATATGATACAAAAACTGTAAATCTGTGAAATGATGTGCGACAGCACAAACCAATTATGGGAGAAAATACAAATGACATTTTATGGATTTGATATGTTCGTTCTCACCACAGAGATGTTGAGGGTCCTCATGCTGGCAAACTCCGTCACCTCGCAGGTGACGTTGCCCCCCTTGCAGAGGGCCAACGTGCTGCCGATGCCAGCGGTGTCCGTGGCGTCCTTCACGTTCTGCAGGCCCTTCGCCCAGGCCGACGAACACACCAGCCACAGGAAAACCAGAATCGCCGTGATCACAACGTCCTGGAGACGGGGAACAGGTCTCCGGCTCACAGTCGTTTTTGGGGGGGGGGGGGGGTGTAGTATATTGGCGATCTGACCATGAAATAAATGAAAATACTCACGAAAATGGGTCCAAAGTCGGAGTCCTTGTAGACGTGCATGTAGCCTAAATACACCAACAGAGCGACCATGCTGTACAGAAAGCAGACGATGGCGACGCCCACAAAGAACTCCACCGAGGAGGCGGAGTCTCCCACCAGGTACGTCGTGGTGACGGAGCGGTTACAAAGCGTGGCGTTGCCCACGATGAGCGGGACCTGGCTTAACCTGGGCGGGAGACACAAGGCCGAGGGGTTAGATCGGTCCTGGCCTTTTTATTTGATGGTCTTTTTGAAAAGCATTGACTGACGACAGTCCCACCTGAACGGGTAGTGGAAGTTGGCATCGAGAGTCTCATTCGTTCCATCGCCACAGACGAGAGATATGATGTTCTTCCCCGAGTATCCGCCGCAACTCCCGAAAGCAAATATGGCCGTGAGCTGTTTGAACGGAGCGAGAGACAGTTAGGAGACTGTTCAAAAGTGACTATCTCACATTGAGTGGAAAATGAAAAACATAACTGTGGTGGCGGGCGTGGTTTTGGCTCGTCTGCAGCGGGAGAGAGGGGGGAGTGGCTCAGGGAACGGTGCCAGGTGGGAGCAATTGGCATCAGCACAGCTGCCACTCTAACTTTGTGTTCATGTCTTTTTAAGAGCAGTGAGAGCGGCGACAAAGGAGAGAGAGACGAGGAAGACGCGGAGACCTCACTGCTCCGTGTGTGCGAAAACTTCAAATACAGATCTATTATATTGCAATCAACCCTGCCGTGTCGTGCTGTCTCTGCGCCCAGAGGACCTACATCCGTGACAGTGGCACCCAACGTAGCGGGGAAACGGCGGAATGACGGACGAGCAGCAGCAGGGGATGCCGGCTCAGCCGATCTTGGCGCTGGGTCAGATGATCGGCGAGCTGGCGGCCATCCAGCGGGACCAGGCAGAGGCCAATCGACAGTTCCTGGGGGCGCTCCAAGCCCAGGTGGGGCGTCAAGCCCAGGCTCTAGAGCAACTGGCGGCGCGACCGGCCGACGCTCAGCGAACGCCCGGGTCCGCGGCGCTGACCGGACAGCTGTGCTGATGTCAATTGCTCCCACCTGGCACCGTTCCCTGAGCCACTCCCCCCTCTCTCCCGCTGCAGACGAGCCAAAACCACGCCCGCCACCCCAATAACCAATCCCAATGCGATTGTGATCATCCTGGCATGTATGCGGTTTTCGGGCAAAACTGTTGGAAAGTGCAGTTGGAAAAAAGCCACCTAAAACCCCCTCAGCAGTAAAGAGCCAGAGGGAATAACGGATGGAATCTGTAGAAAATAAAGCTTGCTACTAAACCATTTTTACAAGCTCCTTTCTCTCAAGTCATTTTCTTCAAGAATAATTTCTTCTCCCGTGGAAGTAGCTAAGCTGAACCATAAACCGAACCCTCACAAATTAAATTAAATGTGATTTACATGGCCGCACAAATGCTTCCATTCAGCTCTCAGATTCCTTCCAGAAGGGGCAGAAAGCATCCGATTCAGCATGTAGCCCATGTGACACTAATGCTCTCCATGCCAACACGTACTAAATTCTTTTAGTCAGGCTCCTTAGCTTAACCCTCAAACCGCAGCAGAAAGGATCACATTATTTAAGGGGGGGGGGGGAGGGGGTGTGCTCGCTGACATCTCTTCACTCAAACGCCGTGGTTCTCATTTGTTCTGCTCAGAGTGTGTTACCATTTTCCTTTTGCAACCAGTACCATCATCAATTCAAATAATTGGCACCCTTAGAAAAGACCTCAGTAGCTGAAGATTTGGGTGGACATGCTACACGGAGCGACGTTAGCAATCATCTAAAAGGTGCGTTTCTGGCCTGATATTTGAAACACTACTTTGCTACGACGGACCACTTCAACCTTTAGCTGTTAGTCACACCGCGACGCCCACATTTACACTACATGATCCACACACGTACACGGACACACAGCCAGACACTCCTGGAGGCCCCTCTCCAGATGTTTCTCCAGATGTCACTGCTGGCCACTTCCTGTTTCTTGGGCTGCACAGCACCATAAAAAGCTTCTTTGCTCACATTGTTCTTTCACGGATTCTTCCACTACGAGGTGATGGACGTCTCGACGTCGAATGGACCGTATCAACTATGAATGCAAGCATTGGCGATACGCAATAGAGGAGTTCAGTTACAGGTCGCCGCATGTAATGCAAACAAGGAAAAGAGGACACGTAGGAACAGGAAGGAGCGGTTTTTGTGGGCGGGACCCTTCAGCTGCAAAGAGATGAATACAGTCGCAAGTCTGAAGTAGCGTGTTGAGAATAATCAGCAATGTTCTTACACAAAAGGTCATCGGCAGGTCAAAAGCCACCGGAGCGTGTGGGTTTCCTTTTAGAAGCCAAAGTTAACCGGTTTCTCCCCCTTTGGGCAGAGAGATCTGACACATTCATCCTGGTTATTCAACAACAGTCTTCTTGCATCCGTTACTCCAAACCCTCCTTCCTGTTTGCTACTGCTTGGAGGATAACATCGAAGGAGGTATGGGTGTTTAGGCTGAACAACTCTTGTGCCAAAACTATGATTGGTGTACAAAGAGGATGACAGGGTGAATGGGGTCAAACCTGCGGGAAACAATCCTGTTTCATTGACAGCAGCAGTGGTGATGAACCATCGGTCAGAATTCAAAAAATATATCGTCTTTTTTTTTTTTTGTATCTGCCGTGTTTAATGTGTATCCAAAATCTGCTATGGTGGTTATGTTTATTTATTATTTATTGATTATAAGTTTGTCGAGCATGCATTCACCAGCTTTGAGTTACACCGGCTCTAAATGACATTTGAATGATGGTATAAGACAAAATTAAATTAAATCAAAAGTACACAACTTGTACCTTACTGCACCTTGTTGGAATACCGGGCGGGAGGCGACGCACGCGCGGGAAACATTCCCACCATTAAAGGCGGGAAAATATGTCCTGACAGTTTCCCATCCGGACCCTTTGTGGACCCCCAAAACATGCCGGGTTGGAAAAGCGTGGCATGCGGCTGACACACACACACACACACACACACACACACACACACACACACACACACACACACGGGTCCTCTGACCCGCGGGGGTGTCTGTGTATCAGCGTGTGTGTGTGTGTGTGTGTGTGTTACTGCAGCTCTGTGAGTGTTTGTACTCAGGACAAACAAGAACAGCTGATGGTCACCACCCAGCACCGGATCCCTCTGAAGACCACGAGCGACGTTCACGTAGCAAACTGTTGCGCGTGTCTTAATGGTCGGTGCATGAGCAGCCAACCGCGCGCACAGCCAGTGTGAGGTCAATTATTGCTGAGGTAAGCATGAATCTGCAACTGGGTGGTCAGGGAGCCCCCCCTCTCCCCGACCCCCCCGCAACCAGCAGAGTTATGGACATGAGCGAACTCACTCAACTCCCTTTGGCCCAGTTTCATTCCTCAAACCCGCACGTTCATTCTGTGAATCTTACAGATCATTTGGAAGATTTGAAGGAAAAAGTGTATAAGGACGATATAAGCATACTATTGACAAACAACGTTTATATCCTTAATAAAGTTAAATCGTACATAAACTATAAAAACTGTTGCTTCAGCGATTTTTCTCGCCGGGGGAAAAAAAAAAATCTTAGAAGAAAAGAGATGGACCTCCCAGTCTTCTGGGTATGATCCGCGCGCATTCCCGCAGGGAACTTACCCACTCCACCAGTTTGATGAAGCCCAGAGGCTCCTTCAACGGCGACAAGTTCAGTCGGAATCCGGTCACCATGATTTGCGTCTCTGGTCCAAAAAGCTGCTTTTTTTCCCCAGTCGCTCCTAAACGGTGGATGTCGGTCCGACTGGGAGGGGAAAAAGGGGGGAGTCGTCTGGCCGAATGACGTGGTTTTTACTGCCGACGCTGCAAAAGAGGACCAGCCCAAGTTGTTTTGAAAAACCACTCAGCGAACGAATCAAATTCTGCCAGTTAGGCGAGAGCAGCCTATCCAATAAAGACATAAAGTTGCACACGTTTTAGGGACTTTTTAACAAAAATGTCCCCCAAAAAAATCGCTTAAGTGAATATTTTTTTCGCAGTGTTGTTGGAAAAACGAAGGCGTGGTGCGCAAAATGCGCAGGCGACGCAGTGCGTAAAGTGCGCCAAATTGTGCGCCGCTTTAAGGGAGAAATCGTCGTGTGTTTTTAGTCAAACATCAAACTACCAAACAATCACTTTATAAAATCCCACAAAGCGGACTTTAGATACGTGCAGCGATACGTAAGATGTGAAATACACAGTAAAACTTAATTTACAACCAGAGTACCACACGACATCACAAGTGTCCTGCTTGTCCTGAATTTTCATTGGATACATCCGCCAGAATCTGCAGACCTCCTCCTCCTCCTCCTCCTCCTCCTCCAAAAAGTTAGTGTCAAACAAGTAAAATTCCTATTTTAAATCAAGCCAACAACAAAAGCAGGGGAAAAAATAAATCACTCATTCCAAATTGACAGGGTGGCATCTTCTTTAATCAATGTATTGTTGACAATATAGCAAGTTATATTTGTTAAAATAGCAGTTGTGTTGGGAGAGAATCTGGGACAACCAACATATACATACGTGTAAAACTACAACAACAGGGGAAAAAAAAGTATTCACAAACAGTTTTTCATCCGTAACACACACACACATTATATTATTAACTACTGTGGTCGTCTTCCTAACGCTGCCCCTCTGCTTCCAGTCAAAGTAGTTCTTGTATGTACAAGTGAGAAGGCAGTATGGCCACATTGTTTGTGAATAAAGATATTTACTGCAATGTTTCTGGCATTTTTCTCTCCTTTGTCATACAAAATAATATTTCTCTGAGGAAAGAAGTATCAAAACAGTAAAATTAAGAGTTATACTAGAATGCAGCGCCACAACAAAAGAACTGTGGAACTGGTCACTTCAGAATCAGGACAAAAGGTGATCAAATAACAAATTGGGGGGAAACAACAAGAAACCTTTAGGAAAATATAGAAAAACAGTGCAAGATTATTTGCAGAGGGGGAGGGGGGGGGGGGGGGCGATAGCTCGAGGAAAGCTGCCCAAACACTTCAGCCCCTCTGCAAGGAGAGACTTTTACTTTGAGCTAAATGCTAACGGCAGCGAGCTAACACGCTCTGCATGGCGGTGCACGCGGGTTAGCTAATGGCCACTAAACACACTAACGCCTGTTGGGGATTTTTGTCAATTTCCGCAGGTTTTACAGGATTTTTGGACACGTTGGAAGTCGGCTAGGCATGAAGGACAGTGAAAATAAATTCTGTTTCTAGTCTTGAACGAATTTGTTTCTCTGATGTCACCAGCTCTGAAAAGGGAAACTAACCCCCCCTGGCTGCTTTATCGGCTCAACTGCTGTGTCTCCTTTCAAAAATAAAAGGCCGGAAAAGTCAAAGGAAGTGTTCTCTATTCCCCCTATCAACAAGTAGGTTTGCATAAAGGAAATTATCCTTTAAAAAAAAAAAGAAAATCTCAAAACACACACACACACACACACACACACACACACAGAGATCCAAGCACCCGTACAGCATGTACAACAACACATAACACACATTTCAGAAGCAACGCATCTTTCGTAAACAGTTATATCATCTTCATTCCAGTGACAAGAACGTTTTGCAATGTATTTTTTTCTTCTGTTCTACATCAACTCTTGGCCTTAAACATCAAAGACTGGTTTCCAGCGCGTTTCGAAGAGCCGATCCAAAACTAGTAACTTCAGCTGTGGAATCGGTTGAAAATTTTCATTTTTCCTCATTTATTATTATCACAAGTGGAGCTTTAAACATCTGTGACAGATGTGAAATTTTGAGCAAAATCACTTCGGCTAAGTCCGTTCGTGTGAGCTGCCTCTGTAGTGCGATTGGATCTTCACACTCCGTGTAGATGATCATTAATATGACTTCAGAGATGCACCCATAATATTATATTTGGCGTGGTACAAAATATTCAGGGAGTACTTGATAATGGCTCTTTTTTAAATTTGGGCCCTGACCTCTAATTAAAGGCCAGAACATTGGGGGCTTGAGGGCATTGAATTCTCTCAGCCTCCATAATTACAGTCCAAGTGGAAGTCAATGTTATTGGTGCATCGCTTTTTTCATACACTTCTGTACAGGAACGTTTCAGGGGGGCAGGGGGGACTCTCAAGCATTAGAATTGGGGATCTATTAGCAGTGCACGCCATCCCCATTTCTGTGAGATGTGCGTCAGAAGCCAAAGGTGGAGGGGTTGAGGGGAGCGGGGTCTGTTTTGGGGTGTGGGCCGGGTGCTTTTTGCCTTCAGTAGTCGCTCTCTGTGAGCTGAGCATTGTCTCTGACTTCGTCGAACGTGTACGTCTTCACAATCTTCCCGTTCTGAAAGACGGTGTGCAGCTGGTCCTGAAGGTGCATAGATAACCAGGAAGGGGAAGAGGTCGGGGGGGGGGGGGGTAAAGGAAAGGGTTAGAGAAGGAAAGATGACAAGAGAGGAAAAGGAAAGGCCAAGCAATGGAAAAATGTAGAAAATGTAATGGTGAATTAATTTATTTCTTAATAGTTAGGAATGGCCTGTGTGCTACTGTAGGCCTTGAACTCACCACGCCGTACTCCTCCCAGGTCGCCTTTGCCCTCCTCCAGGGTAACAAAGTTTCCGCTCGCCGTCCGGTGCAGAGACAGGCGACCTTTCTTTGACCTCTTGTTAGGGTCAGCCACTGGGTCCTTGAACACATTCACCTTTTCCAGCCAAAAGAGAAACAAAGAAGTTTAAAAACGTCTCATTCAAGCGACAACGAGACTGAAACCCCACACATGTGTGCATTTCCCAAAAGTCTGCGACGTACTCTCCTCCTTTAATTTCAGTGAAAGTCAATGAAACCCAACAACTACTTCACCCACGCATCGGCACTCACCCCCAGGCCGTTGGTGACCACGTAGCTACATTTGAAGGAGCAGTTGAGCAGGTCCCTGGTCAGTTTCTGCAGGAGAGCCCCTCCGGACCCAAAAGCGATGTTCTCAATGGACCACCTGTGCTTCTTCATGCCCTCCACGATCTGTGGGGACGCACGCAATGGCATCAAGTAAGGAACGCAACACCCCCACCTCCCCGGTCCCTCGGCAAGTCAGAAAGTAGCGTGCGTGCCAACCTCTTGCAGCGTGTTGATGTCGACTCCGTCTCCTTGTATGACCCGGATGTAGGGAGGCAGAACCTTATAGCCTTTGGAGTTCTCCAGTGGAGGGAACTTCTTACCCAAGATCTCCAAAACCTGATGTGACATAAGAGAGGAAGGTGGCACAGAGGCGTCAGCGCCCCGGCTTGTATGCATTGAGATTCCGGTTGCAAAGTTAAAAAAAAAAGAAAAAGGCCATGCCCGTCCACGCGTGCGCACCTTCAGTACTGTATCGAGCGGGTTTCCCGAGTCGGGTCGGATGACCAGCGGGGCGTCCGCACTGCGCGCCACAATCAGAGACCGGAGGTCTTCTCCCCAGATCTTCTCGCAGGCGTTGTAGATGTCGTAGCTGTCGCTGACGATGGACACCGGCACGTTGGGGAACTGCTTGATGATGTGCTCAAAGGCGTCTTTTTCATGGTCCTTCCCCCACGCCGTGATAGTGCTGCAGAGAGGAGAGGGGGTTGAACCGTATTCTTCAAAAAAGGTAAAAATGCTCATATAAAGCAAAGAGAGAACTAAGGACCCACAAAGCACTCTTCAGGAGGCAATACCACATACCCTCCACTAGAGGACAGTGCAGTCCTGGTTTTAGCCTTAGAATAGATCGGAACTGGACCAGACTATATTCCAAAGTTAAAAACTGTCCCTTGTGGCTACTTTAGATAAAATAACACAAACTAGAAACAAAAACAAGAAAAATCTCATTTCCTTAACGTGCAGACCCTGACCATCACTTGTTTCTCAAACCAGTATCTTTCTATTTTTATGTACATTTCCGTACACATATTTGGAAAAATAAAAATTGTACTTCTATATGGGGCTTCTATTAAAATAAAAGTTCAATCAACAATTGATCAATTGTTGCAAATCAGAGTGTCTCGAAAGAGCTTTGAAGGTGACACACGCTCTCAAACACCGGGCATCGAAACACGTCAAGTGGAATTTCACTGAGACTCCTCCATCATCCAACTTTAAGAGGGAGGGGGTACCATTACATAATTGTTACCACGTCAACCTCCACCACCATCCCACAATGCACTGGTGCGAGGAAGAAGGGTTCGCCAGAGCGGCATTAACTACCCCGGTGGCAAGGAGGAGCGGACTGTGTGCACGACAGCGAAAGAGAGGATGTGTGTGTGTGTGTGTGCAGGATAAATGGATCTCAGCCATAAAAATAAAAAAAACAGCAGAGAGACGAGCAGCATGTGCATCAGCGCAACGACCAATCAAAATCTCCTCCTCCAGCTAATCACGGCCCCGCTGACAAAGCGAGATAGACGGAGCAGATAATTAGTGCGAGGTCGCTCAGAGTTGCATCGGGAGGCAGATCGGCACTCAGTTTTTTCTAATTTTGTATTAAAAAGCTTTGTGAAAAAAAAGTGGTAAAAGTTTTTTACACTCCAGCATGATTGTATCAGAGAAACACCCCGGAATTTAGACTACACTGAGAGGGAGGGGCCTATAGAGGGGGAGGCGGAGCTTCAACGAGCGTGAATTGAAAAGTGTGTGCGCGCGTATACCTGTGCTCCGCGGCGGGCACGGAGAAGCCCGGCACGGGGTCCTTGGTGCCGTAGTACTTCTTAATGACTCCGATGCCGGCGACCGTGTCCGTGCCCTTGAAGTTGACCAGGTGGGCAGAGGCCCCGATGCCCGCAGTCTGCCAATAGGAGGGAAAGTGAGGGTGTGTTATGGGAGAAAAGGAGCAGCGATTTCATAGCAGTCCCATTGGATGTACGGGCATACCTCTTGCGAGGAGACGCCCCTGTAGCCAAAGTCGTGAAGCTTATACGCTAGTCCCTCCAGGTTGCCGGCGGTCTCCATGAGGTACTTGGCGAGGATCTTCTTCTGCTCCCTGGAGTTGGTCGCTACAGTGATCGGGTACCAGATCTGAACGAGAATGGTCTGGTGGAGGGAAGAGGAGCCATTTGAGTCACAAGTTTGTCCCTTGTCATTTCCCACTGGCGCCTGGTTTTCAAAGCTTGCCCCGACAAGAATTCTAACGTGAACATTGAGCTGGAGTCAAACAAAAACAGAACTAAACCGCCATTCCTGCTTTTCTAGTATTGACTTGGTATTAAAACCCCAAACCAAACAGGCTCAGAGTGAGCAAAGGGCGCGGCCCATTCACACATTTCATGTCAAAACAAGTGGCGTATCTGTGCTCCCCACCCCCTGCTACTAGGGAGGTTTCATGAATACACACTTTCTCCTATCATCAGAGTAGAATACGTGTGTGTGTGTGTGTGTGTGTGAGAATGTGTGCCTGAGAGAGCAGTGACACAATCAGGGTCGATTACATGTCAAGTCAGCCCCGCCCCCTTCCTTAAAAAACTAAAACTAAAGTATTCTGAGTTAATACCATTATGCAATCACATACAGTGATTTGCATAATTCTATGACTTTCAAAGTATGACAGAAATGACACGTGTCGAACCGGAGAGGAAGCATGACAAACATTCACAGCGCCTGGGTGTAACGCCGTCTTTGCATCGACACAAGGAGACACATTACTGCACTCGTCCAGCTTGGATTCCTCACTCGCCTTCGACCGTGGATGATTTATTATATGCAGTGTTGTTGTTTGTTGTTTGTACCCTGCAATACGTAGCAACCCCATGTGACCTCAGACTAATCAGAATCTAAACCACAATATGAACTCATGTGACTCCTTGAGCAACACGCACGTTTGTTCTCTTTCTTGTATGCAGGATGACCTTCCCATGAGGAATCTGTATACATTTAACATGATTTATTCCACTAATAATAAAGCTATTATTTTATTTCGAGATTATGCTTCGTGAATAGAAAATGTTTATTGCAACATTCCCATAAAACATAATGTGATCAACATGTCTCTCTCATGGTAAAATGCGGGGGGGCAGCAGTACAGTAAACACAACACTCCAGAGGAATGCCTGCACAAAACACACACACACACGTGCCAACATAACCTCTCGGTCAATGTCCCAAAACAAAATAGAGGGAGATAAGGAAGGAAAAACAGGACAGTGTGTGTGTTATTCTTAAAATCATCCTTTGGGCACTACTTTTTTCTTTTTCCATCAACGGCTCCAAACAGAAAAGAAGAGCGTTTCAGTTGGAGACGGCGGCTGGCGAGGGCGAGAGGCAGACTGGAAGACATTGCTCCCGGTAAATGGATTTAGTTCTGCCGAGTGACCGAGGACAGTGCGACCACGCAGCACTAAGTGCAGGAGCAATAAACAGCGCGCTGTGGGAGGCGGCGTCAGACGCCAGGCGCCAGACTGCCGCCCGCCTCGAATCACAAAAAATCTGCTCTGCCTCCACAGCACTTTGACCTCAGAAAATGTGTGTGTGCGTGTGCTAAACATGAATGGACAGAATATCACAGGTGTTTTTGTTTGCCGATTAGTCACAGCTTGACTCATTATAATTCATAATTGAATTATTGAATACAAGAAATAGATTTCTCCCGGGGGATGCGCTTATTTGCTTTCCTGGCAAAGAGGAAAATAAAACCTGAGTACCTGAGGCTGGAATACAAGTCTGGCTAAGAACTGCACCGAGCTAAATCCTTCACTCGGACAACGTCTTATTGGTGGATTCAAAATGGAAAAAGTTAACCAAGTTGAGGCAAATTCTGTCCACAGTTCTGACGTTCTCATGGCTGTGATGCCTCGGGGAGCAGAGAAGACTCTTTGGGATCTTTCTAGACTCTTGACCTGCTGTGCACAGTACAACCCTGAGCAGCAATAAAGCAATAAGCTGTGACACAACTGTAATGTGGGGAGATTAAAAGAGATAAGAGGCGTAGTTTGGAATGCCGCCAAGCATGATAGATAATTACTTTTGTTAAAGTGTTAAAGCTCTCCACTGTAATAAAAAAGGAACATAAATGTTGCACATGTATATAATAATCAATAATCAGATAAAAGCAGCCAATAAATCTTACAGATGTTCCCAGGAGAGACTTTTTTTAAATTGAAATACGACTAGCACATGAAAATCAATCAAGCAAACGGGTGAGACGTTAATTTCATTCACTGTCATTCACTTAAAAACCCAGAGCTAAAAGGAAGTGAAATCTGACTCCCTGTGATGAGCAGCGGATGAATAATACAGTTGTGTTGAACTAAACAAACCTACCTCCACCCAGTTGGTGAGCCAGTAGCATTCAGGGTCCGTGCTTTCCACGGTGAACAGAACGTTGCCTCGAGGAATGACACTCCCCTCCGGCACAGCCTTGATTTCAATGGGCAGGTGTCCATTGTATTTCTGCAAACACACACACACACACATCCCACTTAAGAGATTTGACCTACAAACGGCAGCAAGAATTTGCCAAAGGTTCAAATACAGAGCACCTGTTCTTATGGAAGTATGTGTTGTACACAGCACTAGTTTCATACACGAGTCAGATGATCAGCGATTTCCACATGAGGAAATACTCCCGGCAGTGGAGAGCGCTGTGCTCTCTCCAAGGTGCTGAACGACCACAACTTGTCTTACTCTCGGATTCCTGGAATCCGGAACGCGACAGCGATTCGTTTGCAGTATCTGAATCTAGTTTCAGGAGTTTTTACGAGTTGACGCTGCTGTCTCCTCCCGTAGGAAAACCCTTCAACTGAACAGCTATGCACGGTGGGCATACCTCCAAAATGTACGTCCAGCCCTTCTCGTTGAAGACATCATCCTGGAAGTGTTCTCTGTATACTTCCTTTGCCTCCTGGATCTTCTCCGGGGTCACCACCTTCCCTGGAGAGGAGAAAGGGGAAAGAAAGAAAGGAGCAAACACATGTCACTCGTTCTTGTTTTGTTTAAAGGTCAAATGCATGACCTCCTGTAAGGTCCTTTGTGGTATTTAAAGATTACAGGATATGCTGTGTTCATTTGTGATGCGTTGGCTCCATCTTCAGACTCAAAGTGCAGATGTGAGAGTCAATTTTCACCAAAATTTTAAAAATACAAAAATCGGGTCCGTTGGCTTTCACTGAAAATCTTTACTCCACTTTAGGAGGACGAACCAAAGAGCGCGTCCCTCTCCCGATAGTTGAGTTGAGTCGATTTCGATTTATTTGCTTATTATTGTAAGTTCTTTCTTTCACTACTACCCTTCCTTCATCTCAATTAAAAACATAATTATCTTCTCTCAGAAAAAGGTTGAAGCGCTCCCTGCGCTTCCTCACATGAGCTGGATGATCAGGGATGCATCGCTAATGGCACAGGCTAACCATCGAGCGCTGACGGTCGGACAGCTGGTCTTTCTCCCTTCGCACGGTGAGAGAGCAGCTGTGCTTTTGTCTACTCCCTGCCACCCCCCCCCCCTGAACCTGACCATGAAATCCTCTTAAGAAGACAGCAGGGAGATGCATATATATATACACGTCTTTTCTCACTTGCGTTTTACAAGTTTTTGTTTTATTTTTCTGCACAGTCCAATCAACGCAAAGCACATTGTAACCCCTCTTTTCCCCCTGGCGCTGGACACAATAAAGAAAAGCCCCTGCTCTACAGTGCAGTGAATCTCGAGCACTCTCCAGGAGTGCAGTTTTGCAGCTGACTCCTCCTCTCTCTCCCTCCCCCCCTCCACTACTTTGACCGTGTACCAGAGTGGGGAGAGGAACAAAAAAAAAGCTCCAACGTGGGGTTCAAAAATGCGTCACAAAAAGCTTTTGGTATGTGCACGCATAGCGAAGTGGGCAACAGGTCATGTGACCTTTATTTGATCAGCATTTATAGAGGACACATAGACAATGAATGGGAGCTTCGTGGGGTAAAACCTGCAGGCTCCTACTGCTTTGTGGGGGTGGGAATCTCAGGGTCATGCTGAAAAGGGGGAACTTTTAATTTATACGTATACTTTTTATTCCACTGTGCACTGAAAGCAGGAGCAGCACCTTTTTTTATTTTTTATTTTTTAATAGGAAATCCAGACTTACCCTTCAGGTATTTGTTGAGGATGTACTGGAGGCCATAGAAGACCGTCTTGTCATATTTGACTTTTCTGCTTTTGGAGGGGTCGGTCCTCTTCTCGCGACACTCAAAGTACGAGTACACTTTACTCGTGTTGGGGGGGTATTGTTTGTAGTGCGTCACCTGCAGGGACAGAGCAAACAGCAGATGGCCTTTTTTTTAAATTTAGAACGATATTGAGAGAACACAACAAACACACACAGACACACGGTATGTGAGATTTATCATGACCCTCTCGAAGATGTCTACGGAGTAAAAGTGTAAAAGTGGTGGCAGGATTCTTTCCTGAAACACTGAAAACACCATCAAGCGCAGCATTTCGTAACAGTGTTTTGGAAGTTTCACAACGTGTAGCGTCAAATAACTGGATTGAACTGCAAAAGATTGCAGAGCCTTGTTCCAAAATTGCTAGATAACACAGAATTGTCCATCGAATTGTTCAACTTATGTCCACAAGTTTGATAGCACGCACAGTTTTTTCGGGAATCCAGGCGGACGCTCAGGGTCACAACGCAAAGATCACATGGCGCTGCCAATGTGGTGATTGTCTGTGGTTAGAGCAAACATTCCAGTCCAACAAAAGACCCATCAGTCAATCCATTGTGTTGGGACTAAATAATACAGTGCTACGTGTCACAATCGGGCCGAGAGTTTTCCCCACACATACACGCTCTCCATTATTCCTTACTATGGAGAAATTAACACTTTCTTTTAGCTTCTTATCCAGTGCGAGACGCGCCCGGGCGCGTTTCAGACACGCAATAAACCGTTTCAGAGGGACTGTATCCTTAAAAAAAAAAAAATACAAGCACGCACAAAAAAGACAGAAACAAAAGGCAGCGGTCAGCCATCTTTCCCCGGAGCATTTGCGAGCAACTTCCACATATGATGAAGAAAAAGCGGACGAGGCAAAGGCAAAGGCAAAGGCTGGCGCTCTCGCCGCCATGTTGTGATCCGATTTTGCTTTCAAAATGTTTCTAAACTTACAGGAGCGTCTCGTTATGTAACAAGCTGCGCTCACTGACTTCAATGGGAGGAACCAAGCGGTGCTTTCAGGGCACGCGGTTGTCCTCCTTTTTTACGACAATCGTGGGAACATAAAGTTAGGTTATAAACCCTGTAAGTAGAAGGAGAGGCTTCATGTCCACAGCTTGTGAAGAGGAGAACACGTACAATCGCAGACGACCTACTCAGTTTCTTTGACCCGTCTGTGTCCTTTCCTCCGGGCTTTCGAGGACTCAAAATAGAGTCAAGATACACAACATGACACTGGGCCTGGACACGTGTTTGTGTGTGTGTGTGTGTGTGCGTGTATGTATATAGACACACCAGCCAGAGGTATTTGTGTATCATCTAATGCTGCTTTTCACTTATTATGCAGTAGTGTAATGACATGTGATACAAGGGAAACCTGCGGGTTATTGATCACACAGAGCGAGTAGCCTCAGAGACTCTGGAGTTTTAATTAAGGAGATCTGGCTCATTTCAATGGGACGAATTTGCAAGCGGCCGTTGAAGCTGCACGAATAGATGTGAAGTGAACTCTGCAGCTCGATGCATAGAGCCTTCCTGATCATCTCTCTGAAAGAAACACCTGCATCTGCAACGCGAGGGCTGCGACAATACGTGGACACTGGTATGAAAATTGAATTATTGATAGGGTATACTTTAAAGTCCAGCTGTCCTGCTGCACAATAGTTATTCTAAAACATGCAAAGCATTTCTCTTTTGCCCCCTGTAGGATTTACTGCTGAACATGAGAAGAATTAACAGTTTGGTAACAAAATATCCCAATCCGAGCACGAGAAAAGATGCTTCTCGGCTGCTGTGTCCCCACAGGGCGCAACGTCCGCATCCGAGACTTTGGGTGCTCTGGGAAAGCCGGCCCCCGAAGGGACGGACAGGGGTAGCGTGTTTAGTTTTACTTCAGCCGGTATGAACACACAGGGGAATTTGATCTGATGATTGAAGGGTTTGAAAAATCCTTGTCCTTTAAAGTATTTTTTTATTTTTATTATTGTGACTGTGACACCTGTTAGATGTCTTTTCTTTACCCTCCCGGACGCCACTTCACTCGGCAACTTCTCAAGACTAATCAGCAACCTTGAAAATCTTTATACAACAAAGATAAGCTTAGAATATATCTGAGTGGTCATGAAAATGAAACCAAAACAGAACATTTCTGAGAAATAAAAGTGTAAGTAAATATCAAGTCTAGTATACAACAATACAACCACCGTTCTCATTGTATAACTATTCACCTAAACTAAATCATTCATTGAAGAAAGATTTAACACTACATCGTAATGGTGTGAGATCTTAAAGTAAAGCAACAGCTTTCTGAGCCTTAGACTTAGACAGACTTATATATATATCTGATATATATAATATGAATAATGATCAAGCCGTCATCAGCTGAGACCAGCGAATGTTCAAAAGTGCGTGCGTCCCTCGCGCATTTGTTATTCAACCTTCTCAACCTTTTGGTTTCACGTGCGTTTGTGTTTTGGCCTCCTCTCTGCCCTTCTGTCCCCGTCCTCCCTGCCCCTCTGTCCCCGTCCTCCCTGCCCTTCTGTCCCCGTCCACACCGTCGCAGATCACCCCCCCGGACCCCCGATGTCCGGCTCGCATCGTCAGCTAGCGGCGGGACACTTATTGTACTTTTATATTCTCCATGCAATGCTTAAAAAAAACTGCAGTCCGACTGTTAAATATCGTTTATTAAAATAAAACGGGCACGGGGCGTCTTAACAAACCTTGCATTTCAGCTAGCTAACGCTATCTCCCAGAAGGTGAATACGCTCTTAACAGTTAACGTTAGCTGGACTCTCGGGTTGGATTTCTCTCATTTGAGACATTAAAGAAAGAAACAAGCCGGCTAACGTTACGCCCGGCGGGGCTCTTGACTGAAAACTTGCCCCCGGGCAGTTTATCCGTCTACCCACCCCGGGACTTGCTAGCCAGTCGCTAACATTAGCGCTTTTAAGAATACATATATATATAACGTTATATCGCTCCCATTGAGCTAGCGAGCTAGCTTACTCCGCTAGCTTAAGCCCGCAAACTGTGGCCACAATACACCAGCGGATATGTGACGTTAGATGTGCCTCGGCTCACATTAGCTCCAACAGGAGGATGCCAGCTTTTTTTGCATTTGGTACCCTAGCTCCGCTGAACCGGCCCTCTCCTCCTTTCTCCTTCAGCCCATTCGGCCCTGCTGTGGTCCGAGGGGCGGCCGGCCGGCCACAGAGAGCAGCTGGATGGCCTTGGGAGTGATGAAACCACCTTGACTCCATTCGTTTTCATCCGTCAGCGGCGGCTCTCCGCCACCGGCCTCCCTCCGTCTGAAAACCTGCGCGAGTAAGGCCGACGTTTACCTTGTACGAGTCGGTCGCTAACAATATGTTGAAGTCGGCGTCCCTGTGCTCCATCTTTTCCCCCTCGGTCGGTCGTCAGTCGCAGCTGTCAGTGGGTTGCGTGCGGTGCAGTCGGGGACTCCAGGCTGGTAGAGTCGCCGTGTTGGGGGCGGGGAGAGTGGGGGGGAGCAGGACTCACAGAAAGGGAAGGACAAGTTGAAGGGAACCGGGCGGGGAAAGGGGCGGGCGGTTGTGTCGTCACAGAATGTTCGGCATCCCTCGGTTTTATTCGGCAACACTCGGTCAGCACAGCCAGGCCAAAGGCCGTCAATGGTCACTGAACCTTGAAAGAGATACAGGCAAGAGTAAATAAGAATTTTAATTTCGATATCATCCCACAATAAAACACGTACACTTGAATAAACAAACCAGTATTCAATATATGGCGCCATAATTGCTATTTCCATCAATAAAAGGTCTGGATTTGTATTTATTCTGAAGAAACAGAGCATTTAAGCCACAGGGATGTATATTCGAATAAAACAATACAGTGTTGTACTTGGATGTTCAAAATAAGCTTGAAATTCATTTAGAAACATATTTTTTTCAACTTTCAAAATGTGTACCACCAGATACAAGCCTGTGAGAAAAACGGAGAGCAGAAAAGTATCTAATACACGCCGTTTGTGGCCTTCTAGGTCACCTTTGTATATTACGGACTTCCCCGGCGAGAGGTGGAAAGCATATTCAGTCTGTTTAGAGCACTATGAGAAAGACAGAGGGAGAATTTGAGGGCTTGCCTTCCATTACAGTCATTTACAGTGTTGCATGAGACATTCCGATGTGCAGTTTTCAAACTCAGCAGAAGGGAGCAGTGTTGGTCATCAAACCATGTTCAAAATCAGAAATTACATCATAAACAGCACTCGTTTGATTTGACTGATTGATTTGTCTCATGTTTATTTGTTTGATTAAGATTTACGGGGTGAAAATACACAACTTTTTTTATTTATTTACAGATAAACCTACCAATCATTGCATAGAATTGTTGGGTGGATATAACAAACTTTTCACTTCCAGTGACTTCCAGTGGCCTCCAGTGAATGACACAATGCCCGCATGGCTGATACCAACCAACCCCAAGAGCCCGCCCGAGTCCGCCACTTATTTAGCAGGGCGGCGAGAGATGCCGTCCCGCTGGGACCGGACGGTCGCACTCCCGACCGGTTCTGGTTATCTGGGAAAGGAGGGGCTAACTGCGGAAACAACGTAACATTTCCGCAAGTCAATTTACAGCGAGAGGGGGCAAAAAAGAGGTTAAAGGCGCTGCGCTTCGGTTGCGCAAGTTAACAAAAATGTAGTTTCGGTCACATGATGGCACGACCGGACCCCGCGTGCCAGCTGCACCAGGTGTTCGCCTCCTCGCGAGGAAACCAAGTCGGTCACTCCGGAGGGTGTTTTCTTTATTTTTAATTTTTTTTTTACAAAAGTAGGGAGCTTTAGCTGAAAGACAGGAGACGAGGACATGTTGAAACTAACGCCAACATTTGACCTGCAAAGGGACGTGGTGTCGGACATCTTCAGGAGGGAGGCGTCGGTGTGCAGGGTGCCAGGTGAGGCGTTCAGGTTCGGTCAGCAGGCTGCTCTCTCACTGTCAAACTGTGGTCTAGTTACTGGAGTGGTCGTGATGCTTTGACCCACGGGCTGGTACCCACGTACGATGCAAGTGTCAGGATTATACTTTGGTGTAAATTGTGTGGCAAGTGCTATCCAATGTAAATATCTCGGTAACATCGAGGTAGTGTCATATAGTTGTAGCCTGAACAGTAAAAAACAAATCACTGTCACTAAGTAGTTAAATGCTATTACGCATATGACCTGTTGATGGCGCTGTTTACTTTCTAAATACTTGGTAAATAAATCAAATAAATTAAGTTTAAGAGATGCCATGATTCCATAACCTGATATTCTATATCTAATTGGAGAAAGTTTAATATGAACATAATGGAATACAGATTACTTTATTTCCAGTGTATATAATTTCAGTCCCAGTTAATGGTTGACATGAATAACAGACACATAAATCATTTGAAATACCTCACTGGTACTAAATAAACGTTTACTGTAACTTTTATAAGAATTAATAGCCATACATTTATGACACTGTTATTGCAACGGTCCTACTGAGTACACACACAGCAAGTTATGCATAGGACAGCAGCGGTTATGCACCATCACATCATATAAGCGTCACGTTATCACAACATCAATCAGAATCTGAAGCTGTTTATTGCCACGTATGTCGCACATACAGGAATCTGTTCTGGTGATTGGTGCAGTTTTTACGAGACAACGTTAAAATGATTTATAGGTTGGACTACTGTGCAAATGTCCTGGGGATGTAGTGTCTGGGTGAGTAGGGGACTCCGACTTGGTTTGTGAGACCAACCGATGAGGGGAAGAAGCGCTTTATATGGCGGGAAGTCTTGGTCTTGATGGACCACAGCCTCCTGCCGAAGGGAAGGAGCTCAAAAAGTCTTGGAGGGCCGGACGTTGATGAAGCAACACATACACAGACCTGGGCACTTAATGTGTGTACTAATACTTTACTGTGCCGTGCATGTGCACTAAATAACCCTTTGGCATAACGCAGGATGTTCACCATGTGAAGTGGCATGGATACTACAATCTACACTAGACTACGAGAGGATGAGACGTATGGGTTCATAATAATAATGCTGTGTCTGCAGAATATTCTGGAGCAGTGGACACTTGTATCCTAAACATTGAGAGAGATGGGGGCATCCTTTACTCATGGAAGGTAGGTCCAAAGGGTCGGCACTGCATATAGATCCTTTTCCAATATTGAAAGTATTTGTCAAGTGAGAGTAAATCCTTATGAACTTTCCTCTTCTTCTTTTCGCTGTAATTATCTTGTCCTTTTGTCGCACGTAACCCATGTATAATCAATAAAAGTTACATGAAAATATACATTTTATTTGTTTGGTGAAGTGTAACATTCAAGTAGCTCATTGCATGGTTGATGTAACATCATTATTCTGTGTCCGCTCTCCCAGTCCTCTATTTAAGTCAAAGCGAGTGAAATATTTAAATTCCAGGTGCAATTTTCTCCACCATTTATCATCAAATGAACCAATGAACCAAATTTAAAAAAATAAAGCTGTTCTTTTTCCCTGATCGCTCTGTAATTGTGCGTGTCATTTTCCGGAAACCTTGGTATCCTTGCCATAATTTAAAATAAACATCTGTGTGCTGACCGTGTTTCTCTGCACAACATACATTTTTAATGATAGACTTAGAAGTCTAGTAGGTTGAAGACAGCGTGCAGCATGCAAATAGGAAATTATCTTGTTTCTTTTGTGCGAGCTTTTGTCACGCATGCGCAATAGACTTCTTCCTTTTACTTTAAAACCTCAGTGAAATTAGCAAGGCGAGCCAAGGAAACGTAGAGGTCAAGCACATGGCAATGCGTGGAAAGTTGGTTAATCCGGTCGGAACGGGTTGGGATTATCCATCTCTTGAGTTTGATTGATTCAATGAAGTAACCACTCTACTTTGATAGGGAGCGGCAGGGACCACCAGGATTGGGAGATATGACTCCAACACCAAACAGAACAAGGTACGGCGTGTGCGTCCCACATTGCCCCTGCTGTAGTGCGTTACTGCGCGTGTGTGCATTCCCACGTGGCTGTGTGTTCTCTCCAACAGCTCCTGTACACATTCGACAAGCAGGTGTGTGTCAGCAGCTGTTCCCTGAACGAGGAGGAGACGCTGTTAGGTAAAACCTCTCTATGCACTGTATGCTGAATTACTGGCATAGTAAAACAGGTCTGTCTACTTGACTCCCAAATTAGGGAATTAAGTGAGCGAGCAAATTTTGGTCTAATTATCGGTTTCTTAAGAGCAGTTCCGTGTTATAAAATGAACATTGTGTAGAGTGTTGAATGTCAAATGATAGTTAAATAAAAATCAGACGACAACTTGCTTGTGCTTCCCTCTCCATTCAGCGGTCAGCTTGGCACAAAACCCCAGCAGAGATGAGCGCCTCCAACCAAGTAACACCTTTTTCTCTCTGTTTCACTCACAGACAATGACATCATCCACTCAGGTTGCCTTTTTAATCGTTCCTCTTCAAATCTTTCTGTCCTAGTATCCAAGTGTCTAACTCTCCTGATTGAGATTCATCCCATCAACAACACTCAAGTCCTCAAGGCAGTAGACTGCAGGGTCAAAGTGCAGGTAGAGTTTGTTTGCGTGTGTGTTATACATTTTGTTGTTTTTTACGGCAGCAACGCGCTGACGTTGCAGTTTTGCAGTTTCTGCACTGACGAGTGACACAAACATTTTATTTTGCAAGCTTGCAGAAAGTACACTGACCTGTGCTCATGTGTATTGATCAACTGCAGCCGTAGACATTACTGTTGGCCGCTCGTCGTGTTGCCGCACCGCAAATGGCGAACAAATGTACAAGAGCTGCTTGAAAATCTGAAAATCAGCCAATCGATTTTTCCATCTGGTAACCGTGAACCACAGGATGCTGACTCATGTTCTCTGGGCCCGTCCCTATAGTTCCTCAATTCAGGAACTGACGGGAGATCAGTGCTGGAGAGCCACCTGCTGCTGCTGACTGAGGACGGATGTGAGTCTGAGTGCCGTTATTCCAGTCTGCCAGCGTGCGTTATGTTTCTTTAATCCCTTCGGAAGCAGATCAGCAAATTCAGAGATGTGCACGTAACATTTGGCCAACAAAAGAAATACATTCCAATTCCCTGGTGAAAACACGTTGGATATAGTTGTGTTGATGCATATCCTCTTGTGCTTTTCAGATGTGGATCTCTATCACGTTCTTCTGACTAAACAGGAGGGCTATAGAGTGGTATGTTGGACTCTACATTCACCACATTGCTCTTTGCTTTTTTTTTTTTTCACTGAACAATGTTTCAGTGCATACACAGTTTAACTGTATATTGAGTTTTTTTGTCCCAGCTTTTAGGCTCTGTGCAGTTTTCTAGAAGTTCAAAATTCTGCACATATCTCATAATTGATCTGGAAAAAGGTTAGAATGTATTTACATAAGCCGGTGCAAGGAGTATATATATGGTCTTGACCTAATTCTCCAAACCATAAACTATACTGTGTCACATGCCCGCCTGGGGAGCTTTGCATTAAGAATTCAGTGAGTCCACAAGGCTGAATATCAATGCGTTCGTGTGCACCAGGTGATGGCAAATCCCGAGCGTTTGTCCAAGACGGCCGAGAGGATAGTGGAGGACTTCTGCTGGGCCCAGTGGGACGGACACACACAGAGACTCCACTACGTCGCTCATCATCCGACACACACACAGGCATGCAAAACTGCCTTTGTGAGGACAGTGCATTGAATACATCTATGACAGGACCGTCTCCCGTAGTGCACAACTAACGCACTTTAGTTTGGTGCACTTATTAACACAAGATTGGCATGATGTGTGTTTCACAGAACCAGTTCCTGATGCGATGTGTTCAGTTCTACCCCAATCATAACTGTGAAACTGTGGTACGTCGCCTCTATGTCTTTGGATTTGATTAATTACCAGGCTTGAGCACATGTTTTAACCATGCATGACCATCATTACAATATATGTCTTGCGTCTTCTTAAACTCCCACAGTTGGAACTCCCATTAGAGCTGCCTGCAACTTTTTTTCCTACAGTCAAGTAAGGCTACAGCTACGAGTATACAGCACAGTACACATACAGTACAACTTCATTTTATATTCTGTGTTCCCTTGAATGGTATTGACATGTGCTTGCAGTCATAGACAGAAAAATGTATTTCTGTTCACATCATATGCTGTTTGCTGTACACATTCCTAAATTCTGAGATTGAAAAATACGCCAAATATTCAGATTCAGTCTAGTATTTCTGTGTGTGTGTGTGTGTGTGTTTGTGTGTGTGTGTCCAACAGGTTTGTAAATTTGGGTTTTGACCATTATCACGTGGAGAAACCAGAGCAGGGGCCCGTTAGTATGAAAGTGTTCACAAACCGAATAGGTAATGCATCCACACACACACACACACACACACACACACACACACACACACACACACACACAAACATCCCTGCATGAAGTGTTAAGTGCTGATACGATGATCAAACAGTTGTTGGAAAGGTTTTGTTACAAATTGCGACGCTGACCAATGACAATCAGTTTCATTTTTGTAGTTTGTTCAATTATTGCATCATAATATCATTATGTTATTATTTAATAATAAATCCAAATAAAATTCTATTTACGCATCATATGTTTGATTGAAAAATTCATGCCTGTATCAACCCCACAACCCTGTTCCTGTCCTCCTACTGATTTTATAAGAATCTATTAATGTTAGGTATTGATTGACATGTGAACTCATTTATCCAAATATTTCACAAGTGACTGAATGTCTCCTTGATTAGCACAAATAATGACATGGACGCATGATTCCATTATTGGCCGTGTGAACTACTGTGACCCTGCTGTTTGTTTCCAGGAAGTATGTGTGTGTGCTACAGCCAACCTCCGACAGACAAACAGGAACTGATCTACACTGTGGTTTTAGTCCACAAAGGTGTGTAAACAGGCAGAGAATGTATAGTACCTACTTCCTTATTACCGTCACCTCTCTTACGTTGTTTGGATTTTTCTCACTTCCTGCAGACTGCAGCAAGACGTTCACAGTGTCTCTGGGGGGCGACCAGCCGTCACACAGAGGCGCACGGCTCCATCCGCTCTTCATCCCGATAGGTCATTGCACACACACACACACACACACACACACACACAGGTGTCAAACACTTCTCACAACCGTTGTAAATTCCACTCGAATGTGAGACTGTCGAAGGTTGACTGCCAAACACGCACTCCTTACCCTTTTGAATTCGCAAAAAACAAACCAATACAAATGAGTGCGTGTACCCTCGCGCACGTTAATGAAAGGTCTGTTGTGCATGCAGGTGACCAATACAAAATAGTAGTGATGCTGTGTTATTTATGCATGTAGGTTACCACATCCTGGTGTATCTGCAGGGCCATTTCCTCCACTGTATCAACACCAGGCAGCAGGAGATGCTCTGCCACTCCCTTTTCCTCTCAGGTAAAACAAATCCTGTCCTAGCTGAGCGATGGCCGTTTGTTTACCTCCTCACTCAGCGACAGTACATGCTCCTATTTTGTCCTGAAATGTATTTTTTTTTCTCCAATAGAACCTGTACAAACAGAGCTTTGATTGCTGTTTGTTCACAGAAATTGTCTTATTCTCCCATCTGTCCCTTTCAACAACCTCAAGGTGTCGACGTGGATATGGGTCTGCGGTGTCAGTCAGCCAACATTGCGGTGTTGTGCGCGGAGGAAGAGTCCAGCGGTGGTCTGCTGGACTCGGCCAACGGGAGGATCTACACTGCCGAGCTAAACCCTTCCTTCCTGCTGCACATACTGCGGTCAGACACTCCCTCTAGGTGAGCGTGATTCACAACATTCTATGGAAATAATATTTATGTGTGTATACATATAGAGGTCTCCCCTTATATATTGAGAGAAAAGAAGGATGTAGGGGATATATAGGCAGAAAGCAGACAGGTGGCAAAAATACTTATGTGAACAAAAACCTGCAGTGCTTCTAGAAAACGGGGCCAGAAGATTGGACTCAAACGTCCTGCACAAAAACAATGCATCAGTGAAGCCTTGCTTAACTTAAACAAATCTTTTACCATTTCTGTACTTGTCATTCAATTATTCACTCCACTTTTAAACAGCACTGACGTCACAGCGCGGCACCTGACTGTTGGCCGTCTGTCTGCACTTCTGCCTTCGTGTCTATATGCTCATGTTGTATAAAAGTACATTCGTCACCCCCGTCAAAGGTGTCCCAGCAGTAAGGCTGACCCTCAGCGCCTGGCCGCCCTCCACTGCCTGCTGGTTTACATGGGAGATGACCCAAGCCTGGAGCTGAAGGTACAACCAACGCAGCGCAAATCCATCGACGTTTGTGACGAAGTTAGCGTCACCACGCCAAATAAAGATGTAACACATCATCTGGACCCAAAGAACTCTATGCACTTTCATCCAGAATCGCATTGTTATACATCAAACACGTAATTATTTATCAGTAGGACATAAAGTCATTCAGAACTTGAGTTCATATCAATGTTTAATTAGCCACAAGCTCAATAATAACTTCTGGTTGATGGGGAGCAGCAAATGCAGGAGAAGGGACAAAAAGAAAAGGCCAAAAATGTAATTCTCCCTTTTACAATTTAAATGGTAATGTTACTGAAAGGTGACTTCCATCAAGGAAAAGCAACAGCTAATCAAAAATAGAAAGATAAAGGTGTGCTTCTGTGTAAATTCAGTAGGTGTCAATCTTGAGTTGACGGTAAACAGATGGAGCCGACAGATGGAGAAAGAGACGACAGGACGCTGTAGCAACATATCGTGAGTTAGAGGAGGAGACAAGTGGAGAGAGATCAGATGGAGAAAGGGGCAGATATTGTGTTTGGTCACTGGCCACGACTCAGACTTCATTAGTACATCTAACTGAAGATGTTCCGGCTCCTCTGATAGATTGTAATAAATTCTCTCTTTAGAGGTTAAATGAGTCACCAGCTTCATTAGCGCAGCCAGCACTGAGGAATTGGACACCGCACATCATTTTTGTATTCTTGGTTTGACTTTGTTGATGAGGACAGCAGCACAAAAAGAAGTGGCTTTAATATATGTGATCGCTTTTTAATGTATTATTTTCTGAACTTTAAAGAGACTTCTGTCTGTCTTCTGAGAGCTCTTCGGCTTCCTACCCCCTTTTTTTCCTCCTCACCCAGTCGTTATAGGATATTGTTTTTCTGGAATCACACTGACTTTGGAAAAGAGATCTTTTTCTTTTCTTTTTTCAAACAGCAGAAAAATGGGCAAAATAAAATGAGTTTTTCACTCTGATACACCGTGGCTTATTTTCAGGGACATCATTCATTTTTAATGTGTTTTTCTTCTATTATTTTGGGCATTTATCTGATGGATGGAAGTGTAGAAATAGAGAGGGGGATATGGGGACGTGTGGTTACATGGCATATAATCCATTTTCCTTTTTTCTGTAATGTAAACATCAGAATAACCAATAAGCCAGTGAGTCTACAGCCCTACTATCCGTTAACACAATCATGCTAACCATGACGATACAAACCTGCTGATGCTGGGCAAGTATATTTGCCATATTCACTATCTTGGCTTTGTAATGTATGTGTAGAAGGTATGTGTTTTTCTAACGTTAACACATGTGTGAAACCTCTCACGAGCCCCTTTTAAAGCGTAGAGAACGAACTAAGAACTTTGAAAAGGTGACCGCGCTGTGCAGCTGTCACGCTGCGCTCCCAACACATTGACACGTGTCTCCTTTTGTGTTTCGTTTCCTGCCTCCTAGATCATCGAATGGCTGTGCGACAACATGAGCGCCTTCGAGTCCTTTGATCAGATCCAGGAGTTCATTCTAGGTCAGCCGGCAGCCGAAGCGCGGGGACGCAGGTCTCCCGAGCTCCACCTCTCTTTTTTTGGAATCTTATCTGCCTCTTTGGCCTTTTTATGTCTCCTTCTGCCCGTTTGTGACGTGACTGCTTACATCCTGTCTGCACCAAACAGAATTCTTTCATCGACTCGGTTTCCCTCCTTCAACTCGTTTCTCAGCCCTTTTGCCGGGCGTCCAACGCTGGTTTGGAGTCCTGCAGACACAGCAAACGCATACGAATGTCCCACAATGTCTGTCTTTAGTACATGCTAATGATGTCGTAGTCAGGAAAACAGTCATCAGCCAGAGAGCAGACGATCCCATTAGCTGTCGGACCACCTTGCCGCTCACATTTACATACTGCTTAAAAAGAGCGGGAAGTCCACGGTTCATCATTTTATTCTTGTATTATTTTATGATATTCCATCAGTACTGTACTGCAGTGTCTTTGTCGGGACTTAGAATACAGTACCAGTTCTAGTCATCTCTAATAGCACCTGATGATTTGGCCTCTCCTGGTGTACCGAACATTATCTTATCCATATCCTATGCAAAAAAAAGGTTCTAAATACAGAGTTTCTCAACAGAGAGTTTTGTATCTTCTTACATGATATCAGTGTAATAGTGCATGATAGTTACTGCATGTCCCGTAACCCGGATCGCCACATTCAAACCAGTGTGGCTGGTTTCTATATGGAGTTTAGAAACAAAAAGGTTGTGCAGGGCAGTAATCCGCAGATGCCACAGATCCAAATTCATCAATAAACAAGAGTTCACTCTGTGAGCAGAAATACCGTCCTCACCGTCTACAATGTGACTGCGGTGTGAACGACGTCAGCAGTGTTGCCGGTTTGCGCTAAAATTAGGTGAGCGGTTAGCGACAGCCGCGAGCTACCACTTATGACTCTGGCACCTCTGTTCAAACACAGAAGACATATTTAGTTTTTACTCGGCCCTGTGTGTGTGTGTTTGTCAAAGATGCCTGGGTCAACAGAAAGCTCTCTGAAGGGTTACTGCAATAACCGCACAATGCCAACACAATAAGAAAGTACAGGAGAGCGGCAAATGCAAACTCCCACAATGCCCGCTGATGGGAGGGACATCGGCCACAGCACCTGGTTTCCCTTGTTGGTTATTTAAGGAATATCTTATCACCGATATCAATGATCCAAAGCTTCTCGACGCGGCGTCACTGCAGGGCGCCGCTGTTTAATACTTGGGGTGGATTAAACGCAGAGATCAAACTGAATACATGTCTGTTTATGTGTGACTATTGAAATAAAGTTTAGAAGCCCCTGTGAGCATAAGTGTGATAAATAGAGTCTGACTGCTCTATCTCTCTCCCACAAACAGCCTCTTTGTACAGAATAAGCTATGAGAAGTCCCTCAGCCTGGACAAGGTCCTGCCTTACTCCTCCGTACTCGACAAGAAGGTACCGCAAACACACACCCACACTAACACACATACGTACGCACTTATACATACAATTCAGCATGCAATAAGAAAACAAACCACGTATCGCACACATACTGTATATATGTGGATATGAACAGGACACAATAGCTGTTTTTCTTTCTTTTGACTTTGAGTGGTACACACAGACACACACACAAGCGCACGCCATCTACCACTTAAAATCTTTGTGTGTTCTAGGAGATACCGGCGTGTCTGTTGGAGGTCCCTGGTGTGTTGTGCACCACTGAGCTGCATATTGAACCTGTGTTCAAAGGCAAGGTAACAACATACATTTTTAAATGCAAGTTATTATTGAGCTTTGAGTCTGACTGTCTACTCGGTTTCCAGAACTAGTTATTCAAAACGTAGCCTGTAGGCTGGGTGATTAAATGGAGATTACGTGTGTTTGCTACAAAAGATGTCACGCGCACATGGGTTGCACGTATGATGCAATGTTGGGAAAGGACTGCCGCTCACTACATTCAGACTTTTATATGTAAAACAGTGTCATTGTACTGCGGCTACTTGCAGGCAATTTGCACGCAAGTTATCCTAAAATTGCTTTGCAGCAATGTCCTTGCCGTGTCACTGGCGTCTTTGATTGTGTGTGTGTCTCCAGGCCAGAAGTCTCCAGGGTTTCTGGTCAGAGCTGCAGTGGAACACGGAGAGAACAAAATATCTGCATGCCGTTCCCAACCCCAGATACCGAACCTCACACATACAAGCTGACTGGGAGAAACTAGTGAGCGTCAACAAAAACCTCTCATGCATATCAATGGAAACAAATGAAAAGTACCATAGTGGAAGTTAAATTGATTGATGGTACAGCGAATGTGTCATACCTGCGGGTCTGGGCCGAGCAGCGGGAGTATGTTTTCGGCCCTCCCATGTTGGTGTTGCTTTCGTTTCAGAAGTCCGAGAGGAGACCATCCGGCCACAGGAACAACACGGAGGAGAACACAAAGAAGTATGTCTGCATTACGGCCTTGTTCATTCTCACCAAAAAATAGGCTTCATTTATGTCGATGCCTCGCAAAGGAGTTCAGCTCAGAAGCATATTCAATCAGTTGAGCAATAAAACATAATACAATAAAAAGTGGGAAATAAGTTCGAAAGCACTTTTGGGTCTTTACTCTTGATGCATTAATAAAACTGCTAAAAAAATGATCCGATTTCTTTGACGTGTTATGTCTGCAGCCCAAATATCTTTTTATCTTAATCCTTGCAAGGCAGCGTGAATATAAATGTGCACCAGGTGTTCAGGCAGTGTAAAAACACTGTCCATCATGTAAATGTCACAGCGTAATCACGTGACCTCCCACTTCCGCTGCTGATGCTCTGCTCTCTTTGAAAATGGACCATCCATACATTTGTTTTATTTAAGCAAACTTTAAGGGTACACGGAGCCTGGTCCTCTGCCATATTTTAATGGGTTACTCTCTGATTGTGAGCAATATCTAACAGGACCCCCCCCCCCCACCCCCCCCCGACAGTTTATGACCAGTGGACAAGATGGTGGGCGAGTACCTGTATGCACCACTGATGTAATACAGGCTCTGAATCAAATATCACTCGGCGGAAGTGATATTTGATTCAGGAATCAAACCAAAAGCCTTTTTGGTTCATAATGAGCTTTTCTTCCTCCAAGCCAAGTTCCACCACCTGCGTCAAACTGCTGTGCTTCTAAAGTTCTTATGAATTATTTTGCAGCAGCAAAAGCATTTTAGTGCCTCAGTAAGACTCTTATAATAACGCTGGCTTGAGGGATTCTTCTCACACAAAGCTTCTCTTCTTATTTTGCAGAGTTCTATCAATGGTGGACACCTGGTGTCTTGGTAAGGCGGCATGTGCACAAACACACGCACACACACACTCTCAGAGAATCTTTAGAAGGAACACAGGCACACAAACACACACGCACGCTCGCACAAACGCACAATGCAGTGAGTAAGAGTGTCACAAATAACAGCAAAGCCTTGGCTTATAGCGAAGCTTAAAACTGTGAGTTTGGGTTTGTGTGTTCTTCTGAGGTTGCATTCTTTGTGCCCGCTGGAGAATTCAACTTAACGGAAGCGCCACACTAATTTATTTTGGTGGTGTGGGGGGGGGGGGGGGGGGTGGTAACAAAAGGGAAGGTTGAGAGTAAGAAAAGGAGGAAGTGGGAGAGTTGAAGAATCGCCATAAATATTTAACGGTCTTTACCTCCTTCACCTTCTCCCTTACACTCTAGTCTGTCTGTCTCTGTCTCTCGAGACTCAAGTGCAAATGTTTTGTGACAGCCACAACACGCGGGGACCTTCCCTCACCTCGGTTGGCTCATACAGATGATGAGCTGCGCCAAATTTCACAGCAATTTAATCCAGTGGTTGGCTGAGGTTCCTCGAGCCGTGCTGCTGGCTCCCAAAGGGACACTTGAAAGTCTCTATGATTTGCTCAAACAAGTGAGCAAAGAAACCAAAGAAAACACATCGAAGAGAATACAAAAATGTAGTGGCTGGTACTATCATATAGTTTAGCATTTTACTAGATAAGATGACGATTATCATTACCATTTTTTTTTGTTAATCTACCAATTAATTATTCAGCAATGCTTCAAGTTTGATTAATGAGACCGCGTTAACAGAGAGGTCAGTGTGCCGATGAGTGTGTGTCCATTTGCGTGAATGTCACTTAGCCGCGCCCTGCAAGTGCCGTATCTATTAGTAGAATGTCACTCTGTATCAGAACGAAAGCGATCAAAAGATGGTGTGTGTGCAATAATTCATCCAAATGTACCCAGCCCTGTATTTTCGGGGGGGGGGGGGTGCGGTATAAACGTAATATACACTCACGCTAAGTAGGACATAGCAGCATTGCAGCCGTAACCCCCAGAGGTCAGCCTGTTTTTTTTTTAAAGCCAAAAGAATCCCATTAATGACCTTTTTTCTTTATGGAGGCCGTTTCAGCCATTTCCTCCGGATGGCCTTTTTTCGATAATGTACCTGCACTGACGCACCTGAGGCTACCTGCAGTGCTCAGTCGCGGCATCAAAGGTTTCTTCAAACGTCTCTCTTATGTGCTCGCTCCCATCTCTCGTCTCTCTTCTCCAGATAAGAAGCTGGTGCCACTTTTCCAGGAGGAGGACCATCAACAGAGGGCGCTCATAGGCCTGGTGCGGGACAGAGAAGCGAAGCGCACACACCAACACACACCAACATAAAGTGTTCTTCTCAAAGGCAGAGTTCCAAGGGTTTTGAACAAGGAACTTATTCACAGAGACAGGTGGATAAAGGAATGCATTTCTTTAGGTTGAGTTCAGTGAGGAGAGCTTTACTTGCCTCCACTGACCTTTGCCCAATCCGAATCTGTGCTGTGGACGTTTCCACATTCTCCAGTTTTCCCTGTGCACAGCAGAGATTTTAAAGAGCAGATAGCTTCAATTTAATGGGGTTCAGGCGAGATGCTCGGAGTCTCACAGCTATTCTTGGAATGACCCGGTCCTCCTGCCTTTCGCTCACTATTCCCTCCATCATCGTCCCCTTTCCTTCTCTTCCCTCTCTCCTTCTGTCTCCTCCTCATTCTCTCTGCCTCCATGAAGGATGTCAGGTCTGCCAAATGTCTTTACAATCATGCCGTACTCTCCATCTCTCACATCCACAGGTATCCTCTCCTCCCATCTTCCCTCGTCTCTCTGTGGTTAAATCGATTTTTGGGGGCACTGTAGTTGAGGGGAAGAGTCGAGCTGAACTGCATTTGACCCGTTTTTAAAAGCACACAAACGCAGACATTTGCTTCAGGCTACATACACACAATGAAAATAATCCCTGTGTTTTTCTGTGGTTGTTTTTTTACTTTGCAGACGGTTGACAAGCTCCGAGAGCATCTCAACAGACACCTGCCTCGTCTTGGGAAGAAGAAGATCGACTCGCTGGTCGTCAACTATGTAGCCAAACTGGTTGGTACACCACGTCTGTGTGTGTGTGTGTGTGTGAGCGAGCGAGTTAGACCGAAACAGAGGGGTCCGTGAACCCTTTTTTTTTTATATTTAGCCGCACGCCGTTCTCCGACTTATGTTTATTTAATGTTTGCCCTTACTCTTTTCCCCTGCAAGGTTAAGTGCCACTCACCGCCAGCATTGCTCGGTGGAAGAGGCAGCGAGTCCTCCGCTCTCCTTAAACGGTTTGACAGATGGACGCGCGCTCCGCGGATCACAGCGGGGTCGCCGCTTTGGGTCCCCCCGAAACAAAACAGCCCTCTGCTTACGACATGCGTCCCTCAACCGCTCAGGGGCAGCGCGTGTGTGTGTGTGATGGAGGAATATCTATGAATATCACTACAGCGTTTGCATGTGGGACCTGCGTAACCGAGTGCAAAGACATCACCTCTCTTCTCCGGTCTCAGTACCCCAATCGGGTTACTTGGTTCTGTAAAGTCGGTCTCTAGTACTCCTGGAAGGTAAATCCCTTCACAGCCAGCAGCCCACCGAAAGCAGACAGGGAGCATATATCAACACAACCGTATTAAATCAGGACAAGGGTAAGGCTGGAATTGAATCGAAATCAGGAAGCATCACGTTTCCGGGACTTTGTGGAATTGCAAATGACCGGGTAGCAGAGACCAAACAAATCCCGCCTGCTCTCGGCTGAACGGGGGTCGGCGGTTCAGCTCCGCGCGACAGGCTTATGAGTTTTTTACTCCCAATGAAAAAAAAAGAAAAAAAAAAAAGGCACGTCTGTCATCTTCCTTGCGCCTCGCATCCCGGCGAATGGGGTTATTATTGAATTTATTCAGGGGAGCGAAAATGAAAAAGGTTTCCCATCCAGGGAGCGGGGGGGGTTTATTAAAACACGAGCTCGCACACACAGAAAGGCCTATGAGAGACGTCTCTCAGGGACGTCTTGGTTTCCCGCAGAGTCGAGTTACTCAACTGCCGGGCGGCGTGCGTACGCATCGGGCTGACTCATGCTTTAAAAACTCAGGGAGGTACATTTTCAAGGAGGGCCGACTTCCCCCCCACAAAATAAAGAATATCTACCTCACTTGTCGGGGCTTATTGAGACTAATGGCTGCGTTGACACGGGGGAGAAGTTGGGGGTGAAATAGATTACAGCTTTTAAGAGCAGGGGAACTCCTGCTATGATAGATTACTCGCTCCACAGCACATTATCGTCACAGTTATTTATTTCTTGTCTCCGTTGCTGTGCGCAGCTGAGGTACATTTTCATAACAGCCAACGTCTGTGCAAAGAACAACTCGCTAATAGCTGAATACGAATTGCTGGTTAGGAATATGGAATTAATTGCAAAAGGCTGCACAATTGTGCAGAAAGAAAGTTGCTATACCCAAGGTTATTCAACCACACCAAGTATATCAAGTCTCTTTGCCGGGCCGAGGTTCATTAAGATAAATTGCTGATTCCTGATTTGATTCTCATAGAAATTCACACTGGGGATAGTGTGTGCGCGAGTGTGTGGCTTTTGTTTTCAGCACAAAAGAAGTCTGTGCTACATATTTCTATCCCTTTTAATAGTCTTCAGGGGCCTGGATTACATTAACCACGAGCACACAAGATGTTAGTTGGAGAAGTAAGAAAATCACAGTTTTAAAAGTGATACTTCTCTAAATTCTAATTCTTAACCTGCGAATTGACCAAGCATGTGTACAGACCATATGAAGCTGAATGAAGGATGTATAAAAAAAGAAGCTAAACAATACACTAAATCTGTGCAGGAGAAGTAAAGAAAACCACAACAGGGAAGATAATTATGTCCGTCTTTACATTTTGGCCATGTTGGGTAAATGTTGGGTACATAAATGCTAACTAATTGAATTTCTCTGCGGTCAGTGGAGGACATCGGGGGACGGTTTTCCACTAGTGTCAGGCTCGTCTTCCTGTTATTCTACAGGTTACGAGAGGAGGGTGGTGCGTGGAGCAGAGCCGCGCGTAACGTGCGTGTCTCTGCCGGTGCTTTCTAAGTGATTCGCGTGCATTTCAGATGTTCCTGCACCCGGAAAGACGTGTTGCGAAACCATGTGGGCGCGTGTTTGGCGTTTGTTCCACTCCGGAGTGCACAGCTTTTTCTTTCTGTGGAAATCAATATGGGAAGTAGGAAAAAGAAAAAAAGGGAAGGGTGGGTACCGATCATTGAACAAAGTGCGTTTTCACAAGAAAAAAAGTGTCGTCAGAGCAGAAAAATGCCTTGTTTCATTTTAATCTAATTGAGCATCTCCTTGCATGTGTGTGTGTGTGTGTGTGTGTGTGTGTGTGTGTGTGTGTGTGTCTCTCTGTGTGTTTGTGTGTGTGTCCTTAGCTGGAGCTCATCAGACACATGCTGGAGTCAGTCTGGCAGAAGCACAAACTGGGACCTCGTGTTTTGTGCCTGTGAGTAGCCCTCCCTCGTCCGAGTGTGTCTCCTTTAAAGTTTCTGATTAATGTAAAGTATAAAGCACCGTCTGTGTGTGTGTGTGTGTGTGTGTGTGTGTGTGTGCGTGTGTGTGTATTCACCTTCACGCATGTGCGCTCCAGACTTTCCATCACTCCCCGCTGTGTGTGCGTCCACATGAGCAAACTGTCTGTTACTTCTCTTCACTTGTGCACGCACATGAAATAACATTCTTGCCCAAATCTTTCTGTGTGCGTGTGCATGTGCGTGTGTGTGTGTTCCAGCAAGCAGCAGGGCACTCCAGCCGAGTGGTCGGTGTTTCACTTCATGTTTCGGATCCTGGAAGCCACGAGGGGTCTGTGCCTACCCCTCCCTCCAGGTACCATCCGCACACGCACACACACACGCACACACACACACACACAGTCTGCACTGAGGGACGAGAGCCCCGCTCTCGTCGGCACTAATGTAACCAACAATATGTTAAACATTAGCAGAGCAGAGTGTGAGTACATCTTGAATGATTTGAGTTAATTTTTCAGCGTCTGCTGTATAAATCCACCTCCAATTACACACATTCTTTCTAGTTGCTCTGGAGGAGATTGCCTGCAGGTTGGAATCCTTGTTGGGCAACAAGAGAGAAAGACAGCGGCCCTGAAGGGTTGCAGGTGTAAACGTGTGTGTAAATTGGGTGTGAAGCTGTAAAACAGCCGGCCATCTCTGAGTCTCTTTTGGAGAATAGAAAAAATAGCAATCACTCGGCCACGATGGCACGAAGCTCAAAGTGCCGCGAGCGCGGCTGAAGACTCGCTTTACTCTTTCACTTTAACAAGTTTCTCCCTCCTTTCCCCCTCATCTGCCCCACTATTGTCCCTGTGTGTCTCCGCAGGCTATCACACCCTGTTAGCCGTGTTCGCGGTGCGTTGCCTTCCTCATCACACCTTCCTGCAGTACATTGATCACGGCCTCCTGCAGCTCACTGAGACCTTTGTGTCTCGGCTCATGACAGGTACACACACACACACACACACACACAGCTACATTAAAAAAAGAAGAAAAACCAAGAAACTTCAACCATTCCCCTCTTCGGTCCAGACTGGAATATATATGCAAGTATAGGATGGATTGCTATTAAACTGTGTCCAGACATAGTGTTTCTCTCACCGCCATCTGGTCAAGATTTCAATTTGTCCCATTTAAAAAAAACAAAAAAACATGATTCAAATGTTTTATGACATGCCATAACAATGAAAACATGTAATCTTTAAAAAAATATACTCCATGAAAGGTATAATAAAGGGAGCATTAACAAACGACAACACATTTTTGTGCATAATTCATAAATGCAAGCAACAAGGCCATTTAAATCAACGTATACGCTGTTGGGCAATTTCCAGAAAAATGGTGCACTGACCAACTAAAGGACAACAACTGCATTTATCATCTGCTAGCCTTGAGAAGTCTTGCTTAGTCAGTTCAGGTGTGTGTCTTATAGCATGCTGGAGGTATTACATCTCCCAGAATGCTTCTGAGCGCCGAGGAGCCATCCAGGAGGAGGGTCAAAGTGTCTTTTTGAATGGATTGTTCCCACTTTGCGACACAAAAACATACATTCTGTGATGTCTTAAAGCCCCCCCACCCCACCCCGCTCCCACACAAAAAATTGTTGCTGACTCAGAATAGTCATTCATAGCGGATCATTTGCACAGCCTTCACTGCCAAAATATGTTCTGTTTTACATTTAAAAAAAGGAAATATCACTCTAATTCTTTTTCACCCCTCTAATCCGGTAATTTGATTTCAAAGAACTGTGAGCATTTGATTCAGACACAGAGAGAGAAAAGATGCGACATCCTCTCTTCAGAAGATTTAATTAGCACCGTGTCTCCTCTTCTCGCCTCTGTCTCTGCGCGTAAGATTTGGACAACGGTGCTGCCAACGAGAGACTGAAGTTCAGCATACTCAAGAGACTCCCGGAGGTACTTCTGTGCGAGTGTGTGTCCAAACACGGTTTTGTCTGTTTTTTTCTTCTCACAAAAGGGCCACGAGTAGATTAGAGGACTCTGCCATCCAAACGATGATACGCTGAGTGTACAAACTCGGGAGGACTGCGCTCAGATGTAGCAGTTTGTGACCGCAGGGAATTTCTCAGCGAGTAGGACAACGAGGCGCGAGGCTATTGCAATCCCATCTGTTAGTCGGGGGGGTTGGTTTCGATTCCCTTCTCCCCAAACGTCCCATTCTGGTCCAATTAAGAGTTTGAAGTTATTTTTATATCCCCCGAGTCCCCTTCATGCCAGCACATGTGTAACCAGCCGGTGTGTGTGTTAAGGGATGGGAAGAGACTGTGTGTCCCTAACACTCGTGTTACTTCCCTGGTTTCCCGTTTGTACAGGGTATATTTCCTCTGTAGTTATTCCTCCGTGTGTGTGTGTGTGTGTGTGTGTGTGTGTGTGTGTGTGTGTGTGTGCGTGCGTGTTCCCTCCGCACTGCGCTCTGAGGAATGTCCAGTGTTTTGTGTTTCTCTGTTCCGTTTCCTGCCCGTAAAAACTTTGTTGGATGAGTTTGGCAGCAGGAGAGATTTAGCAAGTACACACACACACACACACACACACACACACACACACACACACACACACACACACACACACACACACACACACACACACACACACACACAGCGAGTAAACAGGAGATGCTGGCAATAGGAAAATGCGTATCTCTCGGCTAAACCCACATCGCAACAGACCTGGCGTATTAATAATTACCGTTGCATGCGTCGCACGAAGAAATGACAATAATCTGTAATTCCTGATTATCATTATAAGGGATCTCCCCTTAATGGCATTGAGTTCCTTCCATGTGGCAAAATAAAAAAGGGACAGATGTTCGCTTTCTCCAAGGAGTATATATTTCTTCTCATGACAACCTGACCTACATGTCTAAAAATGTAGTCAACATCTAGTGTGTGTGTGTGTGTGTGTGTGTGTGTGTGTGTGTGTGTGCGTGTGTGTGTAGCCCATGGGGCAGAGGATCTACCACATGTGGGACCATCCCTTCAGCTCTGCTTCGATCTCCAGAGATTATACCAGGACGCTGCTGGAGAGGCACGACAACAAGGTAACACATCGCACAGTCGCACGCACACACTTGAGCTCTGCAGACGCAACATTCTCTAATGAGCATTAGACAGAAAGTACAGCTGAAGCTAGTGGGGAGGCCACTAGTTGTGCAGGTGTTTGATCATAAACTACACTAATGGTTTGGAATACAGCCCCTCAAACATCAGGCCGTAGTGTTTTTTTCTCTCAGTTTCATATCTTCCTCAATTCAAACTGTTGTTGGTTTGAGACTGTTAGTTTGACAAGTCGTTCCCTTGGGCTCTTGGAACTTGTGATGGGCCATTATCACAAGTTCCTGACAAGGAATCCTTGCAGCCCTAAAAACGTTAACTCCAGAAAAAAGCATTTATTTCTGCAACGTCACAGGAAAAAGAAAAAGTCCTGTTTGGCGTTCTTCGTTCAAACGTGTTCACAGCAGTGACCCCGGCGGCGCAGCTAGCACATCACGCATCCGCTCCGGGACGCTATCGGCTAGTCGGCTAATTGGCTGGCGGAGCCCGTGGCTTTTTGTGCGATGACGGGTTAGAATTCATGGCTGCCTAAAAAAGTTCAACTTCAGCCATCTCTACCGGATCTTGCAGAGGAGGACACGGGTGAGCCGGGGTCACTGGCTCGGGGAATTGCTTGTCGCAGATTTGTCCCGACTGTGTGCGTCCTTGGAAAAACCGCAGAGCCGACGGTTGTGTTGTCTTCCGTTCCTCTCTCCTCAGGGATGTGCGTTCCCCAGCAGAGACAAGCCCGGCTTCACACCCGAGTTTCTGCCCCTTACCTACTTGGCAAAAATACTCTCTGATATCGAGGAACAAGGTACTTTTGTGTCCGAGTTCTGGTGTGTGTGGTGGTTTAGATCAAGACAGATTGTGTGCGTTGGACAGAAGGAAGGAAGTGTGTGTTAGTTTTTTTATCCCTCCTATGAGAAGTTCGATCTCTCTCTGTCTAACTTCCTCTCCCTGTGCCGCAGCTCTGAACCCTTTCGGGGAGCAGGAGAACGTGGACGCCAAGTTCGTGGAGGAGACGGCACTCAAGCAGACACTAATACTGCTGGGCTTAGGGGAAAAATGAAGCACGTGAAGGATGGACGGATGGATTGAGGGAGAAAACCCATGACGGTGGAAAATGTGTTCCCGGGGAACCAGTCATCATCGTCTGTCCCTCGAGGATGAATAACGGATGGATGGATGGATGATGGAGAGACGGAGGGCGAGAGGTGAAAGATGAATGGACCGATTGAAAGGCAGAGCGCTCATAAACAAGCTCTCAGTGCAACGGGATAAGGGGAGGGGGGGGGGGGGGGTAGATGGATGGAGACGGCCCAGAGAAGGAAAGATGGAGACCGATAGGAAGGAATGGTCACCATGCTTTTTCCTCACAAACATTATGAACGGTACCAAAACATTAGAACACAATAGGTAGCGGCAGCAACTTCTCCCATTTAGTTTATGAACACCGATGTCGTACGCCGGGGCTTCACATCAAGGCCGCTGGCTTTGGAGGCGATTGTAAGTGGCTGAGAAAAGGGGACATGTCCGACGTGCGTAGAGACTTTGCTGATGCTGGCAGGTCGAATGAATGACAAGAGTTCATTAAAAATGTTTTGATGTAAAGACACTTACATCTGGTCTGACCAGCTTATTACGAATGATTCTTTTTTTGATGCTATGCCACATTGGGCTCTAAATAAAAGCGTGGATACAAAAGCAATAGCCTCTCACAAAGTCCGTCTACGAAATGCCTTTCAAATCAAACCAGACAGTTCAGGGGCAACAATGAGGCATTAATAATTCATGAATAGCACACAGGCACACGCACGCACGCACACACACTGGAGTTTTAATCAGGTGCCGCATCCTCTGTATCATGATTGAGCTATTACAGTAAATGGGGAAATTCTTTGGTAGTGGAGGTGATTATGGTGTCTGTGGCATGTGCCCATAATCCTTTTTATAGTCTGTGAATGTTGGCATCATGCCAGAGATTATTTGCATCATACGTGGTGCTTTTGTTTTGAAGAAATTACATTCATTACACTATAAAGAAAAGGGATTGCAGATTTGTTTACACAAAAGAGGTTTGCAAGATGGATTGTAAATAAAGAGTGTATTTTCTTGAATTACTGCCGTTCTTTTATAGATAATAGCGTACAGCTCAAGGCCACTGGATGTCCTTTGGACCGGACGTAAGTTCGGGATGAATTGGGAAAGGATCTCCACTCGCAGGCAAATACTCTGAAAGGCTCTGCTCAGGAGGAGATAAACTCTTTCAGATTCTCAGGGATATTTTGGACATACATACTTAGGAAATGACATCAGCTGCGGTCGTCGTACATGTCGTGCCGCGTTTGCAGGCTTGTTTTTGCAAAACCATTAGTGCCAAATTACACAATATTTTCTTTTTTTTTTAAATATCTTCTAGTACAGTCATCTCAAATCGATCATCTTCTGGTGAAATTCCCTCCCTGTTAGATGAATAAATCACTTATCTGTCTATTGCTTCCTCCGAACTGTGTTATGCAGTCGGTGTTATGTAGCCGGCTAACAAGGACAAACAGTCAGAGGCTACGCTAATCCGACAGCTCTCAGCCTGCACAGGATGATCACACACACACACACACACACACACACTGGGCAGACAGGCCCGCCTGCAAATCCGATAAACTACCTGTTGCTTATCTGTTTCTTCCTAGAATAGGGTTACCAACGTTTTGGTCTGATGCAGCCACGCATCCATAATCCGATTAGTGAAAGATATTTTTTGTTCCGCACCTGCTTACAGAGTATTGTGACAATCAATTCAAGATCATTCACAGTAATTTGTAATTTCATTTGAACGTTTATTTCCCTGCTTAACACAGAGAAGAAGGGCAGAGATTGTGAATGGCGGTGCAAACAGTGATGGCCTACTTTGCCCTCAAGCACAAATCTGCACATATAACAACTTCCAGTAAATCTGTAGATGTTTTAAAAGGCAAATTACTTTGTTTTTGTTCACCAGTAACAGTCTCTGAACTCCTCACCCCATTTAGAGCTCCACTTCATCCAGTTTTTTTTCTCTGACTCTCGTTCCTCGTTTAAATTCTCCTCCCTCTTTGTAATTCTCTTTTCTCTTTCATTGCCTGGCCTACGTCGCTGTATTTACATTCATCATTTCAGCCATTGAGCAGCAACTCTTGGCCAGGCTTGAAGCTTAAACCCGTTAGAATTCATTCATCAGCGGCAAGATTACAAGTGCGCAGGACCAAACGGTGCCAAAGCTGAAGAATGTGCAGAAATATTCCAGCATCTGTAAAAAATAATATTCAATAGAGAGCAAGATAAAAATGGACAAGTACAGAAGTAATTACCTACTCTCTTATCGAAGGCCATGATGAAATAACACATTCGTTACTTCTCTACAGTCTCTACAGTATTCCGTGTTACTGCAAGCATGAGTGTAAACAAGCTATTGCCGGTAAATAACGGGGGGGAAAAAGGAAACTAAAATTACAACCAGATGCAGAACACAAGTATGCGGTCACGTGACCAAACAGCTGTGGTGTGCTGGAGTCTGAGGACACAAACACACATAAGAAAAATAAAAGAGAGGAGGAGGGCGCGGCCCCTGGAGGTGCGTCAGGAGACACATGGATAAAAAAACGAGGAGACAGAAATGAGTCAAATCACTGAAATATATTTGTCAAGAATATCCAACTCTACCAACATCCAAAGGTTAATGAGTGCGTGTGTGTATTCCTGGTCTATATGTCTAAGGGTTTGAGCGTTGGATTGCGGAAGTGTCTCATGTAAGCTCCCGGTGGGGAGGGTTTGAAGGGGGCCTGGGCTCCGTAGGGTCTGGGCAGAGGCAGCGAGTCGGTCTGAGGGATGTATGCGTTCGGGCGGGCTTCAGCCGTTGTGTACCTTCCATTAGGCAGCTGGTTCCACTTCTCTTCTTCAGCAAGCTGCGCGCGCACAAACACACACACACACACACCAGAGGCAGTTTTAATATTTGATGTAATACTGCATGACCTTGGGTAAAAAGTTAGGATTTCAAATCACGAAAAACGGAACAACCAATTCACTTTTTCAAGATCGTGCACAAGCAAAACAGGGACAGTTGCGTGCATGAGCCAACAATCACAATGACTGATTTAAGTTTGTCAGCTGCACATGATCATTTATCCAACTGACAGGTTGCAATGCTCAGATGACTTTGACACACCAACGGGAAATCAAATGGAAAGCTGCTTATTCCTTTTTTTCTTTAATGAACAGGTAAACAGCTGGCTGTAACCACGCAGTTTACATACATTACTTCTTTTTGACACCAGTGTGTGGCAAAATTGATGGGAATCCAATATGGATGATGCATCAATTTGCAAACAGAGCAGCCTTCTGCTGAGAAAAACGAAATAATCTAATCCGGTGTGCACATGTCCTACACGTCACCACGGTCCTGCCTTTGACTTTCACCCAACAACAGCATGCAAATGGACCCAGCTTCAATCTAACTGAGACTTCAAAGAGATGGCCACTTTCTCATGCATATGAACAGTTTATCCGCTGGCATGTGATCCAAGGACTGCACACAAAACCGAGGAATTTGAATGCATAAGAAAAGAAATAGCAGGGAACTGGCAATAAATAAACAGGATAAAACATATCGTGCTCAGGTTCATAAAAACACATTTACATCTCAAGAGGAACCTTGAAATGCATGACAAAGAAAACATCTTCAAAAGAAGATTTATTGCTTATGCGTTGTGCATGCAGAGGAGCGTGGCGCCTTTTCAGGCCATCGCAAATGAAAACTGAACTAAACTGGGCGAGAAAATAAACAAATTGCCATAACAACAGACAGCAACAGTTTCAGACAACTGATTCCGGTTGGTGTGGTTTTTTTTTTTGTGTGGACCAAATTCTGTTTATTTGCCCGTCTGCTCTTCCTGCCCAGTGTTTGTGCATGTGGTGAAAATGACCTTATATCCGGTCTGATCTCGGATACAAGAGATTAGGCCAGTGTGTGGAGGGTTTCTGCTCACTTCCCACGCTCGCGCATGTCCGGGTACACAGAGGCTCCGATTATCCCCAAGAATCTTAATCGATCACTGTGTCACGTCGTGTCCCGGCTCCACTTCTTCCTTCTTTTGTCATTCTATCTTCCTTTACATGCACCTCTGTGCTGCAATCATTTCTCGACCCGAGATCTTTGTGTGTGTGTGTGTGTGTGTGTGTGTGTCTTATTAACCTTCTCCCTCTCCTCCTTGTCCCTCTGTCTCCTCTTCTTGTCTCGGAGCATCCTCCTCCACTCCTCCTCTAACTCAGGGCACGGTGGCCGGCCCTGCTCCGGCTGCCGTTGGCACCTGTCCATCTGCAAGCACACAGCGGCGGCGTGAGAGCCCGTTTGCTTTGTATTCCCGTCACTCTGCACCCTCCTGGCTCAATTCAATTCCAACCACGGCACGGAAAAACAAACAAACAGATGGTTCCATTACTGTCAGAATTTGGACAACGTTATGCCTTTGCATTTTCACCTTATATTTGTGTCAGCTGCCGGGGTTTTTCAGGTGATTACGACGCTTGAAACATTTGCAAGGCACCGGGGAAATCCACTCAGTTTGGTGGTTTCATCTTTATTTGACATGGAAAACGGTGGGACTTTCTGTTCAAACAAGCGGCACTATTTGTTTTTCTCCTTTTTGTGACTTCATCTTAGATGCTTGCTTACAATCTGGCACCTGGTGTTACTATTTTATTGAGGTTGTTGCCCAGAAACAAATTATGCATCAATAAATGTACGTAAGTCATTAGCGTTGGCCTTTAATCACCAGTTCAAGTCTCAAGTTGAAGTGCTGTAATATATCCGGTAACGATACACACAGATCTGAGAAGGAAACACCATTCAAAAGGTGGACTCACATCTCTTTTCCTTCCCGATAGGAGCAGACAGCGAGGTCGGTACATTCGCAATATTACTACTTGATGTTATGTGGCTTGAATGTAAACAAAATTCCCTTTTCTTTGTTGCCATGGATACAGGATTTCATTCATGGGCAGCTGGTGCGGGCATCTTCTATTTTTTCTTAAAGATTTAAAAAAGTAAAATGTAAAAATATGCTTGTCATGAATTATTTTAGCCACGATTACGGTGTAAAAGGGATCCGTTAGCGTTACAGTTTTCTACCCTGCAGATATCTTCTGATATCTTTGCCTCCTTGAAAAGCTCCCCGACTGTGAATTATTATTCTTCCATCGTTTCGTTTTCTTTCCTCGATTCAATCCATTTTCATCAACCCCCATGGAGTTTTCTCAATCATTAGTGAATATTATTTTGCCTCTGTGTTTGCCTCCCTATTTGTTTTACAGTGCAAAAAGCTAAAATAACTTGTGTTTGTGGGTGTACGACGGGGGAAAGGTGAGAAATTTGTTTGCGCTCAATGGAGGCGAGAACAACCAAAAAGACGGCGGGTGGCCTGAGGGGTGGACGTGCATCCGGGTCCCAAGGTTTAAGCTGTGAGCGACCCCCCCCCCTCTTACCTGGATCTCTTTCTCTTTGATCTCTTGTTGGAGAGACAGAGCAACAGCTTGAGCCACAGAGAGCTCTGCGGAGGCCGCCATGGTGCGATGGTCGATGACCATTATGTGACTTCGGAGTTCGTTTAACTGCAGGAAAAACAAGACGCACATCAGCCGAATCCCACAATGATTCAACATGAATTTTGATTCAGAATGAATGATCTTAAATAGATAAGCTTCATAACTTGTAGCTTATTTTTCAAAATATCCAATCGGCCTTGATGCAAAGTAATGATGCAGTGCATAACATTCGCCAACTTCATCTTCATTCAGGTCCTGTTATTACAACCTCGTTCCAGGGGCTATTTATATGTCTATACACGGACAGCAAATGAGAGACGGAGCTCAAAGAATCTGTAATGTTCGGTGAACTCCCTAATGCCCACTCTGCGTGCTCCTCACATGCTTCTCAAACAATGTTCCCAATAGAGACACGGAGGGAGGTCTAAAAAAAAAAGAAGCTGCGAGGAAACAGGTGAACGGCATAACGAGGATCCTTGCCCGGGTGCGTTAATCTGAGCATTCCGCTCTCCCTGTGGTCGTCTACCTTCTTCGCCAGCCGGAGTCGGTCCTGATGGCAGCCGTCAGCCTGCTCGCTGAGTGGCTTCGAGAGCCGGGTCACCTGGTGCACGAGGAGTTCTTTCTCCAGCGACTGCCTCTCGCTCTGCGCTAGATTCGCCTCCAGCTGAACACCACATGGGACATTAAGGCCTTTGTTAGTGGATTTGCATCATCGTATGTGCGTGCAACATGAATAAAGTTGAAAATATGACAATAATTCATTTAATAGATACGAGGATTGAAAAACCAGCTCATATGCAACATGTGCAGAGGTTCAAAACAACCTTTTAATGCTGCGTACCTGCTCAACCTTCCTGACCAGTTCTGCAGTCGACAGGTCTTTGCCTTTTAGTTCTTTGAAGTCAACAGTTCCATTCAGACCGGCAAGTGTCTTGTCCCTGGCTTCTGACAACTGAGAGACAAAACAAGACTTTAATTTGGAATTACACCGTCACCGCTTTCTACAGAACGCCCGCTTTCTGTGGGCGACTGTGGGTGAGTGGGGAGCACGGTTGTCCTCCAATCAGAGGGTTGTGGGTTCGATCCCAGTCCCGGCTAACCCGCATGTCAATGTGTCCTTGGGCAAGACACTTAACCCAACATTGCTCCTGTAGCTGCGACTACAGCGTATGAATGTTAGTTACTGATGGGCAGGTGTCACTGTGTATGGTTCTCCTGTCATCAGTGTATGAATGGGTGTGAATGGGTGAATGATGTCATGTAGTGTTAAAGCATTTTGAGTGGTCGGAAGACTAGAAAAGCGCTATACAAGTACAGTCCATTTACCATAGTAATTAGAACAATACAATGATCTCCCATGAGAGCACACTTCAGGCAAATGAGAATGAAAAAAAACATGAAAAGCGACACATCTACAGTTAGTCAGCTACTGTCTTTGTTCGAGTGCCTTGAATTCCAAGCAATTAAGATGAATTTGCCTCGGAGATTCCCAAAAAAAACAATGCATGCCATTTTTCAGCTAAACATAGCGCCTGTATGGAGCTGCATCGGACTACGTGACAAGTCACTGGCAAAGTATGATAAAAGAAACAGAGATGTACAACACTAATGGATAGCTCTACGGAACTGTCGACAATGTGAAAGTTCTATTGTTGAAAGACAAAAGGCAAGTCGGAAGACGAGAGATGCCGTCAAATTAGGGGTCTTATTCTGAAACAGCTGCATCTAGTGGGTGAGGGGCTGAGACAGTCAATGTACTGCTAACATGATTTATTGATTAAAAGGTAAAATGATTGACGGAAAATCCACATGGGATACATTCATTAAAATATATCCTGTGGAGGGTTTGACCCCTGGTAGCGCCAGAAGAACAGTCTGCAGAGACTTCGTTGTTTAGATAAAACAGTAAAAAGTATTTTGGTAAAATGTGTCGAGACCATATTTATTTGATGGAATGGTGCAGGAAATAAAAGCATAACATAACAAACATTGTGTAAACAGGACGTACAGCAATGGAGGAAGATCATAGCTCATAGCTGCACATGGATCCACCTGGTCAGTGCGTTTCATACAGAACATTTGGTTCTAATATCTACTGTTTAAAAGAGTCGAAGACGAGTACGGACGCAGGCAGCCTTCTAAACGGCGCACAGGCTGCAGATGAATTCTAAAGTAGAATCTCAACCGGAAAGCTAAAGCAAATACGGCCTGGCAGCAAATCAATCTACTTTATATAAAAATATGTGAAGTCGAGATGATCAAGGATAGATAAACCGTAAAAAGGACGTCAGTAAAAAAATAGAAAGTAAAAAAAAAGAGAGACATGATAAAATATGAATAGCAGCCCGGAGAGAAAAAGACAATGACAAGTGAAGTGGAAGCGAGTGCTCAGGCCGCAGAGGGCAAAGTGAGGAAACGAGGAGCAAAGACTGTGTGGAAATATGCTGAACGCGGGGGGGGGGGGTCTGAACTGCCGTGACCTGGCTTATGAAACAGCGGCCTTTCTCCACTCAACCGTGCGGCGTGGGTACATGCGCGCTCGTGTGCGCGTCTCTGCGCGTTCGTCCAATGTGAGAAATTGCGTGTGAGACGCGGGAGACGCCGTGGAACAAAGTGGCGATTCCAGTTGTCCTCCCTCCGCCCTCCCCCCTTTTTGTGGAAGAGATTATTGAAGCCCCCGCAAGCAGACAGAGAGTCTGATTAAAACAGACTCCGGCAGCTCAGTGCTTTCTCAACGTCATATGACTCAAGTTTTAATGCATTAGTGTGACTGTCATGTGATCAACTGAGGCCGTTTGTCAGGCTGAAGTTGCAGATGCTCAGGGAGGCGGACGGGATTGACAGAAACCATCTGAGAAGTGAAGATGAGAGCGCAGCAGACGTACTGGCAGAGACACTGATAAGGGGATAGAGGAAGATAAAGTGAAGAGGAGCAGAGCACGGACCGCATGGAGTTCAGAGTGACGAAGGGAGGGGGAGATCGGAGGAGAAAGATGGAATCAGAGGGACACGGGCGATGCGGAGATACAGGAATTGGGGCCGACCAGCAGGGACCAGGCTTATCTGCAGTTATTAACATAGAAAAATATAAACAAAACAAAACAAAGACAATGTTTTTTTTTGGCACACAAAACAGTGCAGAAGGTTCAAACCTCATATTCTCTCAACAAAGTTAAGTGATGTATGTTTTTAAATAAAATTACCAGTAAAAATTCCTGCCCTCAGAATAATAACTTCCATTTCTGCTTCGATATTAACAGAAATCAAATCCTTGTTATTCTCGTTGACTTGGTCGGCCTGCAAACACTTCTGGGGCAATTGAAAAGTGAATATTTATGTGTGTGTAAGAAACCTCGCTGAATTTGAGATGTTTTCACTTCATTCTAAGCTGTAAATCCAGATGAACTTTTCAACCTGTGGTAAAATCTACAATACCCATCCGCGTGTGAGCGACTGATCTGTGTCCCAACATCACACGCAGGCACTTTGGAGCCATTCAAACGGCCGTAGGATAGATGGGATACAGCCTGTCAGTGTGACCCTCCTTCTCCTCCCTTCATCTCTTTTTTTTCTTCGGCTTTCGGCCCTTGCACGTAACATTTTTATACCCGTCCTCCTCCCTCTGTGGCTCCGATATTTGTCTTTGTCTTTGCATTCATCCGTCTCAGAGCCTCGGTTCTGCCCGCCCGCCTCTCTGTTTTCCTCATCCGACTGTCACAAATAATTGTCGCTTTCTTGGCTTATGAATGCTGTAAAGCATTCCACGTGCACGCGACAGCAGCCACGCAGAATACAATTTGCATGCAATTTTCATAATTCACGCTCAGTAAGTGGTTTAGCATGATGGCTTAAAAAGCCACATAATTGATGGTACACTGCATGCTGAACAGTATAATAACATAGATGAATAATGACCTTATTTACATACCACTTCCAAAAATTAGGTTACAAAGTTCCTTGTAATTAAAGGAGAAAAAATACAAAAAGCGACAGATCACTAAAGCAGGAAGGTCAGTAAGGTAAAACATTAAAATCATAATAAGGTTATGAAAGGTTAATTGGCAGAACATGCAGGCAGATGAGCTGAACTGAAGCTTTCATAATACCCGAAATGAGGAATACATTATAATTTGAACATGTGCATTTTAACTTGACTTCTTCACAAATGTTCAACGGCAGGTCTCAAAACATCAGAAGCCGACGTATTATTAGTTAACCGGTGATGTCAAACTTAAAGCAATGAAGTCAGCTGTTGTTTTTCCTTCGAGTGGGAGTATAGATATGCAGCGGGCGCATTCCGGGGGCTTAGTGGTGTGAGAAAACTCATTCACAACCTTGCAAAACGCATGCATTAAAACATACAAACAAGCGATCAATAAAAAGTATCCCATCGATCTGAGCAGACGCCGCAGAAACACATTGTCAGATAAGGCAGCCGTGATGAAAAATGGATATTAAAAGTCGAGGGCTGTAAACGATCTTGTGGTAAAGAAGATATTTGTAGAAAGATACCCGACTGCGCCGGCCCTAAATTCCTCAGGCAAATCACTGCAAAGTCTTGAAAGATCTCTGACAACAAAAGCCCCAACACCCCCCGACGTCCCCCCTCTGGGACGCAGGAATAAATAAAAGGCACGGCTCCTGCGTGCAGAAGACCTCGGGCTACATCACAATCGTAAGACATTAAGAGAAAGATGGCCAGGGGTCAGAGGGCATTACCTAAGGTGACTGCACATGATTCGGAGTAGTAACCCCTTGCAGTGGGCAACAGCAATCAAAGCGCACGTCGTGGTGAGAAACTTCACCTCTGAAAAGCCGGATGCAGGAAACGGGCCGAGAGGATCGCAGATCTAATCTACTGCTGGTCCAACAAAAAAAAAAAACACGTTATTGAAGGACCACTCTCAACGAAATCTGGGATGCATCCCAACCTGTCTTGAGACACGCTCGAGTACGCTCAAGGGTGTTCAAGCAGGCGGCGTGAAGAGAAGCCCGATCAGAGTGAGTTACCGCATCACTTTCAGGGGGTTGCAGAGCGGAGTTTCTTCAAACCACTCAACGGGAGCGACGGGCTGGTAGCCGTTTCGCTGCCTCCGTCTGACTCGAGCCCCTCCGCGTACAACGCAGTTTCTCGCGCACGTGTATCAAGACTTGATTCGCGGGCGGGTCCCCCCCCCCCCCCACGTGCTAATGAGTTCAAGATGTGTTCGACAGAGTTTAAGAGAGGGACAGACACGGCGGTATGACTCACTGCCCCGGCGGGGGACAGTGCAGTATGGCATCAGCCTCGGCCCATTAGGTATCCTACTCCATTACCGACCATGTGTGTGTGTGCGGCCCATTAAAGCCTCTTTGTTGGGGATATTATGTTTGCACGCGACGTTGTGACACGAACACTCGGGTAGTCGAACTATCTACCGCTGCGAGGGTGTCATCCCAATTCCTCAGAAACACGGCATCCAGGATCTCGGCGTTGTCGATGTCGACGTGCCAGCGACCCATAAACAAGTAGTAAATTCAGAATCCAGCGGAGGCTTTCATTGGCTCCGAGGAATTTTAATTGCCGCAGTAAGTAAACAGAGTATATTGAACTTCAATAGGGTCACAGATGGCCCGATCTATGTCAAAATCCCCCACCCCGCCCCTCCCCCACCAAAAAGGGAGCGGGAGGGCCCGTCTGAAATGAGCGGACAAACTGGTCACAGATGAATACAAATATGCAGTATGAATATATAATAAAATCGACAGCGAGGCAGTTGCATGTAAATTCAAAAGTATGATATCTGTTCACCGAGCCTCCTCAAACAGGAGCGACCCCGGGAATTTGCTTGTTGTGCCCAGCAGCTGCATCGGCTGGGAGAACAGTGATTGAGCAAAGGACAAACCTCGCGGCGGCGCTGGAGGTGAAATCACCATAGTGTCATCTCGATTGGAACCAAAGTGATAGAGTGACACTCATTGTCGCCCACCTGGCACGGCCGCACAGGACAGCACAGAAAGAATGTAGTGCATTTACAGCCAAATGCAAAATGTGAAAGGGGGCAACTGGCAGCACGGGACTGAAAATGACACACAAACCCAGAGGATGCCTCGAAGGCAGCGGGAACGGGAGGACGGCTGGACAAATGTAAAGACTAGAAAAAAAGAATAGGGATGTAACTGACGAGCGGCAGAAGGGGCAAACAGATGGAGGACAGCAGCCCGTGATGAAGCACTGCGTTCATGCAAATGAGCACGAGACTCAGATCAGAGAAGTCTGGTTCAGCAGCCAAGTCCAAACCAGTCACTCAGATCCACAGCAGCAACACACAAGGGAAACTCAGCGCGCGCGTGTGTGTGTGTGTGTGCGTGTGTCCTTCTATGAGTCCGTTACTCTTGATATTGCAAAGTGGATTTGGGTTATTTATTCATGTGTGTCTCAGTCCATGAGACTCGTGCAGCGTTTGGTTGTTTGGATTTTGTCCCTCTCGGTTAAAGACTCTCGTCTCCTTTCTGTCCGCAGCGTCTATTGAGCAAGAGTACTACTGTCTTTTTGTTCAGACTTCTGACAGCGGCTCACCTCAACTAAATAAAGTCGGAGGCACGGCTCTGAAAGCGAGGCTACGAATCGACCTCTTTTGATGAGCGTTCAAAAGGTAGTAATGGTGCGTGAACCAAAAATACCATACAGTCTGAGACAAATCGGACTTGATGCAGGGTCTTGGAGTCCTTGGAGAGAGAGTAAGTAATATGAATCTGGAATATGCTCGACAGAAATACTTTTGCTGATGTTCACTGCAACCAGTGAAGAATAGGAACATTGAGGCGGTTCATTATTTTAAAAAAGGCAGGAAGGAAGCCCTCCAACACAGCTGATATTTACAAGAGCATTTGAAAAGTCTCGTTATAAGGAGACGCGCTCCAAAACAGAGACCTGCTCATTAGTGGTGCTTTCAGTCAATCTGCTGGTGTCCGTTTTTTTTACAAGGTGGAACACACACACACACACACACACACACACACACACACACACACACACACACACACACACACACATGCAGCTAGACAATGTACTGTACAGAAAATCTCGCGGACACACAATCTGTCTTCTCGGCCCAACTTTGATCCTCCAATCGCGCCATGAGGAGGAAATAATAATTGCCTGACTGCCTTCAAAATAGGATTTTTGAAAGTTCGGCCGCGTCACGATGTAGTCGAGCTGTGTTTGGGCACCGGGGGGGGGGACGCGGAACCAGCGAGCACTCAAGGCAAAGCTCGCCGCGGATAGATGGATGTATGAGCGCTGCAGACACGCTGGAGGCGTCCTATGAAAAATATGCACACAAGCTGCTGTGTGAAACGGACCTCGCGCTCGCGACACGAAATAGGAGCAGAAAATGCGTTCAGGGCACCTTTGCTGCGACAAAAGTAACTGTACCTTCGTTTGTTGTCGGAGGACTGACAACTGGACACTGTCAACAGAAACAATATCGACGAATGTGTGAGTTTCGCGTCGGCGACATCGTTACCCCACCTCTATGCGGAGCGCGGCGACCTCGGCCCCCAACTGCTTGGTGACGGGCACCTCCTTCTTCTTCAGGTCGATCCGTCTCCTCTCCTCCTTGATCTCCAACCGCAAGTCTCTCATCTCCTCCTCCAGGCTCTCCAGTGTCACGTTTCCCTCGGCGATGGCGGCCTCCTGGACGTTCACCTTCCCGTAGTAGTTCAACAGCACTTGGTCGTGCTCCAGGAGCTGGATGCCACTATAGGCGACACACACACACACACACACACACACACATTGCGTGACGTGTGTAGTTTAGATCTTTGGTTAAATTCAGGCAACTTCATGTCGGCTTCAAATCATAAACATACAGGAAATTGCGGCGCTGTATGGCCGTTCCTTGGTTCTTGTTGATCTCCAGAAGTGCCTTCTCTTTGAGGTCAATGGTTTGCGTGAGTCTCATCAACTCCAGCTGGTGGTCTTCGTACTCCTGACGGACCTCCCTCTGCTTCCAGGCAACCTAGAAGACGGCATTAAAGAAATAATCATTTGTGCGATAAGCGCTCTTAGAGGCAGCACTTGTAAACTAAACTTTAACACAAGACAGCATGAATTTCCCCAAACTGTTGTAAACTATAAACTGTGCACGTCTTACTGTTTAACAGTCTCGTGAAACCCACAGATTAACACCAGGGAAACTGTATGTGGGGTTTGCCTCCTTTCTAGAAGGGCTCCTAAATCGAGTGAGTGAGTCGAGCTCACTCACAAAATAGTCAACAGCTTTGTGTCTGAATATCTGTTCCCCCATGACCATGTTATTCTTAATAAAATATCAATTAACGTAATTAAACTGCAAATAGCTTGCGGCCAAGAAGAACCACACTGTGTTTTGACTGGTCTCGTGTTTCTTTGTGTGTGTGTGTGTGTTTGGACCTTGGAAATGTCATTGTGCAGTTTGTCCCTTATTTTGGAGACGTTAGAGATCTTCATGCGGGCCTTTGTGAGGGATCTGGAATGGACTCACACAAAGAGAATATCAGAATGCAGATATAGCTTCAGTGATGATTACCAACACATGCACTTGTTCATTTTCATTCATTCATATTCATCTTTGGTGAGACAGAATTACTATGTCCTCTTTTCTAAATTGGCATGCATCATTTCACTGGAGCAACATGGACGCTCTACGAAAGCTGTGCACACACCGGCCCTTGTTGATGACAATGGTACGTTGGATCTCGGTCTCATTTTCCAGCACTTTAATCTGTTCCGTCAGCTCCGTGGTCGTCTGTGAGGCGATCTGCTTCAGGCCGACGTACTTATTCTTCTCTTCCGTGATCATGGCGCACAGCTTCCGGTACCGTGCAACTCTAAAAGGGAGAAAACTCTGATTAGCTGCGATCCAAGCTCCAGTCATGTAGAGCGGCTGCCCATTGCTCCCTACGAAAACGGGACTTCCATGATCATCATGGTGCCGTCTTGATATTACTAAACTTTGATCTCTCATCAAAAACGATCAAAGCATGGCAGAACGTCTCATCACATTTATATTTGCCATTGGTTCAAGACATGAGTTGACACACAGTGACGAGAATATTTTCTTTTAGGATTACACAGAGAGGGGAAGCCCGATATTTAATTAGCATCCTGCTCCGTTTTTTGCTCGACTGGATGTATTTTTCAGGGCGGATCCACATGCGACTGCGCTCCGCGGTCGTGAACTAATTGAGAGGATCGGCTGCTGAACTGGGAGGTGCCACATGCATTACACTGAGCCCTGAACACTAAAGTATGACCAATTAGTAAGGCAGTGCTTTTTCTACCCTGACAACATGTGCAGAGGTCTGAATTAATTGTAGTCCCAGCTGCTGCGGAGATCAGAGGAGCCAAACAAATAACCCGGGATTCAATCATCAAGCACGTCAATTTACTTACTAGGAATTCAATTTGCCTACACTGACTGCAAACACCGTGGAGATGTTGCGGCTACAGGTGCTAGTTGACCCGGATTACGAGACGTGCTCCACCTCTCCTATGTAGGAGTAAGACACATAACAAATCCGCTGCTTTTTAGGTCATTTTGCATCTCTTTCGGTCTCACAAGGAAGAGAGAAACAGCAGGGGACACCTGCGCTGCAGCATGGCGTTCAGCTTGTTGTGATCCGTGATGACGTGGTCCTTTTCGCGCAGCTCCTGCTGGACGCGCTGGTTCAGCTGCTGTGGATGGAGTCACACAGGTGAAACCACAGTATCATCACAGTGTACGAGTGTCGTCACTAACGCCGGCCTTCAAATCAGATTTGTGAGTGTAAATGGTTCCGTTTCTTTGGACATTTTGAAGACATAAAAAGAGCAGAGATTTCCGATTCCATTAATGCCTTTTTGGAGGTACTCGTTGCCATCACTTACTGTTCAGGTAGATATATACTGCAGTGATGAAGTGTTAGTTCTGTTTTTGTGCGCCAAAAGTCATTTCTTCCCAAAAGATATCCGCCTTTGACTCAATTTTGCAGAACTTAAGATTGCTTGGTGTCTCTCTTTTCAAATCGCTTTGAAACGATCACATTGTAATGACAGTAATATCGTCAGCGCTGTGGAGACATTTGCTCTCTATGAAACGGTGTTTGACATTTTTGGTCCTATTCATTCTTGATAAATGAACCCTAATTTTCGTTTCCCTTCGATGTGTTTGACACTTTGGGGTGAAATATAATATAATAAGTGTCTGCAAAGCCAAAATTGCATAAAAGAAAATGTTTAAAAAAAATTGCGTGTGTGTGTTGGACCTCAGCTCGAAGCATTTCCCGGTGCTTCTGGCCCCTCTCGTCCACTTTGATCCGGGTCAGACATCTGAGGTTATGGAGTTCTTCTCGGAGGCAGTTTGACTCCCTGAGCAGTTCCTGAATCATCCCATACTGCTGCACCTTCTCGCTCTCCTGCTCAGCTACTGACAGCTGGGGGAAGAACACCATTCAACACTGTTTTCAGCTGACAAATCCAACAATTTGACTGGCCCCAGAAATGGACAGCAAAGTGAACTGGAAGTCCTTTAATATGAGGACGATGGTTAATGAAACTTTCTGTGGGAAGTTGGTACTTTTCCCTACGGTGATTGTTACAGTTTTTGTCACAGGAAAAGTTGCAATAAAAACCTTATTTTGCCTTTTAACTCGGAGATGTATAACTGAATAGAATTCACACTTTGCCACAACATGTTCATCATAAACTATATTATTGGCTCTACAGTGACGGGTTTGTTAGAGGGCCACTGCAGTAATTGCGTTACGTTTTACGGCTGCTAATGATAACGTGTCCACCCCTGTGCGTTGTCCCACCTGGTTTTGAAAGCGGACTTTGAGAGCATCCACCTCTTTCTGAAGCTCCATCCTCTGCTGAATACTGGCCTCTTGTTTGGGAACAGCATCTAACTGGAAATTTAAGTCAGAATCAAAAGCCTGTTCAAATGTTCAGGGTGCAAACAGAGTGTATCTCAGTGTACATCAGACCATGGATCTTAAAGATTTAAAAATGTATCATCCACGGTTTTCCCGGTTGTACATTAGTCCATTAGCCTATTCACAGTGAAGAAGAAAGCACGAGGGCCCAGTGTAAAATATAATAAATATATAAATCAAATTCAGCCAGTGCATAATTTATCCCACATTAAACATCGGGCCACAAAATAATTAATACTATATATCGGAGTTTCTTTTTGATAGCCGTTGGATCCAGTGACACTTGACTAATTAAAAATGTATGTCTTTGGACGTTGGGCCCCTCTCTGCACTGCCAGGCCTCCTGTTGAGCTACAACGCATGAAACGATATATTATTTTAATATTTGAAATTGGTTAGTCCTAGAAGAGGAAGAATCAAACTAAATAAGCATGTTCAAAGCTGAGGCAGGCAGCATATTTCTGGCATCGTTGGGGAAAAGAATTCCACTATTTAAAAAATAGTGTTGGATGGGGGCTGGATTTCAGCAGCTTCTCTCTGCTCGGCTTTTAGGCTTTGGGAAATCTATCCTATCACAGGGAATCAGAGAGTGGGTCTTACTATGGGCCGTCCTACAAATAGATCTGCAGATGCAGATCTCTTTGGTGAAAGCCTAATTCAACAGAAACATATCTGATAGGGAAGATTTCCCATTGCAGCAACTATGGCCTCTCCAAAAAGTAAGACATGCTATGAATTATTATTACATATAATTATTTTACATCCATATCAGGTCTCACGCGGTGTGAAGTTGAGACCACCACTTTGTTGTGATATCACATCAATCACACACCTATTTGAGAAACCTGTTCTTAGTCAAACGCTATCCAATCCTCAAGTGTTTTATTGTTCGTGTGATAATGATGAATGAATGATATTCTACAATTGCTTTGTTTTTAGAATCTCTCCAATGCATAAAATATACCTGATGTGTTATTGTGATTTCCTTTCACATTATTAATGCTTGTGATATTCGCTGATGCATTTCCCACGACTCACTCTCCCCTTACTTGCTCTTCTTTCTCTTTAAAAAACTGTGTGCGTCAGTAAAATAACAGGAAGTTTCATGAAATAAAAAAAAAGACATTTACACTTTACACAAATGTTCCCCCACCTGCGTTCCAGCCCTTTTTTATAGCCAATTTTCCAGAGTAATTGCCAATAAATTATATATATATATATATATTTATGGAAAGTAACAATCTACAGGTCACCTTTGCATGTAACGCAACGTAGATGGACTGCGTTTGCTCCAGCTGCTCAGAGGCCATGGTCAACGCATGCTCCATCCTCGCCAGCGCTTTCAAATGCCTGATGACACGCAATCACATTTCAAATATTTATCATTTACCCTGTCACTCAAGAGTTTACCCACACTGGAAACTAAAAGGTTATTTGTCCATTAGTAAATGAGGGACACATATTTACTGTGTTTCTTAGGTGCACAGGGCAAAGGTCCTTACACACATTGTGTAACTATTGTGTTTCTGACTCATTTACATGTGCGATGGAGCTCACTTCGACGTCCCTTTGTACCTCTGTTTCTCCTTGAGCTGCACGGATTGGCTCTCATGAAGGTAGTTCCGGTCGTACACGATGCTCTGCAACTTCATTTCCAGGATTCCCCTGGCGGTGAAAACACGATGACCTCGCATGAAGAACGCACTTCAAAAGCCTCCCCCCCCCCCTTTTTTGTTTTTACTGTGACTAGCGCGTGAGAAGTTTGCACCTGCTGCCCATGAACTCAGCCTCTTCCTCCCTGCTGAGCTCCCGCTCTTTCAGCCACTGTCTGCACTCCTTCTGACAGGCATCTCCTCGGGCCCGGAGACCCTCCAGCTCCCCGCTCAGCGCCTTCTTCTTCAGCATCAGAGAGCGGTTGCGCTCGTCCACCTCCGTCGCGCGCTGCTCAATTTCGGACATCTCTACATTCAGTGCTTCCATCTTCTTCATTGCAGATCTAATGAGTTTAGGGGAAGGGTCAGACACTTGAAACACACATACTACATTAAACATATTACTCTTTACTTGCACTGAAAGAGTGCCTATCTTATGAAATAAAAGTGTGTGTGTGTGTCCCATCTTCTACATACAACCGCAAGAGCCCCTCAGCTGTGTGAATTTCAAATCACAAGTCACATCTCGCGTGGCTCACAGAGGCAGTTCCACTGCATCCCTTGCAAGCAGAATGTGAATTTGAAATTAACATAAAAGAGACTGCAGTGTGCCAGCGGAAGCATTCTCTGGTGATGAAGGGGCCTTCGAATGCAGCTGCACTGCACAAAAAATAATGTTTGATACATAGGTTTGTCACGTTATTTTATTTCTTGTTTTATTTAAATGATTTTTATGGGAAAGTGATGCATCCTGCAGAAAAACAAAAGGTAGAAACTGTTATTTAGCGTGTTAATCTGTTCCATATCAAACACTGAATGAAAATAATTGTCCTGTCCAAGTAGAAAATGGAGATGAAGTTGAAGGAGGCAGATTATAGAAGGATTTGAGCAAAGTGACGGGGAGTGACTTCATTTTATAAATAAGTCTCTGCTGTTTATTATTTCCAGTGTTGTCTGATTGAAGCACCCTCATTGGCTCATTTGTATTCCTGTTGTTTAAAACGAATAAAGAATCAAGGGGCTTCATGTCCTTACTGCTTCTTCGAGCGTCTCCTTTCGTTCTCCTTGAAAACTTGGATGCTGATGAGTCCGGCTTTCTCAGCCTTGTTAGTGACACACAAATGGAAGAAAGTAAAATATGTGTCATTTTATTATGGGTGCAGTGTAAACTTGGTCCACTAACACACACACAGTCACACACACACACACACACACACACACACACACACACACACACACACACACACACAGTATCAAGTATCAAACACAGACCTCTTTAACCTTTATGATCTCCATCTTGTCTCTGAGCTCTTTCTGTTCTTTCAATATCTGCATTTCATGGCTTTCCACATCTTCCGTCAGACTTCTGTGCACGGCATGAGGGCAAGAAAGACACGAAAATAATTATCTGAAGAATCTTGATTAACACCTCTTAAACAAAAAGCTTCAGCTGCACTGCTCTTCTTGTTAAGGATAACATGAGCACGCTGATTAAAACTTAAAAGACAGACCCTGCAAAAAGACAACCCTGTGCAGACTTGTGTCAACCTGCAGGGCGACGTCAGCTTCGATGTGCGCTCAGTGAACAACGGCCCGAGCAAATACCTGACTTCCAGCCGCTTCTGGTGAACCTCTTTCTTCAGATCCTCGTACATCTCCTGCAGGTTCTCTGTCCTGCTCTCCAGCTCCTGGAGGACCAAACACCAGCAGTACACACGTCAGATCACCTATCAAGCCTCTATGCTCAATGATGACGCTCCAAATTGAGTTCAGGGAAAATACCAAAACGGCTTTTGCTTTGCGAATGGATTTTTGCTTTTAATGTGATGAAATACATCCAAGTCCTCGCGGTGTTTCTGTTACTGGTTACTGGTTCTCCAAAAGCATGAGCATGAATGCAAACAAGTGCAAATAAACTAGCTGTTAAGTCAACTTCCACTTTAAAACTAGTAAATACACCGAAAAAATATGCATAAAAATGCATGTGAGACCTCTGTAATGAAACGCATAGTTTATTAATAATGTGTTTGATTGGGTCATAATTAACATCCCACTTAATGATGTTGGGCTTATCGCATATTATTTCTAAAACAACGGGATTTTTTTTCTTATACACTGCGATTAATGAATAATTAATAGCTGCTGGTGGTATTAAACAGAAGAAGAGTATGCATTTGAATGCACACTTCTGACGTTGTACATGTTGAGGATTGCTCATGGGTCCTGGTGCCGTGTGTGCGTCCTCGCCGGCGATGCAATGCATTTGGCCGCTGAATACTACCGCTCGATATTTCAGTTTGAGCAGTCGAAATGCTGCAACTCTTTACTGCAATGTTAGCTCCTGACAGAGTAGAAAATCAGCTTATAGACCTGATTTTTTGAGGCCCGTTTTTTTTTTTTTATGCCACTTTTGCCACTGAAAACCCTTATGCAAGTACACACAGGCATGGAAGTCTTCCTTTTCCTATGTTGTCCCTTGAAGGTTACTTAAGGACAACGCAGTTGTTAAACCGGATTAATATACGTTATTTTGCTTTGTTATTGGGATCAGTAATCAAACAGTAGTTGCATGCCATTTTAATCCCCATAACCATTCAAAATCCAAGTTAATTAAAGCTGTGGAATTGATTAAACGAGCCGTGGGCGTAGGTTTTGTTTTATTTAGTGGGGACACATTTTTTTGACGTATTGATTTTAAACCTTCTTTTTGCCATTAGCTGCAGAGGAAACATAACTTTCATTGGGTTTGATGATCATATAATGGTGAATGCAATGCTACTTGTGACTCATGTTAGTTCTCTTCTTTCTCTTCATGACGTTTTGGTGCTGCTGATTAAACAGCTATAGCTTAAACACAAAATGCAGATAATTGCTTTTATTATGAGAGAGTGTGAGTATTAAGACATTGTACTCACACTTTGTGTCGAATCGCGAGCAGAAATGTATCCAGAAAAGAGAACCTTTTGAGAATTTTTGTTTCTGGAATTTGTATATTGTTATGCATTTTTCTATATCAGTTTGCATTTGTGGAAGATTATCAGCCATTACAAACTTAATTTATCAATTATTAAATCAACAAAAGTTAAAACCCTCAAGGATTAAAGCTTTTTCAACTAGTAGGCCATCACTTTGTCGGATAGTGAGATTGTAAAATACATTATTTCAGCTTCAAATGGCAAAAAAAAAAGCTGATGACAAGTCCCCACGTTGGGGGATTAAGCCTGGATGGAGGCTTAACGCAAAACTCGTATCTTTCCTCTCTGAAGAACGTTGTTGCAGCAGTAATCCGCGGCCCTGAAACTACACCTGGATGGGGCAGCGATGAACTTACAGCGCGTTTCAGCTGAGTCTCATTCTCTTTCTCCAGATACCGCTTCTCTTCCCAGAAGCTGCATCGGGGGGTGGGTGTGGAGGGGGGGGGGGTTGGGCGAGGAAGAGAGGAAGTACATTGGTAAGCAAAGTGAGTAATTAAGAGAAACAACGTGTTTCAGTTCCTGGTTAAGCAGAAAGAGAGTAATGAGTATTTGCATCTATTTTTGGGAATGCACTTTTTGGTGCAGTTTCCGGGTAACCAAATGTTCCGCATAATTTCTCTGAATTAAAAGAGAAAATGTAAAAAAACTAAAGTGAAACAGAATCCAGCTGTGGATGCAATGGAACCTTGCAACTATTATTGAGCGAATAAAAAAAAGAAAAAAATCACTCCTTGCACACACGTAATGGAAAAAAGAACATCCATATGTACAAGTTTTCTAGTAGTCCATAAATCCAAAGAACCATAAATCAAGTAGCCCACATAATGTAAAAGTGCAGATAAAAACATAATTTCTATGAATTTTTCATCACTCTGCGGCAAACGCTTTTTTGAGTAGTTGATCGAGGTTTGTGTGAAATCATTCGGAGTCAGCTCCGTCATTGGGTAGCACAAAGTGTACGGCAAAGCAAATCATATTAATCTTCCTGACAAGCTGATACATTTGCTATAAGCTGACATACAGAGAAAGCGGCGTGAATGCTAAAATATGTGACTGGAAAGAAAGGCTGAATTCTGGCCGAAGATGAAGGCCGATAACGTTTCAAAAAGGCATATTTGCTCTGTGAGCATCTGCTTGTCATGTGCAGACCGCTGGCCATTTGGACAACAGGAGGAGAGGGAGGATGGGCGGGAGGGGGGGAAGAAAAGAAAAGTGAGGAAGGAGGTTGCAAGGGACGGGTAGAAAGAAATGAAGAAGAAGCAGAGACTTCAGCAAATACTCTTACAAATATTACGAGTCTCTAATCCCGTCTATTACAGCATCCTCTGAGAATGTAAGTGGTTTTCATTTAATATTTCAATTACCCCCCCGGGCCTTCGACTCCGTGCCTCAGTGTATGTGCTCCGCAATGAAAGATGCCCGTATGCCACGGATCACGTCTTTGCATTACAGTGGCGATGAATATGTTCTGGTTCAATGTCGGCCGAGGCAATCGAGGCTCAAATGCTATGAGGAGAAGATCAGACATTAGACCTGAATAAAAGGGCGTTGGGCTGTTGAGTACAAATGGAGCATTTGGAATATTAAGAGTTAAATTCACTTAGTTTTCTTCTCTCTTCTGTGAGCTAATTACTTACTGACACTATTTTCCGTGCTCAGATCAATGCATCTTCGGCGCTTATACTGCAAAGAGGATTTCAACACCCTTCAATGCTACACTCAAACCAAATATTTGAAGTTGTTTTATTGCCGACCTTTCAGCTGACATTTCAGCTGCTGCAATAGTTTAGAGTCCAAATACTTTCATTTCAAAAACGTATAAACCGACATGAAGCCTGACTACCTACAGGGCAAAGACACTTTGCCTATTGCCTGGAATTTCAGCATTCATCATTTATATTGCAACTGAAATTTTAACCCGAGGAGGAAAAAGGTCCACCGATGGCGTATGCAACCTGTAACGAAGGGGTCAAAAGTAGACATTGCATTGTCTCCAAGGATCAGAAGTATAAATGTTTGGGAGACACTCGTCCGTGTTACCACGTTGCCTAGCGACGCTCCAGTAACCTCCCCTTTGGGCCCTCGAAAAAGCAGAGTTTGTGTACAGGAACATGGGAGAATCCTTGGGAGCGAGCGTGTTATTTTCCACTGCCACGTGTGTGACCCTTTGGACGCACTGATAGTGGTGTCGAGTGAGTAAAGGGGAAGGGAAAGAGAAACCTGCTGCCGAAAACTGGTTGCGATGAGAAAAGAGACTCGTGGGAGCGAGGGGAAAAGTTTAGAGGAGGGGAACAGAAAACAGACTCCGGGGCCGACGGGGAAAAACCCCCGACTAAAACCAGTGCGGAGAAAAAAAAGTTGGGGCAAGGACTCAAATCGAAGCTGCTCTTTTGTATCATTAAACGTGCACATTGCATTTCCACCTCGACTACTGAAGGTCAAACGTTGGTAAAAAGGTCATTGCAACAAAATACTGATGCAACAGAAAGAATGTTTTCTCCTCATCACATGAAAGGTTTCAGTGGAACAGAAGAAAATACACACACACACAAAACCAATATTTTGTTTCACCTTCACCTCCCGAAGATGAATCACACCTCAGTGTTTGGTCTCTAGTTGCTTACAATGTGCGTCCGTTTGATTGTGTATTTCCAGGGTTGGATTCTGTCTGCTACTGTATAGAAACTTATTTTCACCACAACAGTTTCACTTCTGTGATCCGTCTCAGCTCTTGTCCGTCTCTCGGGTTTCGCCGGCAGCAGTGTGGATCATCTGTGTTTGCGTGCGTGCGTGTGTGACCAAGATGCAGCCAAATTTGCAAAGTTTGTGATAGATGTTTTTACTTGAATCGAATGTCCTCTCTCATTCCACAGAGTTGACGTTCAATTGAACGCGGCTGAAAATCCAACTTGCAGCATGAGCGATTGCGATAATAACGTGCATATGAAAAAAAAAAAGACACACGCACCATGCTCACCATTTCAGTCGGTGCCGTGTCTTGTACTCCCTGTCCTCAGAAGCTTTCAGTTCATTGTATGCCTGGAGGAGTTGTTGCCTCAGTTCATTGACCTCGCTTTCAGGCTCCACGGAGGTGTCCTCCTCCTCTGTCCTCGCCACCTCAGCCTGCAGCCTTTCCAGCTCTGCACGACGCCTCTTTGCCTCTCCCAAAAGGTGGATCTCAGAGTCCTGGCTACTACGGGATGAACACAGGTTTTAACAGTGCCAAAAAAAGACGTTAAATGTTAAATGGTTGACGGTGTCATGAAAAAAATATCGTCTGGATCTCAGTTTTTCGGGGAAAAACAAACCAATTGAAAGGATGAAATCCATATTAAGCTTGATTCAATGGCATATTGATCCAATCACAATTCTATGTTGTGCCTTGGTGACAAGTCGGAGATTCAGGGTTCCATCACCACGCTTTTTGATTGACACAGCCAATTACAGTGCAAGGTGGTGAATAATACTGCATCGGTTACATCCTTGCTTTCACCTCTTGGCTCACATTAGAAGTTGTCGCTCCACTTAAGTGAGTGAGAAGTGACCCCAATCAAAACGTCTCTTCAGAAGCCGGTGGCTTGTCACAGATGCTGCTTCCACAGTTTTTCATCCGTATACGAGTGCAGCGCAACCAGATCTGATAATGTGGTCTTCTTCAAGGACACTTCAGTTGGACAGGACTTCAACTTCTCTACCGTGCGGTACTGTCAGCGTCTTTGCCGTCATAACGCACCTCCAAAAATACAACACACACACACACACACACACATACACATACACATACGAGGGTGTTTTAGCGTGAAATCCTACCTCTTCAGAGAGTCACGTAGGAGCAGGTAGCTGGACTTCAGTTTGGCTGCTCTGGTCGGGCTGATTTTGCCTAAAGACAACAGCTGAGCAGAGCAACAAAAAAACCCCCAAATATTACAATTCGTTTGACATGAAAAACCGTTTGTAAAAAATAACGTTCAGGTGGTGTGTCACGGTGTGGTTTTATTTCCTGTCTTATTTTGTAGTTTTCTGCTTCTTGTCTCCCAGGGTAACTTCACTTCCTGCCTGGTCCTGTCATCCCCTGTAATTGTCTGATTGTTTCCACCTGTGTCCAATCACCTGTTACCAACATTCCTAAACTCCCTGGGAAAACAGATTTGTGCGCCAATTTTGACAGCCGTGTCAATGCTCCGCATCAGAAAAGTCCAACCACAGCCAGACATTGCAGCAGTCCTAAAATATTTGGCTTCATCCTAGTTGGCAACCTGCCTGGGTCTGCCAGCTCAAGTTGCACCATCTCGAAGTCCCAGAGCTGTCTTTATAAAAGATATCAATAGATTGTCGCATTCTATGGGCATCTCTTTTTTCTGCACAGAATATCACGTAGGACAATATTGCTTTGAATCAGACAATACAATTTGGACTAGTAAGTGCTTTTATTTTTTATTATTATTATTTATAGGGACAAAATTAAGTTCCAGAAGTTGAAAACTAAATTAAGGGTTTCAAATTTCATAACGGTAAGAACTTTTTCACAGACATTGCTTTATTTGTGTCGTAATACGCTCAGACTTCAGTAACGTTGTAATAATAGAAGCTCTTCCATATCTGCCCGGACTCAGCAACACCAAGTGTGATCGAGCACAACAACAAAACTCCCTGTTGCCTGCGAAGAGGATTGGAGCCCGAGCTGGGCTGAATAAACCTTCATCATCACAGCCGATATCCCACTATCAGAACACCGGATCACCATCCGAATGAAAAACAAGCCCCCCCAACCTCCCTGCAATCTCAAAAATCTTGGAGAACGGCCCATTCACAACAAGTAACTACAGCCCTTTAGATTACCGATCCCAATGGCGCTGTATTGTTTTTTAAAAAGTCACACGGCTGTGAAACCACGCTAGAAGAAAACAAAAAAACACCGCCAGGAGAAAGGCATCCGGTCGACAGCACAATAAAAAAAAAAGAAAGAAGAAAAACAAGGGAGCGTGATCACAAAGAATGTCTCTCCGTGGCAACGTGGATTTGTGTGTGTAAACGGCGTTGTTGCCTCTTATCTGCAGAGCCAGGTTGGTGGAGTGGGGGGAAATGAGGGATAGCCACGTCGGTATCAAAGAGCCGCACGATGGAGAATACCTCAGGTCAGACTGTGTAGCCGGTAATCTAACGGCAGTGAACACACACACAGACACACACACACACACACACACACACACACACACACACACACACACACACACACACACACACTGATAACTCCCCCCGGACTTCAAACATTAGGGAGAGACGATTATGTTTTCAGATTAAACTATGTTGTTTATCTGGCAATTGTCGAATGTTCTAACAAGTGGCCGACCACGTTCCAAGGGCTGAAAGGACGGAGATACGAGTGTTGTGTATAATGCAGATTAGGGCGCTTGTTAATATGATTTACAGTCAGTTTGCATTAACAGTCACCTAAGGTCACGCCACTACAAGTAAACACAAAACAAGTGCGGTTAAATCTCTAAAATGTTGAATGTTGAATCTTGAAATGGTAAATAGCCCATCTGTTCCGGATTAGGTTTAACTGCGAACTTGTCGTGTATTCTAATTTTAGGTCTTCATAACAAACCCCCCCCAAAAAAAAAATGTTCCGGGAAAGTGAAAAATGATCTCATCGCAATGAAACAAAATAATTCCACACTCAATTTGAGGCTGAATAACACATGAGATATGTTTGTGATTTCATGCAACGCAGAAGACACGCACACACACACACACACACACACACATGGACGTGAAAGACGCGCTGGCCGTGCACTGGGCATTTATCTGAGAGAAGCAGCCTGAAGCGGTTTCTTTTCACCAGCAGCACAGCGTATTGGAGAAGGCTCACATGTGGCAGGACCATCTTTGAAGTGTGATAGAGATTATCCCTGGAACATAAAGGGATATTTATACAGGCACAAGTGGAATGCACATATCGGTCTGCTACACCCGCCCCCACCCCCCCACCACACCTCCACCTCCACCCTTCCCTTCTTCACCCTCAAGCATGTGATCTGTAGTGCAGATAAACCTTCCAGTAACACCAGCGTGTGCGGCTGCAGGTTGAAGTGTAGAACAAAAACAACCCGTGGGCTTTAATACGCCGCACCCCTGCAGGGGGAAAAGAATAATGACCACTGAGGCACAGCACTGGATCCACTGTGCGATGGAGAGGTCCATCATCCCGCTCTGTGTGCGCCGCTCTACCTCCGTGTCCTTGCATTGGCTATTGGAGTGTGCAGGTAGATTGAATCACTTCGTTAGAAGAAGTTCTGCGCGGTAATATCTCCCTTTCTGGCGAGTTCCCCCGACCGGGCTGAGAGCCACTTCTCTTGAAATATAACAACTTGTGCGTGACACTTTCAAAAAGACCCAATTCCACAAATCACGTGAAATACTGCAACCATGTCCCAAACAAATAATCCGTGCCATGTGAGGATTTATATACGTTACATTACTATGCGTTTTTAACAAGGACGCAAGACTGTAAGGGTCACTCGGGGAGGATTCGAAGTGAATTGTTCACTATGCATAACACAACATACAACTATTTGAATCAAAGTCCTCATACTTGAAATGCCCCATTAAATTGCCCATAAGGTACAAATAATGACACATTACATTTAAATGAATGTTGTGGCCAAGTGTTCCAAAAAGCATGACGTCCCCGTCTCTCTCAATAAACACATCTCATCTCATTTCAAGGAGGTTCCCAAAACAATACATTTAGAATGCTTTGTGTAGTGTTAAAATGCGAGCTACCGCAATGTCCCGTTTCCATTTATCAAAAACAAGAACCTGTTCTACCAGGCAAGCGTTAATGCAAGATATTCATTGTGCATAAGAAAAGGAATAAAGCACAGTCTCGATTAATGATATCTACTTAGAAATGAGAGGCGAGCGGAGCCATTTGGGGTTTAAAAAAAAGAGGCTGATATGCATCTAATTTCAGGGGCATGTTGCAGGTGTACCTTTCTGCTTTTAGCTTGAAATCGCTTTTAAATTTCCATACCACATTGGAGAGAGTGGAAGAGTTTTACTGACACAACATGGGAAAGTATTGAATCGGGAAATCACTTTATAACAAAAGAGGTACAAAGTGATGTCGGGATTATTTTCTTTTAAAGCACAATGTGTTTAACTGAGCGTATATAGAAATTGATTAGATTTTTACTCACTTCTGATCTGTTCTGAGTTAAGTTTGCCATCTGCGGCTGTACTACGTCGCACACATAGTGACAGGTGCCCAATGGTGTTTATTGGGATTCAGGCCAAACTGAAGTCTGTGTTGACACTTTTGCTTAATTTGAATCATGAGCTTTGTAAACAGGAGGCAATCTCTTAAAAAGTGAAGGCATTGCCGGAGTGCTTTAAACTTATTTCTAATGGTAATAAAGGGGCAACTCCTCGGTCATCAGGGAAACTATTTCTCACTTGATTTATTACCGTGTTTGCGTTTTAGACTGCTGTGGTTCACGGATCGTGAGTCATTGCAATTCTATCTGCTCCAACCCTCCCTTAGCCTAAAACTTGTGTCAAAAGCAAGATGGCGACCTTCAAAACTCAAGGCTTTGAAATCGAGTCCGAAAAACCGACGGCTCCGTCACCAAGACTCCTTGTATTAAGCGTATGTGAATCGGTAGAGACGTTGTACTAATTGAAACCCTCTTTATTGTTGCTGTTGGCTCCCCAGCGCCTTACCCACATAACTCTGAGCCCACTTTGGACCACTAAACTGGCTCAGCGGACATGATGTTGAAAGTTTGTGGTGCGGACACACAAAGTCACAAAACAACAGCGCCTGGAGGAAAAAAGCATCACCCCGAGCATCAGTTGAGTGGATAGTTCCTGTGCACTGAGTCATCTTTGCTCTTCGGGGGGAAACGAGGCGACTCGAGAGCGAAGGCAGAACGGCAAAATGCACCGACTGCAGACAAAGTACCTTCCCTCTCTGCCGCTCGCTCTCTGCCTCCCTCCCTCCTTCCCTCTCTCTCTCTCTCTCTCCCTCGCTCCCCCCCACTTGACAATGCTGTTGATATGGTGTTCTGCATTACGCAATAGTAGCGCCCCTCCCATCCTCTGGAACTCAGCTCTCTCTCCCTCATTCGTCCTGATATTAATGACACAGCTATCCGAGGCAGCGGCAGTTCCCCTGCACTCTCCCTCCCGCAGGCTGCGCTCATACGCTCCTCGACCAATTGGACACAGGACATACATTCACCAACACTCCTACACTTAGTCTGGAGCTGCAGGCACACACTCACACACACACACACACACACTACTATACGCATCCAGACACTTGGAGTTCATACCGGAGGCAGTAGCGGACTCTTTTAATTTTACACACATTTATTTCTCCTTGAACAATCTCACCAAGGGAGAAAAAAAGAAGCAAAATGAGGACAGATGTGCTCGGCGTTTGTGCAACCCTCCTGCTCGCAGCCGCCTCGGTGCCTGGCAGCAGCCGGGCAGCGGACCTCCCCATCAACTCACAGCAGCGATGGGACACCAGAGGACCCTATTCTTCAGAATCCGGGACTCCCACCTCCTGCCCCATTAAGCTGAGACCCTCGGGCCAGTGTGAGAGCTCCGGGGCCGGTCCGGAGGAGGGGGGCGACTGCCCTTACCAGCTCACCTTGCCTCCACTCACCATCCAGCTGCCCAAGCAGTTCAGGCTCCTGGAGAAGACGATGAAGGAGCTGCAGAGTCTGAAGGAGGTCGTGAACAAGCTGAAAAGCGGGTGCCAGGAGTGCCGCGGGGCACGGGGCAGTGGAGCTTTTGGACATGGACAGGTCCCCATTCAAAGGGATGCTGCGGATGAAGTGAGACGGGAGTTGACAGAACAGGAGGTGCGAGGTGGGTCGAGCCAAGAGGTGAGGGGAGATGGGATGGTCCCCGGAGCTACTGTGGACGTTGCTGGAGTGGGGCATGCTTCTATTTCTGGGAAAATTACACCGAGCCCGAGCAGTATGCAGGAGATGCAGGTAAGAGGCGCAGTTCAGTCTCACAGAAAAATACACTTTTCATTGGAAAATGCAGCACTTGAAACCAAGAAATGATTGGTTTTGTTCAATACAAATACACTTGGTTCAATGCATATATAAAACCTATGGATGTATTGACAGTATGCATCTTCATTGTGAATTGTCCATGACTACGGTCAACACAATTTTACTGCAATTATTTATCAAAATGATCTAGATTCACATGAACAATGGTTAAACCACTGTTCAAATGGTCTAAAATCTTTATTTAGGACTCTGTACAAACAATAAGGGCACTGCACCAATTTGTGTATTTCCATCAAAGCCATTTCACATTAAGCCAGTGCCATTATCAGCCTTGTGAAGATTTTACTTGCACTGAGCTAAACAAACTCAACTAGTGTGCTTTATAAACACTGTAAGAACAAAGTCACCTAAATTCACCCAGTCAAAAACGTCCCCAGCTGGAATGTAAACCAGCCAGATGTTAAGTAGACCTGTAAAGTCCTAAATGGCACCAATCCACCAGGGACAATTCCTGGTACTCCAAAGTGTCAGCGTCAGACACCAGCCAAACGGCCGCAAAGTTCGTTGTCTCCAGCTTATACTTTTGTCACGCGGCCGAACGGCGCGCCTCTATTCTAAAATTCAAATTGGCCGGTAAAAACAATGAAGAGGGGCCGGTGACTTGAGTCATCCACCTGCTTGGTATTCTGTGCACAGAAACAATTTCCCCTTCTCTCTGGCCCTTCCCAGGTGAAGCTGAATAGGATGTCAGCCAGCCTGCGCAACGCTAGGAGCCAGATCTCGGCCGTGCAGGGGCGTCTCGAGGGGCTCAACCTGCTCAACATGGAAAACGTGAAGGCTATGGTGGATAGGAAGGTGGAGAACATCAGTGGAGTGGTCAACAAACTAAGCTCCACGTGCACTACCCAGTGTGCAGTGCAGAACTCCCCCAAGTGTAAGCCTGCTCTCATTGACATTTCTCTTGGTAGCATTCCCTCTCATATTTCTTTGCTATATTGACTCTCGCCGCTCTTGGTCTCCTGGTACCAACCCTGCAGCTGAAAGGCCTCTTCATCTCCTCAGCTATTTACTATACATGTATTCTCTTTTCACTTGAACCCCATCACATGTTTTCTGTTGCCTTATCTTTGCTATTTTGCAATCTTTCCTAGTATCAGCAACCCCTCTTTTTCTTTTTCACCACAGATGTTGTTTTGGTAATGTAGCTCACGCGTGCAACAGACACGTCCAGCTTTTTGACGTTGAAGTGAGGTGAATTTCCTGGCGTAGGATCTATCCAATCGTGCCCGAGTGGACATGGCGACTTGTAATCACTGCAAATAACCTGACTCTGGGTGGTCACCTTCACCCACTGACGCCTTGCTTTTCTGGGATGTAGGAAATTGAATCTTCCAGGCTGACGATGACATTGACGACACGGTGGTTTGCTGCAAAATGCTCTCTCTATTGACCGATATGTACAAAAATGAAAGATGAATTTTCTATCAGTCTGCAAAAGCTTCACCATTCCAACTACATCACTAAATTAGCTTGAGGTTGAGTGAAGCAAGATTACGACTAGGGTCAAAGAGAGAATTCAGATTACCTCTTATGTAACATGTTGAAGTGCCTTGACATTCAACTACTATCTATATGCAGACACTCTGATTGGAGGGGGGAGAAAGATACTTGGCGCCTACGCTACTACCTGGTGCGAACATAAAAAACCCAAAAAAGTTTCAAGATTGAGGTTCAGTGCTGTAGAGGACGTCAAGAGATTAATGTGAGTAAAACGGCGTCCTGATGCACGGTGCAAATCCGCCGAGCACGCCAAACATTCCACTTTACGTTGACGTAAAATCCTTGGAAATGCAGCTGACACTGTAGTATAATCCAGTATTACATGAGTGAATGTGACACAATATAGGAAACCAGAGGTGATCTTATTCGTAAATTAGATTAGCTGCGACAGTGGTGTGAGGGGTATCCAAGCTTTTCTCTCTTTCTCCCCCCCCCCACCCCCTAAACTTCCTAATGTCTCCTTCAAACCTGTCCTCTGGCCCACACCTATCCTCAGTTCATCCACTTGGCATCTCTCCTTCCTCCCCACTCACCTTCACTTCCTCTCTCCGCCATAACTTTCAATGTCTCTCTCTCTCTCTTTAATCCCCTTTACTGGTGCCCCCCCCCACCCCCCGCTCCCCCAACTCTCCTCGTACCTCTTGCGTCTTCTGGAGGTCATGCTCTTGAGTGTTCAGTCCTGCATAAAACAGCTAGCTCTCATTATCTCTTGACAACACCACATGAAATAATGTGGGCGGATTTCCCGCCATTAGTCATGGATGGCACGCAGGGTCAGTAACACTTGTCTTTGTGCAACAATCCGTCATGTTAGATTGCAGTTAGGAAATCGTGACCGATGGTGTCTGAAGTTCATCCAAAAAAAAAAGGAAAGCAGACAAGAGACAGCTGTGGATAAAATGGAAATAAAAAAGGTCTGCGATGATAAAACTTGACATGAGTAAAACATGAGTCACACGATACGTCTCAACCATTCTGATGATTTCAAAATCTTTTGCAATGGTTTTCCTCGTGCATCTCGCTCCCACCGATCATATTTAGTTTACATTGTGAAGTCCTAAATCCTAAAATTGCACCACCAGATCCTTAATGGATAAATCCCTCTACTATCGACGCTATGAACACGGACCGTCATAACTGCTATACCTGAACCAATTCACGGTTACCAGCCAAGTTGAAAGATGAATCATCGCGGCACTGCTAGGGATTTGCACACGTGTACCACATTTTAAGAAAGCGGACCTAAGGTGATAACGTCGTCTGAAGATTATATCAAGATAATATTTCCAGGCAATAATATGAGAGACTGTACTGAGCCTCGGCAAGCAAAATGTTAATATCCCCTCACACAGGGATTTATCCATCAGCCTCACTGGTAGGGCTCATTAGGCTGCACACAGTTCAAACATTTACACTCAGCGGGTTTACAAAAAGGCATCAGAGGGTGCAAAGAAAATGACATTTTTCTCTAACTTTTTCATCCCAAACTCAAAAACGCATCAGCTGATAAGGAAAGAGCCAATAAAACGCCAGCGTACAATGTGAAAACGCAATTTCTAATCAGAGACTATGGGTTTGTTTGTCACGATACTGTTATCGCCCGCGGCTCACTGCTGGAAGCATCAATTCCCCCCACTTTGCTCTGCAGGAAGCACTAATCTTCCCTTTTCCCTCCTGTAAGACGTACAGAGGCCTTGAGGTGACTGGATAGCAATTCATGTTACTGTTCAGCTACATTAACTCAATTACAAACAGAAGGATGGATGCCCGGTCGAGAACGCGATGACACGCGACTTTCTCCAAAAAGGAAAGGAAGGGTTGCTTGTGGATGATTATTATTTTTTTCCTTCTGTCAAAACAGACAGTCGTTTATTTAAGCCGCTATCCTGCGGAGAGATTATACTATCACTTCGGATACACATTTCCTCCCAGTACGTGTGCTAATCTTGGCCGACTACCGGTTGTCACAGAGCAGGATTCCTTGACAACAGAGCTGTCCCTCTCTCGTGCCAATCATTCACGGGTGTGCAGGCAGATAAACGGGCGATGGGTTGGACCAAGAAGTTAGAAGCCACAAAAAGCATGTTGGTTTTCCGCCTGTAAGACGCCACGCCGGCGTTTCTGGATGTTAGGCGAGCGAGGAAAGCAGCCAAAGCAGCGGTAAGAGGTCGACGTTAGAGTTGTTTAGGACAGGCCCGGGGTCGGAGGACGTCAAATGAGACAGGCGCTCGTCCACCCAGGAATACCGGCGGCCCACACGAAGATGAGGACACATTAAAGGCGCATGGAGGCGAAGTGAAGGAACCACAGTCACTTCAAGCGACGGAGACATTGGGGAGAATTTACGAGGCGGCGCTTTGAATGCCGAGTGCGGAGAGGGCCGTTAACGTGACACTGCTCTCCGCGTGGAGTGATGCCCCCTCTCTGCAGCCATTTTGCACACCAAGAAGTCGGCTTAGTTTTAATAGGAGCACTTAGAAGATGGCTGCAAAGTCAGAGCAACCCAAGACGCAACCGTGCCCTTATTTGGTGCAACGTGTACACAGACACCTTCTCCCTCTGCACTGAGAGTAGCTACCAGGAAGCATCGGTGCTCACAAACCACTACGGCGGCGTCCCTCCCCCTCCCTTTCGCTTTACGAAACCTGACGTCAGGCCCTCTAATCGGTACGGTTCCCCACTGCCTTTGCTCCTATAATCTACCAAGGCACTAAACTGATGTAACAGTATGACAAAGCTGTATCGCCGCAGGTCTGCGTGAAACAAACTCAGCGGGGGGTCCCACACGCTGCCTGCCCAGTCAGGATGATTTAGACCCCAGAGGCCGAACGCGTGGGGATGGGGGAGGCAGGGATACGCCTCTCTAATCCAGTTTTACACTTTCCCACGTTTTTTTTTTTGACAAATCTGTTCCTTTCAATTCCCAAATGCTAACTGACGGGAGTCTTTGGGGCGTTGGTTTTGGATGGGGGTCAGCGGCCCCGCGGAGCGACGCAGGGGACAGGAGCAGGAGTATGAAAAATAAATGGGCAGGTATAAAAATACGGGGGGCAGAAGTCTTATAAAGCAGTAGAGCCGCATTGGAACGGGCCTGTGGTGCAGCGCAGGGGGAAGGTCACTGACTTTTATCCTTCAGCAGCGGCCCGCGGTCTTTCATTTACTTTCCTGGATATTGGAGCCCTGCTGGTGATTTCCAGAAAGGTGAACATCATGTTGAGCAGCGAGAGGAGGGGTTAGAGCGCTCTGTTCACTGAGAGATTGTACTATACTGGGTTTCATGCTCCATGACCGTTTGATCCACACGGGAAACGATCTGGAAACACGTTGGTTAGAGAACATGCTGAACTGTTTAGTGTTTCAATACACTGGCCCGGAAATGTGCGCAGGCATGAGACCTTGTTAAAGCCAGATTTCCTGGTAATTTATCACATTTCCCTTTGTTCGGTCTTCGTAAGCCCTGGGGGCTTCTTTTCTAGCACTGCCTTGGTTGGGCGGAGAAAAAGACCGTTTAATATCATCCAGTACCATCCCATTGAAGCCCCCCCCTTTTCTTTCCCGGTATCTCCCAGCAATCATCTTGGCCCCTCGGGATTGTTCAGACTACAATGTGCTGGAGGCGAAGAAGAACGGTGTGTACGAAGTGACCCCGGATCACCGCAATGGCACATTTGAGGTCTTCTGTGACATGGAGTCTTTTGGAGGCGGATGGACCGTGATTCAGCGACGCCTCGATGGCTCGGTCAGCTTCAACCGCACCTGGGCAGAGTACAAGAAGGGCTTCGGGAACCTACGGTAATGGCTTTTGCATCACCTCTCAAAAGCTTTAAACTCACATAGATACTAGAAACCACCACAGAAGGCTTCACAGCATGTCCTCCCACTCTTTATCAACTTCTCAGACTCACCTAACCGGACGCTACCATCTGCCCAGGTGAATTAGACTTATGCCCCCCCATCACTGAAGGTCCACCACCTGTTTTCACTATCACTGATTATCAAGTGCACAACAAGAAAGAAAGTGAATATACCACCTTAAAATGAATAAATAAAAACAAAAAAAATAATTTGTTAAAGTTGCACAACAACAACAACAAACAATTCAACAAAAGAACCTGTTGATGTTGTAAAATGTGTAGCAAAGAAAATGGAGGGAATCAACTGAATGTAGTTTTTAAATTTCAATTGAATTGCTTTCATAGAGCCGAAAATCAAACATTTGCTTAAGAGGGATTTACAATATGTATAATATTTTCTGTCCAGGATCCCTCCTATCGGCACAGGGAACCCCCCCCCTCAAAAAAAATAGGGAGGGCTGAGGGGCGAACCCTTTCCCAGGAAGGCCAGCAGGGCAATAGATGTCATTTATGCAGTAGAACAATGTAAATGATTTACAGTGCAACGCAGTGCCTATAACAGGATTAACATTTCATCAAATGTCCTCCATTCTACCCTTTACTCCTGTTGGAATTATTAAACGTGCCTACAGATCGAGCATAACCTCCTTCACTGAAAGAATAGCGAATCCTCTCATCCCCCTTTAACTGACAGATAAATGAATTCCCGCGGAGAAATAGTAACCTCTTCCTCACCAAGCACTACTTTGTCCAACCTCCTTCCATCCCTCCCCCCACCCGCTGCAGAAGTGAGTTCTGGCTGGGCAACGACCACATCCACTTGATGACCAAATCCAAAGACATGGTCCTTCGCATCGAGCTGGAGGACTTTGAGGGTGTGCGGGAGTACGCAAAGTACGACCAGTTCTACGTGGCCAATGAATTCCTCCGCTACCGGCTGTCTGTCAGCGGATACGGGTACTATATTTGACTCCCTGTGTGGATGCCTGTGTTCGTATCTAGAAATGAATTGAATCCAAACACATCTAAATACGCATCTTGTCATTTCAGTGGCACAGCTGGGAACGCCTTAAGTTTCAACAAGCACTTCAACCACGACCAGAAGTTTTTCTCCACGGCCGACCGCGACAACGACATGTACTCCACCGGGAACTGCGGCGCCTACTACAGCTCCGGCTGGTGGTTCGACGCCTGCATGTCCGCCAACCTCAACGGGAAGTACTACCACAAGAGGTACAAGGGAGTGAGGAACGGCATCTTCTGGGGAACGTGGCACAACATGTCGACGGAGTACTACCCCACTAACTACCGGCAGGCCTTCAAAACGGTCAAGATGATGATGCGGCCCAAGAACTACGCTCCTTAGGGCGACAGGTAAACGCTGATATGGTCAGGCGAACGGATAGATGGACAAACACAAGCAAACACAAGTCAAAAGTCACACACATGAGCATAGGCAAGCATTTTGTGCACATATTAGTAGACAGCTGAAAAGTCCTTCTGACCATGTAAATGCAGCGACAACCAAGATGATTGAGAAAAAAAATGTAACTGTGCTATTACGTTTTCCCACTGCAGTGCGAGTGGCCTTCAAAGTGGATTCAAATGATGATCGTAAAGGACAATGGACTATGAATAACGATGGCCGAATAAAATTAAAACACACACACACACACACACACACACACGCAGTGTAAAGGCCAGCCTCCTGCAGGAGCTATAATGTTATACGGAGGGTTACCATGAACGATTTTTCACAGTTTCTCTGACATTTCTCCACTTTGCGTCCTGCTGCCTCCTGCTAGAAGCCCAGGCACAGCACAGCACACTGTAGTAGTAAAAACTAATGAGCTGTCATTTTTGCCGCTCTAAATGCTTTCATAATTAACAGCAGCCACTCAAGTGAGTGAGGATGTGAGGGCTGAGGATACAGTTTGGAGTTGCTGTGAAATTCACCGGGTAACAACCTCATGCTGGGATTAGAGTCATAAATAAACTACAGTAAGGGACATACTAGAAACTTGGGGCAGGCAGCAGTGCACCACTAATGACGTCTGTGTCGTTGGTTTAATTACACTGGGGGAATTTTGCTAATGTCGTCCTATATAAAGCATCCTGCTCCAAATATGCCGCCTGATATACATTTCTATCGGATCATTTCCAAGTGTTCTGCATCATTGGTGCTCTAGTAAATTCTTCTTGCGAGCAGCCAGGGAGCAGAAACCTTCCAGATGTATTTCCACCATTATCTCCACGTGCACTGAGCTGCTGCACGCTTCACCATCTGTACAATACTGCCGCCTAAAGTTAAAAAACTGTAATTCACTATATACACACTGTGAAAGGGAAGAATTAAGGACGTGTATAGTATTTATTGTATTTTGGGAGGTATGCTTTTATACAACACATAGACCATACAGTACAAAGTCTCATTTGTTGACATCCAAGCAACAATAAAGTGTGCATTGTTGTGACCATTTACAGTAATTATGTGTGTGTTTGGAGCTTTGTGTGTGTACAATATTGATCTTTTCTATCATTCATATTAAACCATCATGCAAAAAGATATGCACTTTTTTATGTGAAAAATAAATTAAGTTCTAACTACATTGCTGTGTATATTGCGTTTTTTGGCAAAACCATTTCATCCTTGATGAACGTATGCACATTTAGCCTGAGTATTCATGAGAAGAAAAGTGGGCTTTTTGACGCCTGTAAGAATTGAGGGAGGAGGTGCTGCACATCCGTAACAGATGGGTTAATTAGGGGCCCACTCAATAAAACTATTCAATCAAAAGTGACTTCACGCAAGATAAACGACCACACCGTGGGCTTGTGACTTTAATGTCTGTTCACTTTTATGTGACAAGTTAATAAAAAGGTACCGTGCTCATCCACACGATGCTTTCCCGTTCCAATAGTTGACTTTTGTTCAATCACGAATCTTTGCACATCCCACACGTCCACACACAGTATCGAGTGATAGTCGCATCACTTTAGCTGGACCAAATGTTGTTTTGTTGGTAATGTAACCATTTACGAAATGCCGTTCACAAGAAATGTGATCATTTATCACGAGATACATCTTACCTCCTCTATGCACTGGAAAGCGGGGCTGGCGGTGACATCAGTGCTAGTGGAGGGCTGCGCCTCCTCTGGGGATGCAACATCAGGTGCAAGGGCCACCAGAGGGTGGCCCCCCATTCCCCTCTCCTCATGCTCCTCTTCTTCAAACTCCACTTCTCTGGGATTGCTGCTATCCTGCTGCTCCTCGAATAGACTCACTAATGCAAAACATTAAAAAAAAGGATACAGTCCATCAACCAAACTTCTGTCTATGCGCACATTGACAGTTGGATGATCGGAGGGAAGATGGACAGAGCAATGTAATTGGGTATGGATATTAAAGAAACATCTAAGGTGTGGTTCATATCTATACTCTCAGTGTAACTCCATCAGAGGTGAGTAAGGCTACTTCCAAAAAATGAAGAAGAATTTGATGCAAAGGGTGCAGTCGCAAACCGGAAATGCTGGCCAAGGCACACTGGTCCATTTAAAGTTAATTTTGAGGAATTTAAGTATTTTTTGTTGGATAAACTACACAGAAAAAATAATAAAAGTCATGACGACACGGTACAGACTGAGTGAATAGGTTAATATAAACCGCACGCGCTATTTTACGACGCCGAGAAACGGCAGTTTGTCGGTGTTCGTCTGCAAAACGTCTGCAAAACAGAGAAATAAAAAGTTCGTGTAAAAGTCTTACTTTTGAATGTCTCGAATCCTCGCACGCGTCTCGACGTCTCTGTCCTTTAGTCTTGTAAAACGTCAAACCATCCCAACGCATTGGGCAGCGTGAATAAGGTTGCAGCTAGTTAATGTTTGCAAAACTCAAGTCGCAGATTTATTTCCGGTTGAATGTTTTGTTGTTCTCACCATAGCAACTAAACCCTGAATCCCTAGTTTCAAGTCCCGTATTGATTCATTGCTTATTTATGAATACGCAATATATAGCATTTGTCCATAAAGTTGCCAGTTTATAATACACCCGTAGGCCTATTTTCATTTTTAAATGTGAAACACCCAAACAAAACAATCCCAGACTTTTTACTTGTTTATATACTTGCGGTGACTGTCCAGCAGGTGGCGGTAAATAGTAATTAACCAGGATCTTCACCTGCGCATCATCGCAGCATCCGCCGTCAGCAGACCGCGAACACGTGTGGGTGAAAGCAAAAATAAAGCTCCTTCTCCTTAATATTATGATGAGCCTTGAATCTAAATCATGGGAGACTGTGTTTCCCACTTTTCGTTTAGTTTAGTGAATAAATGGCCCCGCTTTTCAAGGGCGTTTTTTAGCATTACTTATTCATTTATTTTATACAAAAGTTCACAAAACCACGCGGCTTAAGAGTGTCTTTCAATGCCGTGAAGGTGAGTGGGTCATTGTGTGCAGGAAAGTAGTTTAGTTCGACAAATTCTACACTGACTTTTCTTATTTTTAATGGAAAATTTTGTTTTTTAATATAAGATAAAAAAAAATCCATCTCCTTATTTTCCAACTTCAGCCTGTATAAATGACATGAAGGACGGTGCTATTATTTTCGTATATAGAATAATTACTTCCATTCTTTACTTAAGACCTAACATATTATGTTTTATACTATAATGCGTTTTACCAATTGTAATTGCAGATGAAATCAACCAGGCCTGTTATTTGAATTTCCCTGGCAGAGGTTTCCAAAATTAACACTGAATTCCTTCTAAAAATGGGAATATGCTTGTTTTGGAAATGTGTCCCTTCTTGTGCTGCTAGTAATCACATTGGCTAAATAAAGCATGAAGCCAAGAGTCACAGCTATTTGGGGTAAGAACATGTATGAGGCATCAGAAGAAGGACCCTGAGAGCTTTTGCTTCAGGTTACTGTTTGTTGCTAATCCAGTCATTTATATACTTAAACTGTACCGTTATAGTTCTTAAATACCTATTTTCCGGTGTTGCTTTAACGTTTTTGCCCTCAGTTAAACTAATAAAAACTGCTGACTGTGTGTTTTATAAAACACTGTTCCACCATGTTAACCAAAAGGGCTGACTCGAGCTTCATGGGTTCACAAGTTTCCTCTAGTGAAGTTTAACAATCAGCAGCAGATGTTGATGATGAATGTTGAGTCACTCAGCGGGGGCAGTTGGCAGGGTTGAAGCAGTATAGCCTACTGTAAATTGAAAACATGGCAAGGTGGCCGGAGGTACATGCAGTGGCACGACTTTAAAGAGCTCCGTTTGGGATTCATGCCCCCTTCATGATGAATAACGTGATCTTTCCACTTTTCGTCTCGCTCCACCATCATTGATGAGTAAATACCTGCAAAACATGAAATGACCACAGCCTCAGCATCCGTTTAGTGCTACATTGGCATGTTAGACAACAAACTAAGAGGGTGAACATTATACCTGCTGTCATTTTATTGTTGTAACTTTTGCATGCCGGCGTTTATGTAAAAGTGGCTGTACCTATTCTATAAGTAGCATGCACAGGCTAACCAAGCCTTGTCCTTAAAGCAGATTTATTTCACCCAGACATTATATAGATCTGCTAATACTCCTATTTTTGTGACCTCTAGGAGGAGATTGAGAACCACAGCGACCATCGGTGTCACATTGTGCAGAAACCAAGCCTTTGAAAAGGTTTATTGCTTTATTGTAGTCATACGTTTTTTTTTTTTTTTTACAACTTCCACCACCTCCAGGTTCTTCTTTTTCATGTGTGGTTGGTTGTTGGCCAGTTGCCGTTTACCATTTCTTAATTCCTTTTCCTCCCTTTGTCCCCACAACTACCCCCCCCCCTCCCCCCCACACACACAACGTGCAGTGTTCCATGCACAAAATCTGCTGTTACAACGTCTTTTGTCAAAGATTTTGTCCTTCACAAAAGGCATCTGGAAGGAGTCTATTTACAGATGTTTTTAGTCTCTTAAAACCTGGAAACTAGCTTTTTATTGAAGTCGGGGTTTTAATCTTTTGCGCACTTCTATAATAGTACTTGTGTCGTTGAAAAAAGTTTCCCCTTATCATTTGAAGGCACAATAGCAAACGTTATGTTTTCCGTTAAGTCGTTTCACCGTAGGGATGGAAACGTGAAACGCCACACAACCCCTCACTGATGGATCAGACCGCTGCCGAGTTGACATCCTACATAAATATTTGGCACCATCAAATCTGAATTTAGTGCAAAACTTAAAACATAAATCACTGAGAATTTGAGAAGCGCTCTTGGCAAAGTGTGAGTGTGATGTCATCCTCCCGGGCCTCTGAGGAGAATCCATGGCATTGTTCTTCAGTGTGTCAGTGGGCAGACCGGAGAAATCCGACCCGTCCAACTTGGACCCCTCTGGCTCCCCACTGGCCAAGGTTCTCCTGGACAAAAAAAGACAAACTCTGTTTTCAGTATCTTTTTTTTTTTAAATAATTATCAATCGAAGCCATGTAGCAACATCGCTGCCCATATTCTAAACAATATCTCATCGGAGCAAATCCGGATCTTTTGAAGAGTGTTTAAATCTTTAATTACTTATTTTACTGCAGTAAACAATGCTATTCTTCGGTTTTGTACATTCTCAAAAATGCATATTCTTAGCCATTGCCTCATTTCTTTTCCTCCCATCGAACACTATAATACTGGGTTGCTGATACAAAATACGCTGCAGGATATACAGGATCCTTACAGGGAGTCGTCTGTTTATTACATTTACATATTTAGTATTCGTGCCGCTCATGTGACACGTGGTTCAGCCCATACATACAGCAGTCTGGTGTCCGATAAAATGCCAACTGCTGCATGTCCATGCTTGTACTGTATAAGCTGCAAGGAAGTGGTGGCTTGCTTCTGTTTTTTGAGCTACAATTAGTTTTTACGAGGCACTTTCAGTTGAAGGGCCACTTTACTGGTGCACTTTACAGAACTCGATTGTTCCTGTTATTTTCAATGTATGACTGTTCCTATTGTGTCTACAAAACGCACGCGTCTTTTCCCAAACTAACTTGGGTTGATCCTGACTTTTGACACTTGAAAATGTTGAGTTATAGCATCCTGGAAACTACCGAATCATTGTCTTTGTTCACATTGATGATCTTGTATTTTACCCAGTTGAATAAAGTTGCCACGTGTGGCAAAGAGAGCGACCAGCGTCGCTAACACTAAAACGAGAGGAAAACGTACCTTTAACAGATGAAATTACTGTCAGCTAAAACCCCTCTTGTATCTTTAAAGTCTGACAGGTCGTGGTAAAGCTTGTGCGGAAAGTTAATTGATTCCAGGTACGTGACCCTGCAGGACCTTCGAGGTGGAATTAATCAAAGGACACCCTACAAATGTCGAACGGGGATTAGAGTCAAACTACCGCCACCTACTTGTTTCCACTGAGAAAAGGATGGAGGCCTGTGTATATTTTACTGCGCTCCACAAACCCGTACAAATTTCACGGTGAAGGATTCAGGGGTCGAATTAGAGTACCTGAAATGGGTCCCACAGGTCACCGTGAGGAGAATTGAAATAAACATAGTGGGTCAGGTCGTCTTACTGCAATGCACCGCAGCAAAAGCAAATCAATGTGTTACAAGTGATGAGTCGCTCTCACTCGATTCTCACTGCCGTGCACTCCAGTTACATAAACATCTCTTTGTTTGCTTTAAGCTTAAAGTTGATCCAGGCGGCACCACGGTTGTATTTTTGCAACTGTGACTAGAGCTGCTTTCCTTCTGGATCTTGCTCCTTTCAAAGAGGGCTTATCTCCCAGGTGACCGTTCTCCCTTCCTTCAAACTAGAATCCCACCAGACTATTGCTGGTCCGATCACAAACGGATTATATATGAAACACGTGTATAACAGACATGCCAAATGTCAAGACGGCAATAATTTTCTGTGTAACCCCTTGTTGGAGTTATCATTCTTTACAGTTAACATAAAAAAAGGTGCAGTTTCAGTGCAAGATATATGCAGCCCTCTTTTCACGTATTTTTACAATATATTTTAAGACATAAAAGAAGAAAAAAACAAGACAGACATGCATTCATCTTATACCACGTCAGAGGAGATTTAATCACCTACCAACATATGTAGCAAACCTATCCTTGATGTTAATAACCTATTTAATTGGTAACTCTGGAATGAAAGGAAGGAAAGAAAGACAAGCTCTGATGTGTGTCTGTGTAGTGGAAGTTGATTTCTTTGAGACTTGCTCATAGCCAATGTAGACGGATGGAAACAATTAACTCAATCTGTGCACCAGATCTAGAGGATAGCCTCTCATTTACATACACGTTAACTTTGTGAGTATGTGCGTGTCTGTGTTTGTGTGTGAATGTTCCCCACAGATCCACGGAGAACTCCTTCAGGGCCTCCTGGCTTCCTCCCCTTTCATCCCGACCACAGTCCACAGGCAGCCACATCCTTGGAAATGCAGCCCTCCATGTTTAAGATGGAACATTTACCAACCAAATCGCAATGTTTTTCTAGGAAATGCTCCATCTTTTTTTTTTTTCTCACTTAAATTTTTTCCTCTGTTGTTTTGCAACACATCTCGTTTCGTCACCACGAATCACTATCTCTCTCCTTCATTTGCGTGCACACAAAAGAAGCCCACACCCACACACCGCATGGTCCACTCATCACTTGTAAATGATAACAGAAAAATCTTGCAGGGAGTAGCATACATTTTACTTTGTAGGAGGAGCTATATTAGGCTCAAAACAAAAACCATGCAGGCCGAGGTTTCCCATCGGAAAACTGGGGTTTGTGTCTTCAGCACCGCGGCCACACAGTCAGTTATACCTCTTATTAAATGAAATCATACGGTACATTAAGAGGTTTTTCAGTAGAGCGGTATAAAAAAAGCACCCGGGCCTTTACTGCACCGATAAGTGATCTAAAGAAAAAGTAAA